CCCTTGTTCAGTTGGTACACAGCCCGATGATCGTTTGGATGGAATGTTTGTTTGCCGTGTTCTTCGTTTTATCTCTTTTGTCCATGACCATGTTCTTTACCCTTGTGCTCTTGTTAATTGGTTCATACCCGATGAAGAGCCTGATGAAGTGACTGGGATGTGGATTGTACGCCCTGAGAAGGTTGGAGGTCGACGTTCCGTTGGTTTGATTCACTTAGAATGCTTTGTTCGTGCTTGTCATTTACTCCCGGTCTTTGGTAACACAAGAATACCCCACTCATTTCAACATTCCGACTCCCTTTCTGCTTTCAAAGCCTTCTACCTTAACCAATTTATTGATTATCACTCTCATGAATGTATTCCATCTACGTAAACTGTACTACCAGCGTATAAACACCAATTTATCCCATATCCCAATAATCAAGAGGAGATGGGCCACCACCTCTGACTTATCTGACTTACTGGGTTCGGTAAGCTCGGATAAGTCACTAAGTGATGTGCAGAAGTGCTGATGAACGCGACCATCCGAGATGCGTGTTGCATCCATAATGATTGAGCTCTGCTCAATTCCGTTGACGAAAGCAGTAGATGAACATAAGGGGTCGACGTACTTCAGGTATCTGCCCATCTTCAGCTTCATCGTAGAACTTTCCTGATTTCTTCCAAGACGGTACCCAATCATCCTCGTACCGGGCCCGCAATCGATACCCATGCACCTCGAGAACATCTCTGTGTCGTTTCCACCAACGCTCGCCGCGTATTAAGACGCCAGGGTCCTCAAAGAAGCGTCGCCGACTTTCCTCACTATGGTGCAAACGGCTTAGTAAGCGCCACTTTTGTACAGTGGCCAATTTCGTCGGGCGAAAGTCGAAATCCCCATTTATTGAAAGAAAATTCCTGGCACCCCTGTTTTTTTCGGAAAATAATAAACAAATGATTTAAATATTATTATCTGGCGGGGTGGCCAATTCCAAAAGTTCAACTTTGCCGGTTTTGAGGATTTGGACGATCCCTCTAGAGGAACTCTTCCTTTCATCAAAAGGAGTGTTTCTGGAAGAGGGATAGTGAAAATTCTCAAAATTCGGCCCGCGGCACCGTCCTCAACGTCGTGTACAAAAGTGGCGGCGTCTAAGCCGTTTGCACCATAGTGAAACTATTGGCTTTTGACATGTCTCGCCACGACGGGTAGAAGCGAGAGATATGTGGTATGTTGTTTAATGATGATTGCTCACAAGCTGCTCAAAGTGTACGAAGAGGAAAAGGAGGGTCAACGTGGAAACAACCAAGGACGTTAGCCGGCCCGTCATCGGTGAGCGCTTGACGTTTTTATGGTCTACGCTGGTCTACGAGGACCGTGACGCGGACTGGGTCTTTCACAACAACTTGAAGTCGTCCAGTTCCAGACACAAGAAACTGCACACGCACAACAACGACTGCCTCATTATCAACTCCAGGTGGCTTCAAGGTTTTGCGGCTGTGTTCAAAGTATCCTTCCGCTCGGGACGTGGCAACTGGTGTCAATGATCCACTTCTCACGAAGGTGCTCTTGTTTTCGTGTGGTATCTTACAGGGTTTTGCATAAGAAACCGGAATGTCGCGCGCAGAAAAATCCTGTGTGCCTGAACCAAACAAAGCCGTAAACGGCAGCCTTGCTCGGCATTCCTCGGCAGGATTCGTGTGGCACCAGAGATGTATGCCCCTGTACTCGAGCATACCGACATTGCAAGTCATTCATCCCACTGACGAGTGATCAGGAATTTTGAATTTATGTTTCTACTCAAATATATAGCAGCTCGAGCCCAGGATATCTGGTAAGAAAACCATAACTAACTAGAAACCACATCGACGCTCAACTTCAAAGACGCAGACGTGCACCTTGAGCTGTCATCTACACGACTCGAGTCTCATATTCTACCGGGATCACAGAATTCTCACAAATCAACCCACTCAACCAATCCATGCATGCCTGCGGTCTGAGTCGAAACTCGTGGAAGCATGAAATAGATACATTGTAAATGTGCTGAGAGACATTACAGAGGAGATGAGGGTGGGCATATATGTCTCGGAGACATACGAAGCGAGGTGGGAGGGCATCGCTAGAACGGGCCTGGAGTCACAGCTTCTCAAGCTGATTCCACTGAAGCAAATCTGACGCATACCGTTGAAAACGAACCAAACACGCACCGGTTACCCAATCCTGACGCTTTGCCCACGGAATGTGATGCTTTGTTGTTTGCAGGGCAGTTCGCGATCACGGACAAGGCAGTGCCCCGATTTTGAGGAGGATAAGAGGAGCCAAGCGCAGAGCAGAGCACAATGAGTTCAAATGCGAGAAAAGACACACCGTTCCTACCTACGCCAACGATCAAGCTTCCCAGACCACCTTCCTGCAAAAATATCACTCCAGTGGCGCCGATACCCTTGTCCAGGAGCTCATCGTCCTTGTCGTATAGATAGCATGGCCGGGGGTGCGAGCTGGAACCCGATTGTCCTTGCGACTTCCAGAGCAAAGAGTTGACATTGATGGCATTGCAATGTTGTTAGGTAGGGACTCCTGGAATACTGAACGCGTTGATGATTGCGAGAATCTTGTCACGAAGATACAATGGAAGCGATACGTGTTGTAGCGCGAGGTCCCGTATGAGGTCGGTTCGAGCACTACAGAGCATATCAAGAGGCGTATGGACGGTGTGGGCTGCAGAGATGAGAAAGGCCTCTGACTCTGAGGCGCGCCACTGCCGAAACATCGCCGAGAGTGCTTACCATTTACGGCTTTGTTTGGCTCAGGCACCCAGGATTTTTCTGAGCGCAACATTCCGGTTTCATATGCAAAACCCTGTATGGGTCCAGATGTACCTCTGGTTTCTTGATCGTCGCCACTGATGAGTCCTCACCCCACACTACTCCCTTGTGAGTAGTTTGAGGATGACCTGACACGAGTTGGAATCACGGTACTGTAGTTTTTCGACCAACTGTTCGTCACGCGTCACGCCGACTGCGTCGACGAACAGATTTGGTCCCGGTGTCACGCATACAAAGGGGTTCACGAACAGAAAATCGTGACCGATTTGCGCACAAAATCGTTAAAAATGCCATTTTTGGGCCAAATGCGAGCAATTTCGCCTGTTCGTCACGCGTGGCCCACCTGAACGAACCGTGGCCCAGCGGTGGTCACGGCTGACATAATTCTCCCACGAACACTTGGTCGAAAAAGTACAGTATGACCAAGCCGTATCAAGGGTATTTATACCTCTCCGGGTTGCCGGCTTCTCCAATCCTCCCTCTCCCATCGACCTTGATTCACTGTTATAATTTTTCTGAGGCCTGTTGCGCTATGTCTGGTGTTGAAACCATCCTTCTTCCTGCCCTGATCCCTGCTGGTGCTAGCATTATCGCCGTCGTTGTTCCAATGCTGATTCCGGCTAAGGGCGAGGAGCTTGTGGATGACACTGACATTCTACTTGGCAAATTCCTGGATCTCTATAATGAATGTAAGCCCAAAATGACCCAAGTCCAAATAAACAATGCAGAAATGCTGAGGCGACAGTGCGTATTTCTGTGGTAGACTACTAGTTCACGATACTCACCACTGATATCCAAACATGTCCCAGAGCTTATACAAAGCGTAAACACCTCGATGGCTTGCCTAAAGGCCTGAGAGCTTGCTGGCAAGGCGCATATGCCAGCGCATACAGCCTTCAAGAGGGTCGAAGTGAGCCATAGCATCTGCTCTGGATGAGTCCACAAGTGTACTAATGCTGCTCTACAAGCGCTTTTCGCTAGACTTGAAGGCGATAGAGACTGGTCTAAGCAACTGTAAAACTGGACTCTATAATCTCTCGATGAGTGCCCTGCTGACTGGTATCCCGTTGTCTAGCTGGAGATGCAAACATAGATCTGCAGTCATCAGAATCCGAGTCGTCGATGCGTGACAACAATGTATCGCCTTCGAGCAAGTCCATTAAGGCCATTATGCTTTTCCCCTTTCGTCGTGATCGCAAGAAACAAGAAGACACCGGCGACGATGACGTTGCGCGCTTGCACACCGCCAGCCAACAATTATCCGAGTTCGTCTCCGCCCATACAGACAGGCTGCATACGGTCAGCGTGGGCGTTATCCCTCCTGGAGATAGTACGCTCTTTCTTTTGATGCATGCCCCGCCTTGTGTGTTGTTCTCATTTTCTTCGGCTTCTTTTGGGCTTCTTAGTTGATAGTGTCACTGTTATCGGTGACGACGAAGCACCTGGAAGCGGGGTCGATGCAATCTCGGACGACGCCTTTCGCAGTTCAGACCAAACTGAAGGTATGTTCATGACCAGTAATATTCTGAGTACTACGTCGATCAAGATGCTGTCTCAGTTCTAGACACCGTACTACCCGGGATGTCGGCTGACGCCAATGTCGAGCCCCTTAGTATGGCTGAAAGGCAGGCCATTACGGATGTATTACACTTCGCCCCAGGTCCTGGCAAGCATGACAGTGAGCAGCTACGCCATTGCGATTGGGTTTGCAGTTGGAACTAATGCAAATTATTGTATGCATAATTCTTATGTTAGATTCTGACACCGTCTCTCTGGCGCCTAGTGTGCACACCATCTATATTCCTGGTGTAGCGTAGGCACAAGCTTTCGTTGGGTCCTTGTCGTCTTGTACCACGAGGAAGTGGTTTTGAGAAATAACGCTTTGCACGCTGGCGTGCACCGATCGTGATCTGTTTTACTGAGTCTCGCAAAGATGAATCAAGCTCTTTTATCTGAAGGAGATGCTCAATCTGGAGGATGAATATTCTACCTCACATATCGTTCGCAGTGGTAGACTAATTCTTTACAGCTGATTGCGGTACATAGGGTGTGGCGCAAATTTCTTCCGAAAAAGGCCGTTTTTATGTACTCCGATGTATATCAGTCGTAGCTCGTTCAGTTTTGACAATGACATCGAATAAATTAGACGATCTTACTTGTGTGGAGAATCCGCAGACAATTGTGTTCTCAGATTTTCGATTCGGTGATCTGGGATGCTGTGTGGTCAAAATGTGTGGCCCCGATGGTCAAGGTAAGTATATCATCTCCAGAGGTATGTACTCGTCATTCGCGGTCTGTGATTTCCATTCAGATTGTTTGAATAGCTCATGGACATACAACCCATACCACGGAAATCTATTTGGTCGTGATCTGGACATTTGGTGAGTGGTGACCGTTGAGTACTGTAGTTTTTCGACCAACTGTTCGCCCGATTAGGAAATTCCTAGGGTTGGGGTTGGCCGATGAACCTCGATTTCTAATCGGAGCTCATCGGCACCCTCAGAATTTCCTGGCCGTGACGCGTGACGAACAGTTGGTCGTAAAAGTACAGTAGTGTGGCACCGTGTATATCATGATTCCAGCATTCAAACGGCCACTATATATTGTCCACCCCGGATATGTACCACAGAACTATAGTACTCACACAGCCATCCTGTCGAAATGTGCCTAGCTGTGCTCTGCTAAAACAAGCACGAATGTGAAATGATAGACACGAGTGCCACTGTGGCCCTTAGCCCACGCGTGGGTTTGGCGTCATATGTGGCCAGGCTTGCTCATTGATGCCTTCCTTCCGCACATTCATCTACGAGGCATATATTCATGCAACAAATTTGCGCAACTCTTTTACACATTACTTGCGCTGGTGCTATGCTTGTATTCTCAGTGTTTCTTCTGTTCAACATGTCTGGTTGTGAACTCACCACTAGGAGCAACACCCAAGCCAAAATGAGTCGGGCCATGTGACCTTTCGCCTTGTGTGAGATGCGAAAACTCGAGCAGATCAAGCGCCAATGTATCGCTCAGCTTTTTCTCCCATGGGCGATGAGAACTCAGCTCCGGCACGCCGCATCAAGCTTGGGCATGGAACAAATGCAGCAGCCATACCAGTTTACATGGCGATCAAGAACAGAAGCCAATAATAAATTATGGATAGTAGATAAGTAACGAGAACAACTAAAGAGCGAAGCAAATAACAGCAACATGGCAAAGCAAGACGCAGAAAAAGAGCATATAAGATTGTGACGAAGATTACTCGACATATATGAAGAGGCAAGAAAGAATTCAGGGATTGGGAATGGAGGGTAAACCTGCACAAACGTATCCGATAGTGCGTATGAAATGAGGTACAAGCTTGTACACACTCAGAACGATCTCCTTCCGTTTAATCAATCCCGATCGCAGTTTCCATCCACTCAAAGAGTCCAGGATTTTATGATACTGAGCTACAACTTCGTCAATTTTCGGACGTTTCGACGGATCCGCCTTCGTCATATCGCTGATCAAAGGGTAGATGAATTGGAACCCGAAATAATTCTATGATGTGGTCAATCCGTTCGTCAGAAACCGCAGAAATTATACGAGAAGGGATGGGACATACTTGATAGATATGCAGACGGATGAAATTGCCAAGGAAGTATATATCGGTCGCAAAGGGGTCGCAGGGTATATCCTGATTGGGACCATTGTGCTCTGGCGGAGACTTGTCGCCTGCCAGTTGTGGCAGCTCCAGTGGCGGGCCGTCCTCGGGGTTGTAGCGACGAGCGTGGCCATAATCAATCCAGACGTAACGAGGAGGCCGTTGGGTACGAGTGTAGTGTTTGGCGTGGCGTTTATAATCACGGCTACGATTGTTAGCGATAGGGTGGAATGACTCAGGATACATGGTCGTTGGATCCATCATGAGGTTGTTGTATGTGCAATCACTGAGATCCGTTAGACAAGCCACAAGGCATAAAAGCGATATGCTTTACCGGTGAGCTACATGGTTATCATGTAAAAAGTGGATTCCCTGTAGCATTGCGGGACGACAATGCAGGAGGGAGAAATATCAGGACACAGACCGGTGATCATAGACGAACAAAAAAAGAGCGTACCTCGAGCATCTGCGTCAGCATAGCCATAACTTCACCAACAGTATGAAATGAAGGGCTGTTCCATGGCCTGAGCAAGGGAAAGACGAGCACTTCTACATCCTCTCGCCTCGCAAGTGACGGCTCATCGTTGAGCGTTCCCATTTCCGGCACATTCAAAATGTCTAAGAGCTTCACTGAATGGTTGCGAGGGTCTGAAGCGATGGGTTCCGTGTTAACGTAACGAGTAAGTTCCATTTCATAAGGGCCGTCGGAGGCGCTCATGGGTTTCATGATGACAGGCGCCCCGTCTGAAGTCCTAATGGCATCGAACATGATATTGGCCTGAAAGGGACGTTATGAAGAAACAAAGGATCTGTATGTCGATACAGAGAGACGTACCCTGACTTGTCCATCCTCTGTTTCGTGGTAGAACTGATTTTTCCCCCTCCACGATGGCACCCAACCTTCCTGGTATCTGGGTGCGCGAAACCTGTATCCGGCTTCCTCGAAAAAGGTACGACATCGAAGCCAACGATGTTCCGCAAAGGTGAGCGAGCCAGGACCATCAGTAAAGGCAGTTGGGCGTCCGAAGACGGCGAGCTCTGCCTGAGACATCTGTCAATATCGTATGTAGGAATTCCTGTGAGGTTAAGTGGTCATGACAGACGAGACGACGAATGGCGGGCCGGATGCAAGCTGGAATCAACATCACTGCAAATATATACAAACAATGGATACGGTGGGACAATGACCACGGACTCGGAGGTTGTATCATGTCGATGGGTTTGGCGCGACTTGTTTTCTGACGGAAATCTTCTTTGAAGCGCCCGGCGGTGCGCATGCCAACACAGAAGACCAACACACACAGGTACGTACCGTAACCGCTGCTCCTTTACCGGGGATCTCGACCATACTGGTCTCTGGCTCTTTTTGTCTCTTCTACTGCTTGAGCCGACCGAAAGGTACCCTCGTCGACCACGCTGTTGATGCTTATGGGACCTTGTGTATCTTTATGGATGTCTACGTTCACTTGCCTTGCCCTTCTACAGAAGCCAATCGTCTAGGATCGAACATCGCTATCGCTATCACCCGTCTCCTGCATACACCAACAATAGACACGCAACATTCCGTTGCTGCCTTACTCACAGCCCTCCACCGGAGTAGGACGATCTTACAATATCACTCGACCCTCGGAATCCTGTCCACCCTCGGCACAAACCACCAACAAGCCCCCTGCGCGCCCAGTAGCGCAACCACACTCGGCTCCACGATCCATATCCCCACTCCCTTCTGTGCGCTCAAGAGACCGACCAATAACGGGAAGAGAGCGCTTCCGATTTGACCCACAGAGGAGATGATGGCGAAAGCGTCGGCGTGGAGGCGCCGGGGAAGGAGTTTGCCACCGGTGGTTATCACGGTGGCGTAGAAGGTCGAGATGGCGAGGCTATAGAGGCACCAAGAACCAAGTAAAGTAAAATCAGTGGATAGTCCTTGGAGATGGGCGAAGAGGGAGAGTGGCAGGTGGAAGTATGCTGGCATGATGATGTGGTGGAAGGCAAAGCGGCGCACCCGACAAGAGCAGTAGCAGCAGCAGTAGATGCGACTGCAGGGACAGCCCATGCGATGGCTTCGAGCGCGATCGCAATAGCAAGGTAGAAGAAGATAGCACGCCGTTCACCGATGAATGTGTTCAGCGCTGGGAGAGCGATGCGTCCGATTGCTAAGCCTGGAGGCGTCACATATAAAGATAAGCCACGGTGTCCGATGTCGAGCTTGGAAGGGGAGAGGCAACGCACCGAGGTAAAAGGCAGAGGCGACCCAAGAAGCACCTTCGGGACTGCCTTTTCGGACTTCAAGGACGTAGGAGACAATCCATCCACCACTGCAGACGTATGTGCGCCGATGATCGGCTATGTCAATCCTGCCGAAAGGGTAATGGCGAGCGACAGAATCACTTACATTGTTTCCTCGGCTCTGAGAATTCCGTCGGTTGCGCAGAAAAGTTAGCGACTTTCGGCAAGAGCAACTGGTCAGGCATAGCATACGTACCCCACGTAAAGCATCAAAAATATAGCGAGAATCCAAACCGTCTTGCTCGTCAATGTTTCACGTAAACTATGATCCGTACCTCCAACGGACACTTGTGGCTCCGCAGGATGTGCAGGTAAGGCTTGAAGATCGTGGAAAGCGAACCAGACGAGTGCGAATACGGGGACATTCATCCCTACGTTGGTCACGTAGAATAGGTGGTACTGGACGCGTCATACAATGTGAGTTCCTAGGTAGAGATATTAGGTTATTGAGGACAGAACAGACGGGAATTCCATGAGTGACCATGGCGGTGGCGACGAGAGGGCTTGCGAATGCGCCGAGGCCATAGATACCGTGAAGGATACCAGTGTACATCAGTGGTCGGCGGAGGAGTGCGAAGTAAGCATGACACAAGCCAAGCTAAGTTTGAGACCGTTAGTGTTACACCATGATTAATAATAATGCCACATACCTGTGTGGCAAATGCGACCCCTACGACCCAGAAGCCGAAGCACATTAGATTGAAGTTAACTTGTTGAGATGAGTTGATAGCATTCTACATATATGGTGGTTTACTTCAGCAAACAACTTGGGTTATGAGAGATTGAGGGACGCACGCCGACGAGCTCTATGGCTACAGCAACAAGTAATGCTCTACCAAACCCGATCTTCCGAGCTAGTGTGCCTGAGGCTGCCGCTGCCGCAGCGTAGCCCAGAAATGTGGAGACGAAGAGGATCGCAACGCGTGCGTATCCGATATTGTAAGCTTCTTCGATGTAAGGGATGAGAGCACCAGTCGCTCCTCCACTGGACACGTAAGACTTAGTATGAGTTTTTGAGTCTGAACACGGTACGAGCAACCTACTTCCAACCAGCTAGAAAGAGCGTCACAAAAGCTGCACCCATCCGTAGACGCCGCGTGGATGTGCTTTCCGGAAGAAGTTCTTCACTCACCAACGCGCCAGGTGCTGACGACGCCGTCGCTGGAGGATAGCTGAGTTCAGGTAGCACTATAGATGGCGCCATGACGGCTAGGTTCGCTGCATTGGCCAGCTGGTCATTGGGATCATCCGAAGGGTGGCTCTCTTCGGCGATGCCATTGTCGGCCACATTCAGCGTCTCTTTTGACTGTCGATCGTCCTCGATCTGTGGTGATTTTGTGTCGTCATCGCCAGTAGGTTCTCCGGATGCTGCAACTCTGTGTCGAGGCTGGGGAATGTTAAGCGTTTCATCCGGTATCAGAGCGAGAGATCCGCGTTCGAGACGAGAAACTTCAGAGAGCTCGAAGGCGGTAGACATTGACGACCCAGAACTGGCGATACCGGGGCAGTAAGAGTGAGCTCGAGTTCGTCGTGGACGTCGATGTGAAGAGTCCGAGAGGTGAGCCTCGGACTTTAATTTTTTAAAGCGTTGGGGCTAGGGCTGGGACATTTACGTATCGCAAGACATCTGAGACGTAGCCATTCCTAAGAGCATGACCAGCCTCCTGCAGAGAAGATAAGTCCGAGACGTTCTGCAGGAGAACCTTGTTCATCTAGAGAGAAAATACGAGACCGAGCCTGATTACTGTGCATGAGACAGGTGGCAATTGATGTGGCGTGTGCCGGAGCCGACATGACTCAAAGAAAAGACGCGGAGCTCCAAATATCGCGTGCCTTGGCCCTGTTATTCAAACTCAGAGGCCCTCAGCCACTTGCGCCCAACCTGCGCCTGCCCCTCACCGTCTTTGACAACCTCCACGTCGTTCTCCACGCCGCAAACGACATCGTCCTCGGCACCTCATCACCACCGTTTAATACGCTGAAAATCCGGACAAATTAGCCCTAGTCTCTTGTCTTTCTAGTTCTACCACTTACTCGTCTCCTCGTACGTCAGCGCGCTCTTTTTTCTCAGGCCACACTCTGTCTCACTCCCCGCAATCCATCTAGTGCCACTTGCTCAGTCCAAATGCCCGCTCCGACAACGATCAGACACAACAAGTCATCTTCTGCCAACCCACGCTCTCAACTTCAGACGAAGAAGAAGACTAGGATCGTAAGGAGGCGAGGTCGGGCGCAGGACGGGATCTACAGCGACGAAGAGTTCGAACGCGAAGCAAGGTCAGATTCAGACTCTGATCAAGACGACCGTTCCTCTATCGACTCCTCTGAAGACTCCGAGACCGAACCGGCCTCAGAAGATGTCCCCACCGTTTCTGCCCCCCATCAGCACCAAGTGGACGTCGTGGAGCCTGGCTCAAGCTCTCACACCCCGCAACCTCCTGACGTCAACCGCATTTCGGTCTCGAAAACGTCCCCAGCACTCCTAGGAGGGTCGACAGATTGGTCGGAGATGGTGGCGAATGAGGCGCTAGACGAAAACGGAGATGCGGAGCTTCCAGTCATCGATTTCGCCGACATGGACCATCATGCGCCTGCGGCACGCTCACAGCCTTCGCATGCGAAGCGCGGGAAGAAGGTCGCCGTTGATCGTACTTCCTCCATGTCTGCTGAGGCACCTGAACCTGAACCAACTTTGCCAGAAGAGGCCGACGTACCTGACTCGGAACCCTCGACTTCGACTCATACAGCTCGTGGCAGAGGCGGGTCTCCCTATTCTCGTCCGTATGGCCAAACCGCTCGCCAGGCCTACCAAGAACGCCTCCAGAAAGATCCTTCGTACGTTCCCGTTGTTGGCGAATTTTGGGGCCACGATGACCGGCTGTTGGACAAGGGGTTGAGAAGTCTGAGTAATTGGTGGAGAGGACGCTGGCAGACACGAGGCAGAGGGCGGGGAGGGTTCGATGGTGGATTTGGACCGAGAGGGCGTGGAAGGGGCGGTTTTATGGCTGGTGTGAGGCAGGAGCCGGAGCTGCCAGAGGAGGAGTTGCCACCCGTCGAACGACAGTGGACGCACGACGGGTTTGAGGAGCTGAAGAAGAGGGAGGAACGGCGTGCTGCGCCACCGCCACCCCCACAAAGAGGTGGTTTCAGAGGCGGTGCCCGTGGTGCCAGGGGTGGCTTCATAAACAATCGAGGTCGAGGGTTCGCCACTCGTCCCGCTTTCTCTCCAGCCGCTTCCTTCGACAGTTCTCCCAGTCGTCTGCCTCCAAAGGCCTCGCCTGCCGACACTTCGACCCGTACGTGGTTTGCCATGAAGCCCGAGCGCGTCTTCACACAACGTTCTGAGTCCTCTTTATTCTTCGACCATGCGCTCAAACCTCGCGCTGGTATGGGCTATGGATATCGCGTCAAACTGCCTGGGAGAGGTGAAGCTCCTGTTATCGTAAGAGCTCCGCCTCAGACGTGGGCTCCCCGTCCACCCTCACCTGTGCCTTCCGAGGTGGAGGAGGTCGAACGACTGTTCACTGTTCGACTACCTCCCCGCCCAGGGCAGAAGCAGGCGGTCGAAGCCTCCACAGAAGCCGTGCTGTCCCTGAATGTCAGCACGGCGGAGCCCAAGGACACTGCACGTCAGAAGCCATCCGAAGACGACACTCAGCCCATCGCAAAACCACCGCCTGCTAGCATCTCTATTCCCTCCCCGGCCTCACCGTCCCTACCCACGCCTTCGTCAATTGAACGGTCACCATCCGTCGCGCCTGCTGTTATACCTCCAGAAGAACTAACCCCCGAACCTACGGTTGAAGCGCCTTCTGAAGAATCTCCCTCGCCCTCCTCTTCGACAGACGGCTGGATCCACGCGCCCCCACCCGACTCAATACCACCTACCGTGTCCCCTATCGCAGAGCATCCGGTACCAGCGCCTCCTATGCTTCCACCCATCCAGACCGTATTTTCTCCAGTCGGCCACACCCCATCGCCCCTCCCCTTCGGTTCTCCGTATTCTTACCCTCCCGCACTCCCTTACCCTCCACCCCCCGGTGTCGTTCTTGACCAGAATGGAATGCCATATGACTACGCCACTGGACGCCCTGTGTACTTCCAACCTGCTCCTCTACCGGCACAACCCACTCAACCGCACCACGGTCATCATCTCAGCCACCATTCTATTTACGCGCCACCGATGCAGCCTCCAGGTCTCCCCGCCCCTGCGCCACTGCCACCAAGAAGCGTAATGCCCGCGCATATGCCTGGAATGCCTTTCGTTCCCCAACACTTCCACCATCACTCGACTGTCTCGCCTTCACCAGACTTCCAGGTACAGCAGCAAGAGCCTCGCGGTCCACCTCAATACGCGCCTCAAGGACCTGGTGCGGGTCCGCCTTTGGGTGAGATCTTCGTTCCACCGAGGCAGAGCAGCAGGATTGAGATTCGCAGACCTGGGGAAAATGGAGCCAATGGATATTCTCATGAACCCAGCCGGAAGGACATGATGTCGCCGAGAGGACCTAGTCATCTACGATCGTCCGTGGTCGCCAGTGGCGATGGTGAAGAGGAAGCTTCTGGTGCCGCTCCGTTATCAGCATCGAGCGCTCCAAAGACGCCCGCCGAATTGGTGAAAGTACCCGAGTTTGTTCCTTCTCGGCACTCGCACTCGCATTCTCAGAGCTTCAGCTTCACACAACCGCCACAAGAATTCTATCCTCCTCCCGGGCTTCCGCCGCTACCTTCGAACCAGCAAACTATGAACGGCGACGAACAGCACCAACACGGGATGGAGCATCCGGCACAGATGTATAACCCATACGCACCGCAGCCTCAACACCATCAGCAGCAATATTACTATGCCCCTCCTGGCCAGGCGGAAGGGTACGGCTACGATGCTCAGTCACAGGGCTACGAAGGTTATGAGTATGGTCCGCAGAGTGCGATGGGGCCTGGGTACGAGCCGCAGGTACAGGGTTATGATCCAATGGTTGGCATGCCGGGCATGGGGTCGCCTTATGAGATGTATGGTGGTCAGCCTCATGGAGGGACGGTTTATTATACATGAGGGCTCATTCGTGGTCATGGTTTGGTCGTGGTTGTGGCGGTTCATGGGTTGGGGTGGCGACAGATTGGGTGGCGGCTTGATTCTGCTCTGCAAGTTGTGTTCTCCGAACGTTGCATTATTTCTAGCCATTAACCTTGGGGTGTCTTTTCTTGCTTTTTCTTTCCTTTTCCTCCTGGTCTCCTTTTTTCTTCACTTGCGCTTGTCCGATAGCGCGTCTTGACTCTGAGCTCTCGTGATCCTCATATTCTTTACACGCATGTGTACTTGCTCTCCCGGGTCGTATCGTGTCCTTGTTTCTCCGCTCTACTTCGTTTCTCTCGGCTCATAGGTCGTCTATACATCGGTATCCATACTTACATATATATTTGTATACACATACTACACGCATCACCCTCCCGCTGCTCACCTGTCACGTACTCACAATGCCTGTGTTATCCTATCACTTACCGTCCTGCATTTTCCTTCTCCCTCTATATACATTACCCAATGTCGTTGAACTTGTCCTGTCTTCGCTCTTTTTTTTTGCCCTTCTCCTTTTCTGATTCCCGCTTTTTCTTGTTTCGTATATTTCTCATTTTGTCTTCAGTCTATCTGCTCGTCGTCGTTTCGTTATCATCCCAACGCGTTGCTTGCTTCCCTTGCGCGTGCCTCGTCCGGTCTTTCCTCTTCTTTTCTTTAGAGCTTTCTTGTCTTTGTTCTCGTCAACTCGTACGTACGTCGCTTTCTTTCATATCTTCCCCTTCTTGATGTTGATGTTGATGTCAGGGTGGTTCTCACCGTATATAGTGGCTAACTTGTGCTTGGTGTGCGTCTTTTTGTGTTGCGTCCTCTGACGAATATCGTTCAATCCCTCTTACACTGCAATTCGGACCTAAGATTGAAGGGCTGTGGCCTGATCTGGATTGAGGCTCAATCGACAATCTGACTTCATTTCAGCCGTCGAGCGACCGCCCCTCTCGAATGAGTTATGCGCCGTGTGCGGGAGACTGAGCCGAATAGGACTGACCATATTCTGGGCTTGCGTTCGAACGGCGCTGTACTTGACCCGCTTCTCATGCAGGCGAGGATCTACTTTTGGCCTCTAGCGTGGAGGTCGCTCCGCGAGCAATCCGCGAGACACAAGCTACTCCGCGAGGCTGCAGCGCCACCGGTGGGTGGGTTACGGCAGAGCTCGTGATGAAAGCACAGATGGAAGTATCAAGGAATTGCACGTTCGTTGTGCAATGATAACTTTATTATGCCCATCGGTATGCTTTTAGGACGGAGTTCCTTTTCTCCTCCTTCTTTTCCTCGTCGCTTGCAGAGAGGCATATGATATGGCAGCACCAGACAACGCACGGCGCATCTTAAAAATGATTCGAGATCTGAAAAGAACGGCTCTCTGCGGGTGAGTGACCCGGGAGAAACCGAGGGGTGTGCAGCAGATACGTTGATCCAAAAAGGTCAGATAACCTTCAAGTTCCTCCATCCATCCTCCAATAAGCCCCTCCGACCCTTTCCGCTGAAGTCGACTCGAACTTGCTTACCCTCACACCTAATTCTTACTTATAGACACTCCAATTCTTACCGTCATCCTCTCATGCTCAATGGGAGCTTCGTTGATACTTTTGGAATATAGGACGATGGTCGATCCTTTCTGACGTACGTGCTCAATACCTTTTGCGGACAACTTGCGAAAAGTCGAGATAACCTTCTTTCCAAAGGACACAAGGTTCTTGTTCCGCAGCTCACAGCATCTCTTTGGTACAATTTCGAAAGCTCTCCGCATCCGTTTCCTTGCTAAATATGTGTACAGGAGACTATCGCAAACGTCGTCTTTCTTCACCCAATATATTGTGGCAACTAGGACTGTATGAAACCAATGGAGGGCCCTCGTCTTTCTCCCGAAATCCGCAAGGGCGCTCTTCCGCGGCGTATGGTCCAACCTAGCATCGACGCATTACGGCCCCACGTTCCCTCCAGAATACAGATGTACCTTAAGTTCGAGTGCCAACTGATACTTTTAGATTTCTGTGTATCTGGCGGAGATGGCTAACCATTATCCGCAAGCTCGCACGCTCCCTGGCTGGATTTATAGCAACTAGAGATGGTCGCTGGGGTTCTTATCACACGTTGTCTTTCCCTCTTCGACTACTCGCCCATTTAGTCATTTACCACCATGAGCGAACTCACCGCCTGTCTCACTACTTCCGAGAACGGCTTCCTGGTTACTGGCAATGAGGAGCTTCGCTACGGTTGGGTTCTCTCCCATTATTTCATATCTTTTCGTGCTCATTTTGCTCTTGTGAAACAGAATTTCAATTCATCGACGACATCTTTCATCCTAAGCATGAACATCTTGCGATGATATATAGACAGTGGAATCGTGTTCTACTCGTCACGGATAGCAACGTGGATCGGCTCTACTCCAAGCAATGGACCGCTTACTTCGCGTATCATAACATCCTGCTGGATACGTTCGTCATGGAGGGCGGAGAGAAAAATAAGACGATGACCACTATGTTGTCTATTGTTGATGCGATGAACGCATTTGGCGTCAATCGAAAGGAGGTTGGTCGTCATCTTTACCATCGAATTTAAGCGCATAACTGATGATGTTGTGTCTAGCCTGTCCTCATTGTCGGCGGCGGAGTTTGTACCGACGTCGCAGGCTACGCGTGCGCTTCCTACCGTAGGGGCACGAACTTCATTCGAGTTCCGACTACCTTGATTGGTTTGATAGATGCTTCGGTATCAATAAAGGGTGAGCAGCTACCAGCCAATCAATTCCTTCACCGATATAGGCTGACTGAGCCACCCAGTCGGCGTCAACCATGGTGTCCTGAAGAATCGGTTGGGGGACTTGTACGGTTTTTACTCCTACCCCTTCGATTATCATACCAAGACCATAATTTATATATACATACTTCTCAGTCATGCGCCGTTATCAACCTTCCTCGACTTCGACATGCTCAAGACCTTGCCCGAGGCGCATGTTCGTGACGGCCTTTCTGGTCAGTGGCAGATCCCCACTATAGGTCTCTTTAGAACTGAAGGAATCGCTCTCGATGCAGAATTGATGAAGATAACTTCATGCACTGACGTATACTCGTGGAAGCTTCTCGTCGACCACGGTCCTGCTTTGATCGACTCCCGCTTTGGTCGTACCGCCAATTGCGATCCGAAGCTCAAGAAGATTGCAGATGATATTACTTACCGGGCCATCAAGGTTATGCTTGCTGTCAGTACCTGCTGTATATCATCTCTCGTGCACTCCCACTACAATCTTGCTTTGTTTAGCTCGAAACTTCCAATCTTCACGAGATCCGGCTTGACAGAGTCATGGCGTACGGTCACAGCTTGTCTCCGACGTTGGAACTCACGCCTATCGTACCTCTTCGCCACGGTCACGCTGTCAATATCGATATGGCGTATTTCATCACTTTTGCGTGGACCCGCGGTTATCTCACCGAAGGCGAGCGAGATGAACACCATTATCTTTCTCACAGTATCGGATTATCCATGGATCACGAGCTCTTTACGTGCGAGATGATGTGGAAGGCCATTGAAGATATCAAGCCAGTCCTTGCCCACGACTTCAAGTAGTCCAAGCTATAGACCCTGACACATTTGCGTCATTCTAGGAATAGTCGCAACGGGAAGCAGCGCTTCGTTATGCCGAAGCCATACGGTTCATGCATATTCGTCAACGACGTTGCTTACGAGGAGCTCTACGACGTCCTTGAGGTTCATAAGGCTCTTGTCAAGGAGAAGTACGGCAGCGGTGATGGCATCGAGGCTTGTTTTTCCTACTATTCCCATTGCTACGTTTCCTTAGCTAACCGTACTGTTTGCTAGGCCGTCGTTGATGATAGTTCTCTTGGTATCAACTCATCCCTTTCCGCGAAGTAGGACACTGCAAGAATACTCTATGTCAGTTAACTCTAAATGGCCAACATCGATGTCGAACTCTTTCCCCCGGAAAATGGTTGCTGCTCTGGTCTCTCGAGGTCTCCTTCCGCGAGACTTGGAGCGAAAGAATTCGCATACTGACCCAGGGCTAGCAGTGTCCTCACTCGTTAAGCGTATTCTCCCCTTCATTTATTCTGGCAAAGGTTCAGGAATGCTCCGTGAGGCATAGATCGAGACTCGAGAGTTCGGGGCCTGTTTCCCTACTATCACGTTGTGCGAAACGAAGAAAACGCAACTAGGCCACATCCTCGCCACAAAGGCCGGCTCATGCACGCTCGGCCAACGCAGCCGTAAAATCGAAGGCAAGGCCCGAGACGTAGATTCGAAACACGTATCCTACTGTCACCCAGGCATTGAAACTTGATCGAGTTGGAGGCTCCACACTGAGGCGTGGACTTAGACCTGAAATATGTCCGTTACGCAACCGTAATCGGGTAAACTTGAATGCCCTTTTTCGATTCTTTGCTCCCTTCGAGCAATTTTTGGCAGTGATCCTCCTTCCCTCCCATATAGGACCTGCATCAGGCAAACAAACCTCGTACTTGGGCGGGGTGTGTGCCAGGGAGGCCGTACATTCCTCTTTCGCTACTCGGGTTGTCCGGTGATTGCAGGACTGCCAACCCAAGACTCTATATTGTTTCATATATAGTGGAAGAGTTGCACGGTATATCATCCTACTTGAACCCCTGCTTCGCGCTGTCAATCATGTCCGCTGCCTTGAATTTCACCAATACCTCACTTCTCGAGATTGAGTCTCGCGCCGCTCCAGATGAACTCTTGACTTTTCCTCACCTCGGACCACCACAAAGATTCGGAGCATCGGGAGAGCACGGCGATGGTAGTTGCGTATCGTCCTTGGATAACGCTGCTAAATCACCCACAATGGACGAACCTTTCGTCAAGGAGAGTCATGTCCTGGGTCCTGGTCATGCGAAGTCGAACGCGGCGATCACGAACATTGTAGTAGCTCCCTCCATCGTGCATCCGAAGACCGAGTACCCCCCTCCCAAACCATCGAAACCTGACACAAGAAATGCTATTATGGTGGGACCCCTTCCAGAATCTCAAAATATGCGACGTTTCCGGATGTGTGCATCCTTTGTCACGCTCTTCCTCGCCGGGTGGAAGTACGTCGTGTCGGTTATATGTAGAAACTTCAACACCTTTCTGATACCTCCTCCGTTCCTTCTTACTTCTACGTTTTACTAGTGGTGGTGCAACTGGAGCTCTTATACCCTACATTGAGGAAGCCTTCAACATCAGCTATGCTCGCGTCGCAATTCTTTTCGTCTCCACCTTCTTTGGATACGCCGCCGCCGCCGTCGCCTCTGGAGCATTAGCTCGCAAGGTAGGCTTCGGGAGAGCTTTACTTCTGGCGGTCACTGTGGAGCTCATCGGAGTGAGTCTTAGGTTCTCGCCTACTTAAAATGCTTTCCGCACTGACAAGTTTTGGAAAAAGAACGTCATAAACTCATCCCAGCAAGTCAGCTTCAGCCTGATGTGTTTTGGTTTTTGGGTCGTGGGGGTCGCTTACGCTACACAGGTATATATCATTGTATCACTTTCGAGATACTGGCTCAACCAAATAAGCTTGGATTATGCAACGCTTATTTCGCGATTCTTCGACGGCCATTGTTGTATACTGGTATACTCCATGGCATCTACGGCCTTGGCGCGTTCGGAAGTCCTCTAATCGCAACTGCGATGGTCACGCGTGGCTACCCAGTACGCACCCCTTCCTGATACTGTCGTTATGGAGAGGCTATAATCAGCTTTTTCTACAGTATCATCTATTCTATCTGACCAATATAGGGATGAACATCCCCGTCTTTATTCTCATTTGGCTCGCCTTTCGTGGACTTCAAGTCCTACCCTCACATCCCGACGAGCCCCAGGCAGCTAATGCAAGTGATCGGCGCCATTTACGCGAGACATTGTCTAGTAAAGCGGTCTGGACTCTTGCAATATTTCTGATGCTATATGTAGGGTATGTGCTTCATCCTCGGTGTCGAAATTGTCAAGCGTCACTCAAGGAGTATGATATCAACAGAGCTGAGGAGACCATGTAAATGCAGCGCAACATTCTCCCGGTAACTCAAACTGATAAACGGATGGTTTTAGTGGGGGATGGATCGTTTCCTATGTCCTAACGGTCCGCAGGGGTAGCCCCGAGGGCGCATCCTGGGTTGCCTCCTGCTTTTACCTCGGTTCGCATACTGTTCTCCTCCAATGTCAATTGTAGAACAATGGTCGTAGAACTAACATTTATCTAGGCATAGCAATTGGGCGTATCGCCCTCCCAGCATTAAACACTTTCATGGGAGAGAGACGCGCTATCTTCATCTACTTGACTGTGGCGATTGCTCTTGAAGTGGTAGCATGGCTCGTTCCTGCCATTGCCTCCACCGCTACTGCCACCGCACTCGTCGGGTATGTGTACAACTTTTATTATGGCATCTTTCTGTCCTCCACATACCTTGGCGATGTCAACGCTGTTTGTTTTCTGACATCATTTTCTTCCATTCAAACATTGACACTGTCCCGCTCTCACTCTCGCACAGTCTTGCGATATCAACCTTTTATACAGCCGCCATCACCACAGGTGGAAAATTGATTCCTCGCCATCTCCACGCCGATGCCTTTGCCCTCATCTCTTCGATCGGCCAACTAGGCAGCGCGTTCTTCCCGTTGTTGGTTGGCGTCTTGAGCTCGCAGAAAAGTATAGGAATATGGATCTTGGAGCCGACTGTGTTGGCGTTGCTGGTAGCGCAGGGGATTTGTTGGTGGTTTGTGCCAAGAGTGGAGAAGAAGGTTGAGTGAGGTGATTCAATCGTGCGTTTTTGAGTGGCACGATCTGTGTGGGAGGTCTGAGGCAAAAATATCCCACGCTGGGCGATGTTGCGGGTTATGAGTATGACTGTGGCATCGTCTTCTGTTGAATACTTACGAATAGAGATATCAGTGCTACTCAAGTCAATATTAACGATCACCAGACCACTCTAATGGTCCGTAGGGATGACACGTAAGAGCGCAATAGTCCAGGGATTTCAGGCCTCTGCTCCCTCCCGAATGAAGGGAACAAACGAAGTTCAAGATGATGGATGTGAGAAAAGTCGGAAGTACCGTACATGATGACGGGCCTGGCAGTGGTGCATCTACGCTGAACCGCAGTGAAACACGATATCAGACATGCATAGCCAACCTACCTTACAGAACTAGACAAGCGGTTGCTTTGGCAGATGCATACGGTAGACCCAACGGACCTTTTGTTTACTTACGCATCGAAACCTCCATGAAATAGACATAGCGAAGCCGGCACCCAAAAGAAAACGAGAAAAGAAACATGTACAGTGAACATGGTTATCAGAAAGCAGGTGGTGGTGATGACGACAGTGCTATGAGGGTCTGCTAGTGGTCGAACGTAGCGATGCAAGTGTTCTTGATGATTATCGGACTCATAGCGACACCACGATCCAGAGAAGTAGTACACAGCGGACCGCCTTCAAACTAGAGAAACAAGGGTCACATAGCTTAGTATAACAGGCAGCAAGCGATGATGAAGGCGAAAGCAAACATAGGTACTCGACTCAGCCAAGCGTCACCGATCTGCGCCAGGTCTCTGCCACGACGAAAGCGCCCTCGCCACCACCCGCCACCTGGTCCGTGCGCACCCCTCCATCCTTTATAGCCGTTGCCTCGACGTCCTGTTTCTGCATACTTACCTTGATGGGATATTCCCCTTCATCTACCTGGGAGTGTCGGCCGTCGGGCCCTTCCATTGCACGGCGACCTTGTCCTCAGAGGGGCCTGGCGGTTTGTACGGCCCTCTGGGTCGTGCACCGTCTCAATATTTTCCTGTCCCGATCCGGCCCTCGGGCTGGGCGGGCCATTATTTTTGTCGGCTGGCGGCGCTAACCCTAACCTTAGACAATCTACAATAAACACATTTTATAATACTGCATTTGGACATGCTTGCAGACCGTGAGAGTTGTGTGTCGCGTTCGGCGCGTCGCGTCGTCAAAGTTGCTCTGAATTGCTCTCCACCATCACCGACTTCGCCCTTGTGCAGTCAACATTTGCCATCGCTCTTTGTCACCATCGTTAACGACATTCAGCATTGTTTTTGATGTCGAGCTCACAAAAAGAAGAAGAGGGAGAACTCCAAGCACCGCAACGACCGCCCTCTCCCCCACCCCACACGACGTTCTCCGCTCGAGGTGTCCATGTACGCGCACGCTCACGAAATGATCCCGAAAGCAACTCGAAATAACCTCGTCTATGGCCTCTTATTATCTCTGTTCAATTCCATGCAACACACAGGCACCTAATTTCTCCGCTTTTCGACCTCGCGATGTCCGGATACCCTCACATCAGGGCATGAACCATGTCGCATGGAGTTGTGATGGGAAGAAGCTGGCAGCAGCAGGGATGGACAAGGCAGTGAGGATTTGGCAACCAGACAAGAGTGTATGCTCTCTTTCTTTCCTCGGCCAGTGAACATGTATTCTAGTCGGAATGCTCATATGAACTGGTTCGCTTCTAGTTGGACACGCGAGGATGTTCGCTGTACTCGATATCGCACTCGGACGATACCGACTATGTGTCCTGGAATCCAACGCATCCGGAGCTATTTTGCTCATCGAGTTCGAAGGAAAGGAGGATCGTGTTTTGGGACGCTCGACGTAAGTACCATTTTTTTCGATTCCATGCATTCTCAGGGGGGTTGAGACGATGTTCGGGCTATCGTATAGAGAGCAAACCCACCCAGATAGTCAACACACGATCTGCACCGATCCAAACGAACTACTCACCAGACGGGAAGCACCTTGTATGGGTCTCCGTCCCCAACCAGCTCCATTTCTTGTCGTTTGCGAAGCCAGAGGGAGACGATGGCAAGGAGCAGTGGGGCCACATGACGACTGATACTGTGTGTACTCCTACCAGTTCCCTGACCCTTCACTCTGCTGATCGTGTTTTCGGCTCGTTCTCTTCTGTTCCATCGTTCCGTGTTCCGTGTTTGGTGTTCGATAACGTAGAGCTTGACAGCCACGACGGCCATGTTCAACCACGTAGGCGACGGCCTTATCCTCACGCACATTTCAGAATACCAGGTCCGCATCCACGACTTTCCTGCGTTAACGGTTCAAGAAAGCCTTCCCGCGCATGTCGGAGGATGTATCGCCGCCGCTTTGGATCCTCGGGGAAAGTATGTCATTTGTATCACTTTTTGTTAGAAGACAAGTACTAACTTTTTTTTGCTGTCGCTTGTTCTACTCAGATACATGGCGTCGGGAGGATATGATACGATTGTGAACATATTCGATATGGACGAGTTGATCTGTGCGAGGACGATCACAGCCTGCGAGTGCGTCTTTTCATTCCACTCCAAATACGGTCCCTGTCCAGACAAATTGGCTCACGCATACACTCGGACACACTTTACAGACATTCCGTCACTGCGCTCAGTTTCTCCCATTGCGGCGAATATATAGCCATCTCAAACATCGGAAAATATATTGACATCGTACGCTTTGCTTTGCCATCTCTCTCCTACGTCCTTCACCATAATTAACATATGGCCCTTGGATAGTGTGCAGTCGAAACTGGTGCACATATGCACCGCATCAAATCTGTCTCCAGTTCGCCCACCGTCGCTTGGCACCCCTCGAGACATGCCATCGCATACTGTGGCCAGGTGGCAGGCCCACCATCTGTCGCGGCTGTCAGCTTGTTTGGACCGGGTGTATGAGATGTATGTCTGTTCGATTGTCGCGCGATGGTACAGTACAATATGGTATAGAATATCAATAAGTATCTGGGTATATTCCTATTGCGGTGTGCTTCTTCCAGAGTCACACAGCCAATGTGGCTGTCGATGTCCTTCCCGTGCTTTGGCATTGACATGCTGGCGTATGAGGGTGCAGCATCCGTTCTACTTCTTTCTCGAGATCATTCCACGAGCACTCTCCCTCGCTGTCTTCGTTCCGATGTCTGGACTCGTTGACCCATGCTGGACCGTCGATGATCAGGCCTGATGCATAGTCAGCTCATACGCATGGGTGGCGATGGTGGTGAAAGACCTACTGGATTTACTGATGTCGTTCACGGCTGTCACGCTCCGTGCATAGACAAGCGCGCCAATAGCTCGTGAAGCGTATTCACGACCACATGCGTAGCGCTCGTATATACCTCCGCTCGTATCGACCGATTGTGAGGTCCCGCCTCCAAAGCTCGAAACTGGACTGGCCTTGAGAGTTCTGTGGGTTGACTCGCAATGAGCAACAAGGCTAGCGATAAAAGAGTGTGACAGGATGCTTACGCTGTCAAATGCCTCACTAAGCATCGTTTTTGTTTCCTTTCCCATCCCTCATGGTGCCAGTTCAGCAGCTCCCAGATTTCGAGGAGCGCAGCATCGCCTTGTCTTAGACGATAAAAGTAGTGTGCGAAGGACATCTCGCGGACATGGTATTGACTGAGCACGGAACCGAGTTTATGTGTCTGTTATGGCGAACGATGGGAGATGCGTTAAACCAGGCAAAGGACGGAGATAGAGTAGGAAGGCGGACGTTAGCTAGACGGTATGTCTTCTCTGCTTCGTCGATGATGGCGTCCTGGTGCTCTTTCGAGACCCCCTTGACTGACTCTGTCGTCAGGACTATCTCGAGTTGGTCGATCGTGGCTCTTCCGCTATACACATACCAAGTCAGCTCCGCGATCTCAACACTGCACTGTAAACCGATAGACGAAGGAGATGGAGAGCTCACATCTCTTCTACCTCCCTCACATATTTTTGGATGTCTATGTGCGGCTCGAGGAGAGTCTTACACATGTTCATTTTGGATAGGGCATATAAGAGGTCCTGCCAGTTCTCGATGCATTTGCGCGCCCGGGAAGTGTCTTCGACGTAGACGGAAGAAAACGAGAGGGGTTTCTTTTCTGGGACTTCTGTCATGAAGGGCAGGGAAAAGGTAGCTTTGGTATTGGATGGGGGAACGTGAAGTGTCGAGATGTTATTGCTAGCTTGAAAGTCGTATGTGGAATTGTTATTTCGCAGCAAAGGCGCAGATCCGAGTCATGATATACGTCCTGTGAGCCCTCGTGTTATTGTGTACGAGTGGCAGTGGGCCCCTTCATTTAGTGATTTACGCCCCTTCGGAGGATACGAAAAAACAATACAAGAGAATTAATGAAGTGAGCCGGCTCCGTCGTTAACGACGCGCAGGGTAGTGATGCATATGATGAGGTCTGAGGAGCTACTTATTGTTATTGTGGGCCCGCCCACTGGGATGGGCGTCTTTGTCTTTGTGCCGCTTTTGGGACTTTTGATGCCCGCCTTCGTTCTCGTAGCACGCTGTTGATTGAAACGGAAGTCTCGTTGTGGGTTGTTGATGGTCATTTTCTATCCAATTGAATGTCTCCACCCACCAGTGGGCGCACAGCCAGGACCGGCAGTTTGGCGATATGACGGCAGTTTCCGGCCGTGATAGTTCGTTCTTGTCTGAAGTGTGGGGTACAGTGAGTGGCCATTATATAGTACGTAGGAGCATTGAGAAATATATGGAAGTCGTTCGTGGTCACCTTCCATGAGCAAGGAGATGCCTCAAGTATCGACTTAGGTTAATTTCGGTTATGCATGCCGAACGCAATTGACTTGGTGTGGGTGACGCATTCCTAGGTTGTCCTCGAGAACGAGTCTGTAATTGCCCTCGACATTACTCCCAAATGAGCAGCTGCGAACCAAGAATACGAAATCGGTATATTATCACTTCCTCGCGGATACATTGTCAAAGTATATGGTCCTGCCCATATCCTTTCCAGACCAATAGGGAGCCCGTCAAGTTAATGGTCCTTGTGTGGGGGTGGCGGGTGGCAGTGGGTTGTCGTGCGCTTGAGCAGTGGTTGGCGATGATTCGGTGTCGACGATTGTATGAGATAGTGCAGCTAGATATTACCCAGACGCGAAAAAAAAAATTAGACAATCAGAAACCGCAAACGGTTGAGGAAATAATCAATGAAGAAATCGACCAACCGATATCGATACCCAAGTCGTCGAGGAGGGTGTCTATCTCGGACACCCATTGAGAGTCGTGTTCTTGGGACGAGCGGCTTCCGTTGTTCAGGCAAGCTGATATGAGGATAATGATAGTGTGTGTAAACGAATATCGGGTGTCACGGGGATCAGAGGTAACTTACCATCTGTACTGTATCCCTCGTCTGGGGAGGTGCCCGGATCAGGTACGTCTTCGTTCGGGAGGTCAGATGGCTGGTTCGCGGAGATATTGCTCTGTGCCAGTCGTTGCTGTAAAAGTCCAGTATCAAAACGCGTACGAGATCAGCGAACCGAGACGTAGCGTGCAAGATCAGACAAAATAGCAGACCTGGACGACATCGAACCGTCGACGGGCAATATCGGAGTACATCCTCGCTTCCTTATTGGCGGCATAACGCGGTGCTTGGAATACATCAAAAGCAATTTGGCTGAGGCCACGATAGAACAATGCCCTAAATTGTGGCGCAAAGGGTGTGGCGCAAGTATGGTTGCCCGACGGTCAACGAAGACAACCAAAAGCGATAGATAGTGATAGAAGAGTCTACCATTGGAAGTCGGCCAGAACTTCGTTCTTGTCGTAGTCGCCCCACTTATCAGTGTCGGCACGCTTCACGAGGTCGTAGATTTGAGAAAGGAATGAGTCTCCAGTTTGCAGGGTGGATACGGTATCGGTCTCGAGGAGATGATCGTATGAGTCGGATAGTCGCTTGAGAAACGACACGAATATCGGCAAGATTGGACGGAATCAGAGAACTGGGCAACTGACCTCGGCAGACGTGGAAACACGGGACAAATGTCGGTTGAAGGAGATGATCAGCTTCAGGGCTCGCCACCTCCACCAATGAGGCTTTTGACGAACGAGCACCTCAGCCTCGTCGGCACCTTCGATACTGTAATTACCGGCTGGATAAGTCAGTAGAGCAAAATCAGAAAACATAGAGAGGTGACACTGACGCTCGTTTGACGCCCGTTATCGTAGTTCTTTGCTCTGGAGTTAGAGTAAAGGCATGCTCAAGGTAATCGTTTGCTTCAAGTAAATCTCGCCAGCGAGGTTTTGGATTCCGCTCAACAATCTTCATTAGACGCTTCTGAAGGCTCATCCCGAGTGTAGCAAAGAGAAGAATGGCACGGCGAGATTCAGTGAGAAAAGTGAGGAGAGAGAAGCAGTGCAGAATAATCATGGCGAAAATCAGTCAGTGACACGGAGCTCCAAGCTTTATACAAATCGCTTCGCCAAAAGAAGAGCATAAGCGCAACCAAAGCGTCAACATCGTTCCTCTTGGAGCCTATGGATGCAACGACAATAAGGACTCGGATGTCGCTGATGTAGCCGTTTGTGAACTTGGGCCCGCGAAGACGCCGAACGTATGGGAGTGACACGCCGATTTCGGCGGCGCAGCCTTGTTCTGCAGCGTGTTTCGTTCCCACCGACTGTGACGACGAACAGATGTACCACTGTGATGCTTGGAAGAGGGTTGGGTGGCGGCACTATTGTTATTGTCGTTTGTGGTGGGAATTTGGGGATGAGGTCGGGAAATAGCTGGTCGTGTTGGGGCGTTCGGGGATGTTTCTTGGGTCGTGGATGCTATATCAAGCAAAGTCGTGCAAAGTTATGAAGAAGTGTTATTGTAATGCATAGCCTGTCGTTTATTCTATTCAAGGCGAGGATGCCTCGAGGCTGAACTGGAGGAGACAAGGAGGAGACGTTCTGGGAGGGCAATACGCCACAATGGCTCGTAAACGTGGTCGACGGTATGAAATCTAGAAAGCGAACTGAGCGATCGTCTTCAACGAGGCCACCATACGGCCGCGTTACACTTCTGAGCCACTGTCTCCTCCTTGCAGCACTGTGCCACGACTTTGACTAGATTGTTCTATGGGCCAGGATACGAAGACGAACGAGAGGATGGGGGTAAGAAAGACGGATGGGGATGTGGCCCCACCCGGGGACGAATATAGAAACACGTGCGGGACCTTCAGCGAGTCTTCAGCGGTCGCCCCAGAGCGTCAGCCGCTGTAGTCCTTCTTTGCTTCGTACTCCCATGAACTACCTCTGGGGCGCGGTCAATGCCATTAGTGCCCCTTACCAATATTACAAGGAACTCGCCCCACTTAATCCGTCGACACTCACTGGTGCTATCGATGTCATAGTCATTCGCAGACCCGCTCCGGGCGGAGGCACAGAGTTGGCATGCACGCCATTTCATGTTCGGTTTGGGAAATGGCAGGTATTAAGACCTGGAGAGAAGAAGGTACGTTGATGTTCTTCCCGCTCTTCTCGCATGTTTCTCTCTCGTTGGGTCTCGGAAGGTCAACGTACGGGACACGGTTCACCGAGGCAGGCAGGGCAAGGATGGGTCATGGCGTTACTTGGGGATAGAGCTGGATGCATCAGCTCATGACCCCAACCCCAAAGCGCCTGATGTACTGCTGTCGAACTATTCTAGAGCTCACTCTGCACCGCCTTGGTCGTTCTACTTTCAGGATCCCAATTTCCTTGTCAATTCGCCTCACAAATCTCGGACGATGTATCCACCTATCCATTATCTCATACATCGGCTATCGTCGAGCACAAACTATCTCATGTTTCTCTGGGCGATACCATGCTGCGCGAAACCTATTCATGAGCTTGTGATTCTCATTGTTGCCTTGCGAACTATCTAGAGCCCGCCCGCTGCCTCGGGATTCTATCACAACTATCATCATACACCGCACTTTCATCTTGATAAAGACAATACGATTCTGCACTGAGAGTCTGCATCTATTGCGCGTTGGGATGCTCTATTGCTATGATCTCTGACATCTCCATGTTGACGTCGGGCTCGGGAGATATAGACTCCTAACTTTGAAGTGCCACACGAAGTGCTTGTGTGGCCCATTTGCGTGGCCTGCCGTGTTCTATTTCTCACACATCGACGGCCTGTAGCCATGCCGCACACCACCTCGTTTGAGGTTTGTATCGTTTCTGTCTCTGAAATGGTATATTTTATCTCCCGATGTTGCCCGTTTCGCCTATCACAAGCTATTCGACATACTACCGTTACTCTTACTTTCACAGCTCAGCTCTCTAACACTTGCTCTATCAATGCGCTTACACGATTTCTACCTTCAGGTCAATGTAGCCATCAACGGCAAACCCATCCCATTCAACATGAAGATCGGAGACGCCGGCGAAGCCTTCTTCATCTTCGAAACCGAAGGCGACATCCCGGACGATCTCATAACATCACCACTCCTCGAAGCCACGAAACCGGGGCAATCAAACATCCAGACACTCAAGACTGGACGTTTCGGTGCTAGGGAGGATGGACCGGATGCGGATGTGGATGCGGAAGGGGACATGGATATGGGGATGGGTGGTGGTTTGGGTTCGAGCGATGATAGAAGACAGACAGAGAGCACGCAGGAGCCTGATTTTTTGGACTTGAACGAGACGGGAGTGGAGCCGAATGCAGAAGCGTCAGGTTCAGGTTCAGAAACGAGACAAGATAGAGACAGGGATGAAGTGGGCAGTAGGAAGGGCGCGAAGGGCAAAGGCCAGCCTGGATTGTTGACTCGGACGGTTGGAGTGGGGAAGGCGGTCATTGATGCGGTGGGTAGTGTGGAGAGGGAAAAGAGAGGGGAGGTGAAGGATCAGGTCGAAGCTGCGCGAAACGTTACGCAGAACCTTGTCGAGACCGAGTTTCATGGGATCGGGAAGGAAAGTGAGCAAGATATGAGATTGAGGATTAGGGGTAACGATCCTGGCGACGAGGCGTTACCGAAGCTGAAGGACGAAGATCTGCAGACGCCAGATGTCATCGACAATGGTGGTGGGTTGTTCCTCTCGATCTCCGGAGCTAGCAGCACTCATTGAATTGATTTTATGGGACTCCGTAGATATAATGATGGATATGGGCGGGTATCATTCACGCCAACACAATCGCTCCCAATCTCACGAAAGCCGCCACGAAGATTACTTCGGCCAGCAATCTATTCCCTTTCCCTCCGCCGGAACACCTTCAACCAGCCTACCATCCTCACCTCTCCCAACTTCACACGTACCGCAACCACCGCAACCACAACCGTCCACCTCATCACCCAATTCTAGCCCTACCCGAACTCTACGTCCTATTCCCTTCCCAACAGGCGACCTCGACATCCGTGCGCCCTCTGCCCCACCAACCGACACCCCCGAACGCTGGGCTAAACGTCACCCTTCATTAATGATACAAGGCATGCCACCGCCCAGTATGCAACCTCAGGACGAATTCTCATGGGAATGGGGCGCATTCCCTCAAAGAAGTCCGATGAGGGCTTCGTTCGATCATCTGAAGTATAAACCGAGTAGGATGGGCGTTACGGATATGCTGAATGAGGAAGAGGAAGGTGGTGGGTTGGGAATGCCGAGTATCGCGGGTGTGGTTGGCGCGGCCGGTGGACTCGGTGGAGAGGGAGATGAGGATGAGGACGAGAGGAGGTTTCAGAGGAGTAAGAGTTTACCGCCGGAGTTGGAAGGCGAGGATTTGAGCTCGTCGATTTCTGTGGGTAGTGGGGGTGGCGGCCAGGACGCGAGAAAGGCATTGGAAGAGGTGATTCCCAGAATGGAATTTCCTTCCAAGGTGCGTGAGAACGAGAAAAGTGAGGACGAGCGGGAGCCCCTATCCGAGGATGAAAGCGACGCTCGTGCTGGTCCGAGGTCAAGGGAACGGGAGAGGCCGAGAGATGGTGAGGGAAACAAGAAGGGTCAGAGGTCGTGGACGAGATGGTGGACTGGAAATAAGAAGGATGGAAGGACGCATAGTGTGGATGTCAGGGGAGCGAATGCTCAGGATGATGCGAACGCGCCGACGAGGAAACAACTGGCGGAGGACAGGCCGCCTCTGAAGGCGTTCAACTCAGTTCCTGTTGTCACGGCAAGTACATTCGGTATCTACGGCGTAGTGTGGATCCTGACTCCAGTTTTTTTCGATAGCCTCAAGGCATCGCCGCCGCCGAGAGTTCCACGCCGGAATCTGAGGAATTCGACCCTTCATACGGGGTCTCGGCCAGATCGCTACCCAACGACACTGCTCCCATACACCAATTCACTAGCACACCTCTCCAGGAATCACCGCCATCTCGAGTTGAGCCCGAGCCAAGCAAACGATTCGCAAAGACCCTACGATTGACTTCGGAGCAACTTGTCAGTGTCTTCACGGACCTACATCTTTATTGTTCCGAACTGACATCGTGGCTTTCTCCGTGTTCATGTTTTGTAGGAGAGGCTCAACCTTGAACCAGGCGCAAACACTATCACTTTCTCGCTTTCCAGTTCAGGCGTGGCTGCGTGTACAGCGCGAATATTTGTATGGGACTCGACAGACCATATTGTCATCTCTGATATTGACGGGACTATCACCAAGTGAGAATCACCTCTTTCTTGAGCTCCTTTCTTGACTTCGTTGACCTGTTATAACTTCATCTTCTAGGTCTGATGCCCTCGGCCATGTCTTCACCATGATCGGACGAGACTGGACGCATCTCGGTGTGGCGAAGCTTTATACCGATATCTGCAGAAATGGGTACAAGATCATGTACTTGACCTCGAGGGCCATTGGCCAGGCCGACTCGACACGATATTATCTACAGGGTATCAAGCAAAACGATTATCAACTCCCAGAGGGTCCCGTCATCATGAGTCCCGATCGGTTGATGGCTTCGTTGCATCGGTGAATATTTTTTTCTCACTTACTCCCAAATGTCATGCCATTTCAGGGTACTCCGTAAACTAATATAGGGTTGTACAGGGAAGTCATCATGCGCAAACCTGAAGTGTTCAAGATGGCCTGTCTGCGCGATATCCAGCGCCTCTTTGGACCTACCTCTCCCAGCCCTTTCTACGCAGGCTTTGGCAACAGGATCACCGACGCCTTATCGTATCGAAGCGTGAATGTTCCAAGTTCGAGGATATTTACAATCGATTCAAACGGCGAGGTCAAGATGGAGTTGCTCGAACTGGCTGGGTACAAGTCTCCGTGAGCTTTTCACACCTCTTACTTAGCCCAAATGGGTCTCCGGACGCTCGCTCACCCGATCACCTCAGGTCTGTGGCCAGCTACATCCATATGACCGATCTCGTCGACCAAATGTTCCCTCCAATTCAGCATAAGTGGGAGTCCGAGTTCACAGACAACAACTACTGGAAAGCGCCCGTCGCAGAATTCCCTCTTCCCGACCTCTCCCCACCCTCTCCAGCACTCTCCGCCCGCTCCGACACATCGAACGTCTCCACGCTTGCAAGGCTAAGGAACTTCAGCCTCCGGGCCAACAGCGGAGTCGCTAGTGCAAATGCGGCGAAGAGGATGACGTTGCCCCCTCCCGTGACGGGTGAGGTTAGGGGTAGGCATTTGAGTCTCGAAGGTGTTGGTGCTGGAGTAGGGACCGGAAATATGGATGAGAATGGGAAGAGGTTGAGGCAGATGTCGAGTATGGAGAGGTTGAGTAGTGCGCTCGCGGGATTGGCAGTGGGTGGCGGTGGCGACAGGAGGAGTGTGAGTCCAGAGTCCTCGTCAGGGACATATTTGGATTCGGAGGACGATGATGCGGAGAAAGGGGAATTGTTTATCGATGGACGAAGACGGAGGAGGAGGGTCAGGACGGAGAGTATGCCCGGCTCGTTGCCAGAGTCGAGGGCAGGTACGGATGATGAGGAAGATCTGGAGTTCGGCCCTGAAGAGGGTGAGGAAGGGGACGAGGACGATATCCATGAGGAGGAAGAGGAGGTCGCGGAGCAGGAGTTCGATGATGATTTGTTGGCGACGGGAGAGATGCAGAATGTGCCATTCTTGTAGATCGTTTTCGGTTTTCGTGTTCTCAGTGGTCGTTGCATATCACACATACAGCTCACACATCCGCACATTGCACGCAGTTCGTTTGCTTACACTCACAATCCACAGACACGACGCATTGATTTGTTGTACACACATGACATGTAAATTATCATCGGCTTAGTTGGTTGTCGCATCGCCATAGCTATAATAGATGCGGACTTTCCCTCTCGGGTGGTGGACTCATTTTGGAGATTTCACTCTGATTGAAGCCCGTTACGATTCCCTTCTACCCATGCGTTGAGCGATTATCGAAGGGACGTATAAATGAAAAAGCAATGGTGACCTAAAGCTCCTCCGACTTCTTCAGCGCACGCTGAGCGTGAGGTTTGGGGGGCTCGGACGAGCCCATCATGCCCAAAAAGTCGTGCACGATATCGGCTGCAGCGATACTCGTGATATCCGCTGTAAAGACAACGCATCTCAGCATCAGCGCCGCATGCTCAACAGGAGCAGTAGAGTGATAGGTACGCACCATTATCGTAGGCGGGTGCAACTTCGACGACATCAGCACCACTGTTATTTACGATGGTGTCGAGGTTAGACGAAGTATGTGAAAGTAGGGAGGACAAAGTTGGACGTACACAAAGTTGAGTCCGGATAGTCCACGGAGGACGCGCTTGACTTCGCGAGTGGTCCAGCCTCCAACTTCAGGCGTGCCGGCTACAATACAGAGACGAAAATTATATCCATTCGTGATTAGCGACCAAGTCTGAGCTCCAATTTCAGGATGAAAACTGACTGGCCGGAGCAATTGAGGGGTCGATCACGTCGATATCGAGCCTATAGTTATGTCGGAAGGATATAAATAGAGTCAGGATGTATATGTAGTGTAAAAAGGACAGGACTGACGTGAGGTAGACCGGATTCGTGCCAACACGATCTCTGATACGCTTGATGACCTCCGCGATGCCAATGTCGTCGATATCTTCAGCCGAGATGGTCATGAAGCCGACGTACTCGTCGGTCTCCACAGTTTTACTCTGTAAACGTCGCAATGGATACGAACCCATTGACGGATGAGAAAATTTACCGATCACCTGGAAGAATAGTTATACTAACGTTCATCTTAGACCGAATACCAGCGTGTACGTTCGTGTCATTGATGAGGAGACCTTCCTCATGTGCCACAAAGAAGTAGCTGCCGTGTGTCACAGGACTGGGTGGAGCGTTACGAGTGCCAGAAGTGTCCATGTGTGAGTCGAAGTGGATGACGGAGACTGGGCCGTATATTTTGTAGAGAGATCGAAGAATAGGAAGAACGATGGTATGATCCCCTCCAAGAGAAACAACCTTTGGATGGACTAATCCGTCTTTTGCGACGAGAGCAGACTTTGAAGAGAATACTCCAGGGCTGTCTTCTGATGCACTCGCGAGGGGACGTGCGAGGAGAGTGTCGTACGCGACTTCCATTTGGTCCAGTGCGAGCAGGTTATCATACGCACTCAACGGGATCTGAGCAAACCAAGAGACATCTCTGTCAGTGCGGCGCCATCGCTATATTCTATGCTAACACAGCGAATAATCAAGTACTCACATCCCCACAATCCACCGCCTTGATTCCATCATAAGGACTGATCCCCCATGCGAGCGTATATCCCCTCTCCCCACTATGTCTCCGGCTCCCCAATCTAATCCCATGTGGACCAAACCTCGCACCTGGCCTGTACGTCACCGTCGTATCGAAAGGCATACCCAGAATAGCGACGTCGTAGTTGATGGAGGTGTCTTCCAGGCATCGAGCGTATTCAAGGTGAGAAAAGGAGACAGGGCCCGTGTAGGAGAGATCGTTCTGTTTGCCGTATTTTGAAAGCCAAGTAGCAGGCGTGGGATCCTTTAAGGATGGGTTGGCGACGACAGGCTGGTAATGAGATGAGGGAATAGGCTCAGTTTTGGTATCGAGTTTGAGGGGCTGTTGGCCTGCATGGTCTGGGGAACAGTGGGTCAAAGCCGCCTGAAGAAGAACGAGAACGAGCGTAGACTTCATTGTCAAAGGTTGAGATGAATTAGACCGACAATGAGAGCAGGCACACAGTCGTTGTCAATGTATCGTCCCATGCGAATGACTTTATAGCAATACAGGTGGGATGGGCAGATAACGTGGGCAGATAAGCATTTTGAGCAACCATTCTGTCCCGTCCGTGTATGTGCTTCCCGCCTTCCAGGTACTGAGCACCCTCCTAGTCACGATAAGCCCGACGGCTAAGCAAATGAATCGGGATGAGGTGGATCGTAAGACCAGCTGTTCAATACCATCCTCCGAAGTGTCGAGATATTACTAGACAACAATAGAAATGTGTAAGTCAAGGAAACGATAGACACTTTCAAGGGGTATATCCAAGGAAGTGCTCTAAATAGGCTTCCTAGATGGATGAAGAATAAGTGCATGGTTAGAACTTAGATGCGAGTGACACCGTCGTGGTCAAGTCGTGCCAGTGGCGGCGGATACGAAGAGACAGCCTTGCGTGGGTAAATGTTTCATTTCAAATGACACGCCACCCATCGAGCATCAAGCTTCAAGCTTCAAGTCCGACTGCCAAGTTATGAACTCTGCGAATACTTTGAGAGCAGGAATGAGCTTCACCATCAACACCGGCAATGAGCCCAGTTTTGCAAACCACTTTCTGGGCAGCGTTGGGACCGTTTCTGACGGTTTTCAATTTTTCATACCTTGCGCATCGGACATCCCTCCTCTTCACTCGATACTTCGCATACCATGTTGGATAGGGATCACACATACCCATACTTCCTAGCACTACGTAGTAGATTCAAGAGTGGCAGCCGGTGGTGCCGTATTGTGGCGCGCCACCACGTTGCCGAATCTCGGAGACATCAGTGAGAATCCTGTAAGTTGAACCTGTAGGAACCGAAAAGACCCATGAAATCTGCTATACCCACGCCTTGACATCGGGGCCGTCCCTTTCAACTAATCTTTTCCCGTGGCTGCATGACTTCAACCAAGGAATGTCCTAATGAACGCATATACGGTTCAAACGAACCCTCTTACAACTTTGCGTAAAGTTCAACCGTTCACGGTGAAACACATCAAATCAAACCAGTCCAGAATCCCATTCGATTTCCACAGACTTGCGCGTACAACTGAAACACGACGGAAGGCGGAAGGCAGGACAGAGCGAATCTGAATCTAGTGGGCCGCGTGCGCCTCTCCGTCGGCGTGCTCTTCGTGGTGGGCGAGGTGGTCGAAGATGGGTTCCATGGGGGGCTATAAATCCGGGACGGAGTGCATGAAAGTTAGATATGGATTTTGGGAGAGATTATAGAGGGATTGAAGGGGTGTCGTGATGGGATATCGGTAAGAAGGGAGGGCATGAAGGGAAGGAAGAAACGAAATCCAGTGGAGACGCGGAGTAGACGTACCGGTGCATTACGTTCCCTGAGCGGAGACGAGGAAAATGTGAGAATACTAAGTGACGGGTGATGAGTAGAATGAGAGGGCGTACCATTTGTTGCCGTCGGGCATCAGGCCGGCTATTCGTAGGAGGATACCAGGGTCAACGACAGCAAATAATTCATCAGAGGGACCGAAAAGCACAATAAGCCCGTTATAAGACAGAACGCGAGAAGACATAGTGAGTTGCAATCCACGAAGGATATAGACGACGGGGAAGGTGCGTACGGATGTAAGGATCAGGGTGTCTTCTGGTCTCGAGATCGGCCTCTGCCTTTGCAAGAATTTGAGCAAGTGCTCGAGGATCGGAAACGTTCCTATAGGGCGTACAAGAGCCGTGAAGGAGTAGTATCAGTGTCCGTCCATCCCATGCCCATGAACTCCAATCCCTTGTTCGACCGCCTCGCCCTTCGCCACCTTGCAAACAATCCACAACATACAGCAAACATCAAGTCTACTGACCTGTTCGCCTCAAATTGGGCCCTAACAGCCAACGCCCTGGGCCTGAACAGCGTATACTGAATCGCCCAGTCCTGCTCGAGCTTCAGCATGCGCTTGTACAATGACTTGACATAGAGTCGATGTGCGGACGTAAATGGCGAGGCAGACATAATTCGGTTTCTCTCCTCCACTAACTGAAGTGCACCAGAACGACAGGAGGATGATATGAGCAGTTAAGAGTGGGTGAGAGGTTTAGGATGAGCGTCACCAACTGAAACTTCCGGCGCTTATTGCGTGACGTAAGCAAATTTTGGATGTGGCGAGTTTTCTTGAGACCGCTTTGCTTCATATCCTTCTACTAGTCCGTCGAGATCAAGGTATGTACTACCTTTCGTCCGTTATATATCTTCGTCTTTCATGGAATCCTTTTGTCTCATAATTTACCCGTGTGTGCACATGTAGAAATAAAAATGGCCGTAGGATCTTCAGCATCATACCTCCGATCCGCTCCCTCTTCGTCTGCCCCCGCGGTCCCGTACGTCTGTTCTCAATTTCTCATCTGCATTCCACGACTAACACGTATTATTCCTTTTTCCAACCTTTCTCCTTTCCACTCACGGATATTCAACGAACTCCAACCACCGCCAGCCGTCCCCCAACCTCACTCACCGTCCACCCCGTCGCTCTCTTCTCCATCCTCGACCACTACCTCCGTCGTCAAGACTCTCAAGAACGTGTCATCGGAACCTTGCTGGGCACGCGCTCCGAGAATGGCGATCTTATAGATGTGAAGACTGCGTTCGCGGTGTTGCATAGCGAGACGAGCGAGCAGGTGGCGGTGGATATGGATTATCATCATCAGATGTATGAGTTGTGTCAGAGGGTCAGCCCGAAGGAGGTTATTGTTGGGTGGTGAGTCTCTTCATCTCTTGCTTTTCTCCCCGGATTGTTGCCTTGTGTTGTACGAGTGCGAATCTTTTCGTGTGGCTCCGTCGTATTCGTGTGGCGGAATGATGGCTAACGATTTTCTTCTTCTTTCGGTGTGGTGAAATATAAATATATCTAGGTACTCTACCGGCTCGAACCTCAACACCTACTCCGCCCTCATCCAAAACTTCTATTCGCACGAGACAGCACCCTACCCCGCCATCCACATCGCGCTCAACACCGGGACCGTCGAAGGCGAGGAAGCCGGCGTCAAAGCGTACATCAGGTGCTTACCCTTCTAATTACTCTGTGACGAAGTCATCCCACGACGTTCAAGGCAAAGTTATTAATGATATATATGCATGACGGTCCAGCTCGCCGGTGGGAGTCTCCCCCAAACCCGAAAACGCGGTATTCACGCCCGTGCCCGTCGAGCTCAAGTTCAGCGACGCGGATCGTAGCGGACGTACGTTCTCCTTCTTCCCTCTGCCCCCTCTCAACCATCATCCAAAGAACCCGGCTAACCCACTCTGACCTTGAACCGATCACACAGTCGACCTCCTGACCTCCTCCCTCACTTCCCCGCTCAACGCCACCGGCGCAAACACTACCGCACCGACGACCGATCTCTCGAAGCTTGAGTCCTCGTTGCGGGAATTGATCGGGATGCTTGATCGGGTGCTGGGATATGTGAAGGATGTCGTGGAGGTGCGTTCCCTTCTCCCTCACCCCCGCCGTCTAATCTTCCACAAATCACAAATCACTAATAATAAAAAAATCACATATCAAACATGATCAGGGAAAGAAAACAGGCGACAAAGCGGTAGGACGATACCTCATGGACACCTTCGGGATGGGCACGGAAGAGATGGAACGGGGCGGGTTCACGGGCAGTCTCCAGGACACGCTGATGATGAGTTATCTTGCGAACCTTGTACGCGCGCAGGCGGAGGTATCGTCGAGGCTCGCGCTCGTCACTGCTGCCTGATTGATTGTCACTGCTGCATGATTGGTTGTTCTTTCTTCTCAGTTCTTATTTGACACACGAAAATGGGGACCCTTTGGTTGCCCTTTTGTCCATGAGCCGTTAGTGTGCTGTTTGTTCTTGTTGTATCTGTATTGATACGAGTAATAGAATTCATGGTCCGAAAACCATCGTCGCTCGACACCCAACACATTCTACTTTCAAGTACAGGATGACTACAAAAGAAAAAAATACAGCGGGACGAGATCAGGAAGGTAAATAAAATTGAACGATGAACATATACCATGAACAGTAGTGGTGACGGTTCGTAAGTAAATGTAGGAGACGTCCCGTCACAGTGTTCGACGGTCGATTGATTAGAACGATAGATACATAAATGCGAAATAAGTCAAGGATAAAGATAGTAAGTCTGACTGTGCGGTTATCGAGTCGGGAAGATCAAGCACTGGCAGAAGGGCTAGTGAGAGTGATAGAGCCTAGGGACCATGGCATGTCGGACCAACGAGAATGTACTTACGGAACGGGTGAGCGATCTACTGTCTGACTGGGACTCTTAGTCGTGCTAGATACCGGCCCAGACTGTGAGGAGGGTTCTTGTGCATCGACCACTCCAGCTTTCTCCTCCTCCTTTTGCTCTATCAACACGCAAAAAAGAACGCGTATATCAGTTCCAATCCCAACCCCACAACATGATGAAGTCAAAAACTCACCAATCTCCCACCTCTTCCGCTCCATAGCCTCTTCATACCTCTCCCGAAAATGTATCCTCAAATACGCTAGAATCACCCCCTCCGCCTCCTCCAGCGCTTCTTCTGGGGACCATTCCTCAGGCGCGTGGCGCGCGAGCTCCGATGGGGGGAGGTTGATATGGTTGGCGGGGTAGCATTGATCGTTGAAGACTAGGTATGCTGCGTACGCCAACCCCCCAGAAAAGTGTACATCAGCAGGAGTAAGTACATCAGGCACGAATGAGCGTGTCTTGCAGGAGAGCGCAGGAGAGACAAGCGGGCCAAGGCAAAATGGGGGAGGAGAGGGGCAGAACGTATACACACAAGGTTTCCACACCCGCATCTCATCCACGAAATTCCACAGCTCGTCACATCCAAAATCGCGCGACGCAGGTCTGAAGCCGTCCATCTCGATCTCCATTGTTCGTCCGCATTTGTGGGAGGAGTCGCAGTGCTCGAAGTCGATTATGTAGACGTGGGGTGGTGCTTCTGGTGAGTTTGGATTGGAGTCGGGTTTGGACTTGGGCTTGGATTTGGACTTGGACGTAGACGAGGAGTTCTTATGGGAAGGAGGGCAGTATGGGGACCCGGAGGAGGTGGCGACGAGGACGTTGTATTCGTCTAGGTTGTTATGTTTCACGCCGGCGTCATGGATCGCTTGAAGAGCTTTGACGATTCCTTCCCTGCTCATTCATTCACATCCAAGCATAAGTAATCATTAGTCAAAAACATCCTCCATGCACAACCGCGACGTCCCACCGAAACCAAGCAAAACAAAAACAAAAAACATAAACTCACTTCACCTCCCTCCCCAAACACTCAAACTCCCACCCCAACCCCGCTCCCTTCCCCACATCTTGCAACACCAAACACCCAGTAGCGCCCTCCGGCGTCTCGCCGACATAGAACCCATAGCATATGGGCACGTGGATGCCCTGAAGGTGCGAGAGGGAGGTGTGGTAGGTGCGGGCTTCGTGCGTTAGGGAATGGAGGGCGCGGGAGCCGTAGGCTAGTTTGAGGATGACTTGGATGGTTGGTGGGGGGGGAGGGGATGCCAGTGGACGGTTGTGTTCGTTTTCTGGACTCGGAGTGTCGAGAGGTTCACTGCCAGGAGGCGGGTCCGAAGTATTAATATTGGGACTGGGTTTAGAGTCGACACTGAGAACGTGCATAGTAGCACCCCTGTAAACATCCCCCCTCGTAGGCCTCCCCCGTTCCTTTACATGCTCCACATCCCGCACCACGAAATACGTATCCTCGTACTTCACATCCCCATACTGCAGCAGGGAACGGGCAAGATTCCATTGTTCGATCACTGTTTGGTTTGAGCGGGAGCTGCCGGGTCCTAGCCAGGGTTGGGGGACGTGGAGTTGTAGGGACATGTTGGCTAGAGCAGAGAGAGGAAAGAGTCGTGATGAAAAGTAGAAAGGGAAGGGAGGAGGAGCAGGAGGAGCAGGAGGAGTAGGAAGAAGTGGAGGTTGAATTTAGGTCTAAGAGCACGGCGAATTGGCCTCAGAATCGGTCCCGGCAACAGCCGTTCCAACTTAACTTACTGCGGAGTCACTCGGCTTGGCTTGGTGCCACTGGTACTTACTGGCGCTGAGGTGGGCCACACCATCCCGATCTCCCCCTCGTCATGACACAACCATCATCTGCATATGCATATGCATATCATCAAGCTGGGACTATAAGTACACAGTACACAGTTGTCAGTCAGTAAAAATAAGTAAGGAGGTAAAATAAGTAAGGAGGTAAATCGTACGGGTGTGTACACTGTGACTCGGACTACATCATCTACTTATCGTACAGGGGTGACGGACGGGATGCATTGATGCGAAACTGAAGCGGTGGTCGTGGTCGTGATTGGGGTTGGAGTTGGGATTCGGGAGCGGGAAGCAGGCGGGACTGGGGAAGCAGGCGGGAAGCAATCAAAAAGCGAAAAGCGATGCAGAACAAACGGACGAACGAACAACATTTTAACTCGGAGGCATGGAGGCGTGATGGGGTCAGGAATGGTTGATCATGACGGGGGATACCGTGAGTAAGGACTCGGAATAAGTGGATGAACGGTCTGGATACAATTAGGTTAGGTATGGAGATTCCTTGGATATGATTGGATATGATGCTGGCTATAATATGACGCTGGCTATGCTAACGATGCGAACGATGCGAACGATGGATGAGTGGAAGAGTGGAGATAATTAGTAGCGATGGAAGGAATCTGAAACGAAACGAAACGACACGGCAGACAGAAGAATGCGGGAAAACAAAACGCACGAAACAAGATTCCATGCGACATTGCGAAGATGGGAGAGCCTTCCACTCAACGGCACCCCTCCAACATCCAACAGTCCACGTAAGTCCCAGCACTCCATCCTCAAAAAAACCTCCCCATCCCACCCCCTCCCAGTCCAAAACCGATCTTCCGAACCTTCACTTCCAACACCTCTTCCGCCTCCGCTTCCCCATCTCCTCCGTCTACTACTCGCTCCTCTTCTCCTTCCCTCCCCTGTCCCTCTCCTCCCTGCTCTCCCACCTGTCCCTGCTCACTCTTACCCTTCCTGCCCCCACCTCCTCCCCTCCCCAATATCCTCGCCCTCAAACTCCCCATATCCACCGTCCTCGGCTGAAAACTAACTCTCCACTCAAAATGACACGCTTCTTCCATTCCCCACGCGTCCGCCACGACATCGATCCTGTCGCCTTTCTTTGCGGAGATGGTTACGTTTTCGGGGTGCAGGGTGTAGCGTTGTCGTGGCTGAGTCGGTGAATGTGCTTGGGACTGGGACGTTGAGGGAGATGGGTATTGAGAGGGAGGTTGGGACGAAGGTGATGTAGAAGGAGATGTAGAGAAGGATGTAGAAGGAGATTGTGCAGAAGACGACGACGTCGCCTCCCCACCCCCCAACGGGATCCTAAACCTCAAACAAACACTACTCCTCGAACTCGTCAATCGCGGCGGCGGGACCCTTGCAGGACAGGGCACGCGGTTCGGATTGGAGCGCCAGGTGTTGGAGAAGCAGGAGAGGGAGAGGGGGCGGGGTGGGAAGGGGGTTATTAGGATTGTTGGGGGGTCGGTTTGGTGGTGATTAGAGCTAGTAGAGGATGCTGATGAGGAGGGTGGGGGTTTAGAGGGGGTGTGATCCGAATCGGATGAAAGAGGTGGTGCCGGAGGCGGACCCATCATCTGTAATGGCAACGCTCCACTCGACACAACAGGCGTATTACCACTCTGCGGCATACTCCCAACAAACGGAAACTCCTTCAACGAATGATGTCCACACGGACTCGGGACCGCAGATCCAGGTCTCGAGCCCATCCTCGATGAGGGTCTTCCCGCCGTTTTACGAGGCGAGGGAGGACCGAAAGGCGAGGAAGCGGCGAAAGGACCGTGATAGGGTGAGGGCGGCTGAGAGTTTGCCAAATTTGAGGGATGGAGCGAGGAGGAGGAAGAGAACGTTGAGGGGAATGGAAAGCCGGGGATGAGGGAGGGCCGGGCGGTGCGGGTGCGTGAGGGGGATTGTGGTGGCGGAGGAGGGAGGGACGGTTTACGTGTGCGGGGGAGGGACTTGGAGGTGATGTAGTCGTGATTATGGTTGGATGGCGGGAGGGGAGTGAGGTCTGAAGGGGAGAACATCGGAAGGTCGGGGTCCGAATCTGATGTTGGGGCGAGACGAGGGGAGGAGTTGCTGAGCATGTCGGGCGGACTGGAGGGGCTATTTGAAGTTGTGCGACGGCTGGAGGAAGAGTCGCTCGAGACGAGGGACGGCGTCGAATTGGATGAATCTGAACCAGAAGGCGAGCTGGCCGTCGTCGTCGTCGATGGACTACTAGTACTATCTGATTGTTGTTGCTGGTGGTGAAACGGAAGAGACGCGAGACGTTCAGAGAGCGCGTTGGGCGAGGCCATCTGATGAGGACAAGATGAGAGTAGTTGGGAGAGGCGTGTGTCAGATATTTCCACTGCCAGTCAGCCAGTGTCCGCTCCACCGCATTCCATTCCAAGAGTCATGGCCACCCCACTTTCCGCCATTCACATCTTCTTCTCACCTTCCTCTGCGCCCTTCCAAAGTCCAGAGTCCAGACCCATCACGGCCCGCCCCTCGCAGAACACTGTTACATATCCGTCAGAAAATCGGGGCTAACGTACCGTGGCCCCACCGCAAACGTTTCCTGCCAAAGCAAATAACGATATTCGGCGTTTGTGCGGTGTCACGAATCACGATCGCCCATTTCGTCCGTTTGTGGGGAAAATCCGGGGTTAGGCACTGTCCGGCAGATCCCCCTCCCTATGATGTCATCCCGCCCCGGACACAGCGGCGTCACACTCCATCGACACTGCGCGGTCCACTGCGAGCCTCGCGGGTAGCTATGGTAATCTTTCGTTTTTTTCCATCTGCTCGTACCATCCAGGACACCGAGCTTTCCGAGGAATGGCATGCTGGTGGAGTGGGCGCGGGTAGAACATTTTCTCTTCGAACAGTGCGGAGTTCGTGAGTGATGGTGATACTCCTCATACATGTATCAGCCCAATCTTCCAACAATCTTCTCCACTTCCCCGCGTCGTACGATACCTGACATCGGTAGTATGTACGGGGGTAGTAGTGGGATTGTTCTCGAAAGTCTATCGTTCTTGGGATCTGATCTTAGTACTGTTCTCTGCCCATCAGACATCTTCGCTGGCAACCGTGCACGCACTCCTATCACCGGTGCCTCGAGCTTCAAGACCCATACTCCGCTTGACTCCTCTCTGCCTCCTTGACCTTGCTTTGAATGAAAACTCGTTCCCAGGATCTAAGTATTGTGTGTAAGTATGTGCAGTGTGCGCATGCGCATGTTCGTTGAATCTCGCGAGTTCGACGACTCGTTGGCATCTCCTGGTAACCGTCAAGAACTGTCTGGCCCTGATATCGATCGTCCTCTTCCTCTTCCTCGTCTGGCTTTGAGAATGAGATTACTACGGCCCTGTCCCTCGCCCCTCGCCCTTGTCCCTGCTCCTAACCGTCAGGTCGCAACAGGTCGCAACATCCCCGGGCGGGCCCTGATAACTTAAGTCCCCAGCCGTGACTCATGACTCACGACTCATGAGTCAAATAACTTTAAATTCAAGTTTGGCCCTGAGTCCTGGAGTGGTTGGGTACGTGAGTGCCAACACTATATGTGGAAGTAAGTTAAGTTTACGGTACGGAGGGATGGATGGATCGTGAGTTATGAATATATGAATATGAATCCTGACCGTGAACGAATAAACTTAAACACGGACGAGGAGTTGTCAATGTGAGGAGCCCAGAAAGTGCTAGTGGGAGGGCGAGAAGGGGTTTGGGAAGACGTTGTTTATCGCTCCAGAATCGAACAGTGACCACTGGACGACTATTGGAGTCATGTACCATGCATTACCTGAAAAAGCATAACACGACGCAATAAATTTACCACAACTTATAGTACGAATACACCTGCAAGTGTCCAACCCAACCCCGACACAACACAGCCCAACCCATCCAACCAGGACGTAGGCGCAGAACTAAGACAACGAACGATAGCGTAACGTAGTCTAGTCTAGTGTAGTTCATGTTAGGTCTCTACCCGATTCAGTGTAAGCAACGGTCCTGAACACGGCACAGGTTAGCAGCACTGTAGAATATAGAGTCAGACGTGTAAATCCGTTGCACGGTGCGCATCAGCACTCGCCAAACTTGAAGCAATCCAACCATTCTCGCCTATACTCGTATGTCGTGCCACCGGCAAGTACTCTCGCTCACCGACCTCACCCCTCCCTCTCCCCTCCCATCCTCCCACCCACCAACCCCTCCCCAAGTCGCATCGACTCATCGCACCCCACTACTCTCCGCCCATTCCCGACTGCCCATCTCCACGAGACGCGAACAACACCGCGCGAACGCGAAGATTTCTTCTTCGCCGCTGAACATGGAGGAGGAGCCGACTGTTTCTGGGGAGAGACCCTGTTGCGTGGGAGGGTGTTAGCGCGAGGACTCGGTGCCGGTCGGATTTGGGAGAGTGGAAGGAGAGGGGGACGGAAAGGAAAGGAAAGGAAAGGCAATGGTAGGGGGAAAGCACAGGGGGAGGGGAGAATGTGAAAGAAAAGGGAGAAAGGGAGAGGTCGTGTGCGGGAGTCGGAGGAAGACAAAAAGACGCACCAGATCATCCATCACACTCCTCTGATGGTCCGAGATCTGTCCTTTCTTCTCCGGGTCTGCAGAACCGGAATCATCGCTGAAGATCTGGAAGATGGGCACTTCGGAGGAGATGAAGAGTTTCGTTTTGGATTCGTAGCAGGCTATTCGTTCCACGCCATCACACACACACGCCGCCACAAATCCACCAAACAAAACAAAAAGTCAGCTCTCGCTCAAATATCCCCTTCCAACCAACCCCATAGGAATGAGGCAGGCAGGCAATGGGGGTGGAGAGTTGAAGAAGGAGGGGAGACGCACCATCCACAAACGTAATAAACCTCCTCGCCCTATCCTTCTCCCCCAACCCCATCCTCCTCACCTCAGTAACAAAAACGACCGGAAAAGCCCTGGTCACCTCCAAATAATCAGCCGCACTCAACGGCCTCCCACAGAGCTCGTCGAACTCGAACCACGCGACTTTACGAGTGCTTTGCGGGATGTGCAGTTTGCGGCCCCAGATGTCGAGTTCGCGGTCGTAGCGGACTTCTTCTTCTTCCTCTTGTCCCTGTGAGGTGGTGGATGGGGAGGAGGAGGAGAGGGAGTGGAAGAGTTTCGACATTTCGGAACGGGTGGAGGCGGTGAGGGGATGATGATACACGGAGGATAGAGCGCGTGGGATGCGTCTGTAGTCTGTGCCCGAGTCGAGGTCGGTCACTTGGAAGCGGGATTTGAGGAGGGCGATGGCGGGGACGAAGGATGAGCGTTGGATGCCGTTTTTGTACAGGTCGTCGGGGTGGCGGCTGTGATGGACGTGAGCATGCGTACATACGTAGAAAACAGACAGCGAGGGTAGGGGGAGCGGGAGCGGGGAGAGAGGGACGAAAAGAAGAGAAAAGACACGCACTTGGACGTGATGACACAAACGACGCCACACTGCAACAACCCCTCCAACAACCTCCTCAAAATCATCGCATCCGCAATATCCGTCACCTGAAACTCATCAAAACACAACACATTCGCCTCTTTCGCCAACTCCCTCGCCACACTCATCACCTCGTCTTCCTCTCCCTCTCCCTCTCCCCTCCCTTTTCCCCGCTCGCCGCCCATGCCGTATGCACCGCCTACAGTTCCTCCTGTCGTACTTGCAGAGTGGGTAGAGAGGGAAGGGGTGTGAGAGTGGGGGTGGGAGCGAGATTTGAGTTGATGGAGACGTTTGTGGACGTCGATCATGAAGGCGTGGAAATGGACGCGTCGTTTGTGGGTTATGTTGGGTGGGAGGGTACGATAGAAGAGGTCCATGAGCATCGTTTTGCCGGTCCCGACGTCGCCGTAGAGGTAGAGGCCTGCTGGGGTGTTTGCTTCGGTAGTAGGCTCTGAAGTTGGAGAGGCGGAGGTGGAGGCGGTGGAGGAGAAGAGGCGGGAGAACTGATTTTACCATCGATATGTCAGTTGTCGGGACTCGGGGGAGGAGAAGGAAGGGACGTACGAACGAAACCGTCTTGGCAGCCTGTCCAGAATGCGGAGGCGGTATCGGAGGCGGAACGTAGTCCACCAACTGATCGTGCAAGTCCTGCAGTTTCTGGATTATGCGCGTCTGGTGGTCGTCTGGCCTCAGTGCGCCTTTGTCGATTAACTTTTTGTATTCTTCCATTGGTGTGCTCGGTTTGCCGTCTTTTTATCATTGGTTAATGGATACGAGCGCAAATACAGACAGGGAGCGAGGAGGATGGAGGGTAGGAGGCACAGGCGCTAGAAAGTAAGCATTATGCTATGAAAAGCGAGATGAGAGAGCAGGGGCGCACCTTCGTCCGATGGGCGTCGGGCCTGTAGGATGGTAGGATCATCATCAGTAGAAGGTGACGATGATTGGGTCGCTAGCGATGAATTGTATCTGAGCTGCCTTGCTGGAGTGAGGTGGTGTAGCGATGTAGTAGTAGAGGGCCGTTGCGCAGACCGGGACAGAGAATTAGGGGATGTGCGTCGGACCCCGTTGACGATGAGTGCTCGACGGGGAGCAGGTCTAGCTGAGATACGAATAGTCTGTGCGGCTTTCATCGTTTGGATATCGTTCTAACGATGCTCAAGGCAAGAAAAGAGGAAGAGGAGAGGAGGTCGTAACCGGAGCATGCATCACGGATTCCCGCCGACGCTTACAATCAATTGTAAGGCAGAGGCCATCAGCGACCGACAAACGTCACGTGAAGTGGCGTTTCGACAGTCCTCTGCAAATAGCAAATGCTGAAAAGACTTTTGCAAAAATTCGGTTGCGCAGTCCTTTAGAGGTGATCGTTACTCGTTGAATTGTGTAGTCATATTCAGAGAAAATGCAAAACTGTGAGGGGCATTCACTGCAGAATGGCAAGAACAGCTGTGGCGTCGCGGCCCGGATCTTCTGAGCGTTGTAAGTTGAATGGCCCTCGCAAAACCGACTCGTTTACAAAACGGATTGCACAGGAATGGTAAACACATACGTTCGCGTCGACCTGCGCAATTGAATTTTTGACAAAGATCTTTTTGTACGCGCTATTCTTGAATAAACGGTTTGCGCCACAACACGTGATGTTCGTCGGTCGCTGATGGCCTCTGCCTTACCAAGTAAATGGCGGTGCAAGGTGGCCGCGGGTTAGCTGCAGTTATATCGCCCTTGAAAACACTTATTTACGCTGAACCAGGTTGTTAGAGCTTAGAAAGCTACGGAATGTTGGATTGGCTTGGGAACAGCCCCATTTCTAGACCCGCCGAATTCGGCCGGGGTCGATGCGTCACCAAAGAAGGCGCAGTTTGGGACTCAGCGTGGGACTTGCCAGCGCACTCACTATTTTTGAGCTGAATCCTTTCGAGTTGTACCGCCATCGTCTGCTGGTCCCCCAAGCTTTCGCTAGTCCCCCTTTCGTCGTCAACGTCAGCCTTTATTCGACGCTCCCCAGCGCCTTCTTCGCGTCGCGCTATATGATGCCGTTGGATTGTCTGCGAGACGAGCGCGTGTCGACGCGAAGGTGGTAGATATAGTCGGTGAGCGTCGTTTCGTTCGCTTCTCTCTTCGTACGACGTACACACCCTCGTCCCTTTCTACATCCCCTCCACACAAGACGAAGCAGACACTGTGCTTCGTCTTCGGAATAGGGGATGATATTATCAGTGTGCAGCGTGAACATTGTCGCACGCGACGCGTCGCGGTATGCGGGCAAACACCTCAGACCTCAGGGCTCCATGAGATGTCCTCAACGCTCGCATCATCGTTGTTGTTCTCTCCGTCTTCTCCGTTTCCTTTACAGCACATCATCTTGTACATATCTACGTGTAGTCATATGCAATCTTTGCCCCCAGTAATGTACGATACTTTCTCATTTATCTATTTTGTTTCTTGCCCGACCTTGTGGGTCCTTCATGTCAGACACTTCTTGTACCTTGCTCTCTCTCCCCTGTATATACATATGTAGTAATGTATCTCATCGTCACTCAGAATGTATGATGCCGCTGCAAACGGCTCCTTTGTCGCTCGACTACGTTGTGAAATGAATAACCGAAAGTACAACCGAGCCGAAGAGATGGGCCCATGGACAGATTTCGAGGACCTGTAGTAACTTGGGCACCCTCGCTATAGGCCTTGCAATATGTGAATGAGCACAATAACCCATTTTACTTGTTGTAGTAGTATTTCAGCAATTGGATCTCATATATGACCTTGCGAATGAAATATATGAGCTTGCAAGACTCGGCAGATTTCCGTGATGCCATGCAAGTGGCCAATTGCACGCGTTTCCTCCGGCTTGACCTCAAGATCCGACGAATCGCCGATGCTCTATTAATATTCGCACCCGGCGTCTTTCGGGATTCTTCCCACGTGTGACTCATCTGGCACGGCTTGCTTCGTTCGTTCCAACCACACGCCGTGGCCCGGGTTTCGTCCTCGCGTCTATAGTTGTACCACGATGATGGACTCCGAAGCGGACACGGAGTCGTATCTTCTCTTGTTGCTGTCGGACGGAAACTTGCCTACGGGATCGTTTGTCGCCTCTTCAGGCCTCGAATCTCTCTTCGCTCATGCTCTCGCCACGCCACATCCTCCAACCAATGGCCCGGGAATGACGAAAGCCCACTCGGACCCACTACTGGCAATCACCTCCTCCATCCGTGATAGTCTCTCCTCCTACGCCCGTAGCGCCATCCCTTTCGTGCGCGATACACACCGCGTCGTGGAAGACTACGCTGCCACGATCTCCTCCGATGACTCGGACGCACTCGATCGAGCATTGGAGGGCTTACTAGAGCTGGACGCCCTCTACGAATGTTCGACGCTGAACCACGTCGCACGGCGCGCTTCGTCCACGCAGGGCGTCGCCCTCCTCACGCTGTACTCTAAAGGCTTCGCTGTGCCCTCTTTCCTCTCATCCTCCTCTTCTTCTTCTGCACCTCAAGAAACCAACGCAGATGCGGATGCGGATGGTACGAAACGGAGAGAAGCACGGATGGCCAGGTTGGTGGATAGGTTGAAGTTTTTGGTGCGCAGAGGGGATACACCGGGGCATTTACCGGTCTGTTGGGGTGTATTGGCCGGTGCTCTGGGTCTTTCCTTAGGTGAGTATTCAGTTCGCTCTCCCTGTCCTCCACACCACGACTGATTTTCTCACTCCCCTCTTCCCCCCTCCATCCCTCCCCCTCCCTCCCCCCACCGCTCCCCTCATCTCTCCTACTCCGTCCCCTGCTCGCTCCTCCTCTGTCCCTTCCTCGCTCCTCTGTCCCTTCCTCCCTCCCTCTTCCCTCCCCCGCCGCCTCGCTCCACCACCTCGCTCCACCACCTCTCCCCACATCCATCTGCTCCCCCCTCCTTCCTCCGCTCCGCTCCCCCCTCGCTCCCCCCTCGCTCCCCCCTCGCTCCCCCCTCGCTCCCCCTTCCTCCTCTCCTCCGCCCCCCTTTCTCGCACCTAACCAACCAACCAACCAACCAACCAACCACACGCACATAGCCCGAACAACCCACCTCCACCTCTTCCTCCACGCCCGCTCGCTCCTCTCCGCCGCTATCCGCATGAACATCCTAGGTCCCTACGCGTCCCAACAAATCCTTTTACATGTCGTCCGGCCGCTGGTTGAGAGTGAGGTGAAGAGGGTAGGGGGGGTTAGGACGGGGGTGCTGTCGCGATCGATGCGGTTGGGGGGTGAGGGAACGAAAGCGGAGGAGATGCAAGAAGGGGAGGATTGGGAGGGACAGGAGGAGGGAAAGGAGGAGGGAAAGGAGGAAGAAGATGAAGACGAAGAAGGCGATATTTGGGCAGCGAGCTTGCACGGACCCGCCAATACCTGGCCTCTAGGCGAGATCGTAGCCGCCCGCCATGACCTTTTACATTCCAGAATATTCAACAGTTGACAAATCCCACTTCTTTCGTGGGATTCCATGTCATACTCGAGCCGTGATGTGGCTCCGTGCTTCGTGAGTTGGGCTTTACGTGCGCGATTTGATCTCCTACAGTACATGGCCGCTTTGTTGCGGAGTTACGAAAGTCATGCTTGTGCGCCGATGGCGATGTACTTAGACGTCGGCGATCGCTCGTGGGACCTCAAATGTAGTACGCAGGGTTCAATATCTCAGTCTGGAGCACGGAGATGTTGCTATATTACTATATTACTATATTACTATGTACGTGCGGGGACTATGACAGAACAACAGGGGAACACCCAAATTGGGGTAGAATGCATGCGAGGCGAGAGTGGAAGAGGAGACTGACGAAGAAAACACCTAACGAACCAAGAAAAAAAATACACAGCATGATACAACGGAAAGAGAAGGAACGTAGACATGGAATGTGGGCTAACTAGCCCAAACACACAATCTCTCCCACTAGACGAACTACCTCGACCGATCCACCAAACCCATCGCCGGCGCAGGACTAATACTCATCCCCCCAAACGAAGCCCCCAACTCCATCGCCTGCGCCTCTACCTCCACCTCCACCTCCTTCTTCCCTCCACTAATATTCACACCCATCCCCCCCAAACTCATCGGCACGCCCCCCTCCCCTTCCTCCTCTAATTCATCCACTTCCACTTCCTCTTCCGCATCAGAGTCCTCATCGTCGTCATCGTCCTCGATAGCGACCTCCCCCCACTCCCGATATCCACTCTCCACGTACCCCGCGCTCCGAGGGAGTTTATACGGATCGAACGGGAAGAAGGTGTTCAGATCGCCTAGGACGTTCGCGTTTTGTTCGGCGTGGCGGGCGAGGTAGGCTGGCATCGCTCCTGCTAATCCACCATTACTACCACCACCACCTGATCCGCGCATCTCACTGTGTCGGTGTGCGTTCGTCTCTCTGGGGCGATGTGCGTTGGATTGGAGGTGGTGAAGATGTTGATTTGGTGCGTGCGCCGCGGCGGTGTTGGTGTTGGTGGAGTTGGAAGGGAAGGTGGAAGAGGAAGAGGAAGGAAGGGAAGGTGTGAATTCGTGTCGTCTGTTGGCTTCGATGATGGGGTAGACGTAGACGAAGCCTGCGGCTTGTGCGACGCGTGCGAATTGGATGACGACGTTCTCGGAGCAGAACTATGACCACCGAGTCGCGTCAGTGTCCGCTATTCATATTCATGCGTTCGCGAGAGGTCGTAGAAGCCTCGATGGTGACTGGACAGATGGGGGACAAAAGATGCACCTTCAAGGGGTTCAAACTACACGTCACCATCCTCTGCACGATCCCCAACTCCTCCATCCACTTCCTCCCGCCACTCGGCCCCTCCGCATCCACATCCGCATCCCCATTCTCTCCGTCCTCCTCCTCCTCCTCCAAAAGATCCCGCCATCGAAAACAGAAAATAAGCAACAACGCCTGCGCCACCGCATAAAACACATTCAACGGCGCCAACCCCTGCACGCCCACCTCCAACCCCACCATCATCATCTCATGCCCCTCCACCTGTCCTCTCAACCACCTCCCCATCAACCCGACCACCTCCCTCGTCCACCCCCTCCCCACAAACCTCGCCCGACTCACAAAACTGGCCACATAGCTCGCGCTCGCCGCGCGCGTCACGACGGGCAATTCGGGCGAGAAGAGCGCCTTGTGGACGAGCTCGCCCGTGAAGGTGTCTGCGAACTCGGGGTCGAGTGAGGTCAGGTAGAAGAGCAGGAATTGGGTGTAGCGCGATTTGAAGGTGAGGAGGATGGTGCGGTCGAAGATGGAGAGGAGGGTGTGGAAGGTGGTCCGGAGGAGGATTTGGGCTTGGGCTTGGGCTTGGTCGGTTGGGGGTGGAGGTGTGGGTGGGAGTGAGACTGAGGATGTTGGTGGTGGTAGTGTGTTGGGATCTGCGGTTGCCGTTGTGGGTAATGATGGTTCGGAGGGAGCGGTGGCTGTGCACGAAGTCCGCATTCTCTCGAAATGCTCGAATATCAACTTCATGACCGCGTCCAATTTCCGCACCATCTCCTGTATATGATCCACATCCATATACTTCTCCTCCCCCACCTCGTCCGGGTCCTCTGCCTCGCTCGAGATATCACTCAGATTACCGCCACCTTCGTCCCCTTCGTCGTCACCACCTGCATCGGAATCAGAATCGAGCACGGTGCCTTCTTGACCGACGACGGTGTCGAACGGATCGAGATCGAAGAGTTGGTCTTGTGCTTGGGAGCGTGCGGAAGCCTCCGCCTCGAGTTCTTCGATCTCCACTTGGATCTCGACCTACGAAGCCCTCTCCGCGTCAGCACGATCGCACACAGAAAACAAAACTTCATTTCCAGCACACTTACGTCGATCTGAATCGCTCTGTCCACGATGGTCTCCATAAGCCTATCCGCCAGCTCCGGGCAATATTCCGTCACCCGCAGCATGTTCCTGATATACGTGACCTGCGCGGCTTGATTCTGTCGTTTGTGAGGGAAGTGGCGCACTAGGAGGGGTTGAAGTGTTGAGGGGAGGGTAGGGACGAGGGAGAGGAGATGTTGGAGGAGTGTGTGGATGCGGTCGTAGACTGTGCGGCGGGTGAGAGGCGCCGAGGAAGATTCGGGCGGGGAGACGTTGAGAGCTTGAAGACCGGATTCTACCAACAAGTAACTACGCTCAGAAGTGGTCATGGAGTGTGGGTAGAGAAGAGGTAGAACGCACGATATGTGAATCCCTGCGCCACCTTACCCAACACCAGACTCAAATACTCCGGTCTCGCACTGATCAAAATCCCGATAAACGAAGTATAACACTTCACGAAACTGTTCTCCATCGTCATCCACGGTAAGCGGACGATGGCTTCCACGAGGGGCGTGTGGCACCGTTCGAGGCGGGAGACGACGTGCATGAGGGCTTGGAGCCAGATTCGGAGGGCGGGGAGGGCGGAGGGGGCGTCAGGCGTGCGGTTGTCGAGGTTGAATTGGTCGACGAGTTCGTCGAAGGTTTCGGTGTTACCCTGGAATAAGAGAGGGGGGTTAGTTTGCGAGAAAAATGTGTTGGATATATGGGAGTCGAGGGTATGCCGTGGGCCACACCAATGTGTCGTTCGCACGGAGGCTTAGCGCCACTAAGGCACATTTGCACGCTGCACGGCATGCAGGGTTGCACGAGATGGAGGGCATGCGCAGAATATGGTCTCAAGAGACGACAATCTACTCTTGAAGATGTCCGATAGCTGCCGTTGTATTGGTCGCGAGGATTGACTAGGATGAGGCCGCACGACGATGGCACCACCAACGATGTGGAGTGAACAAATTGACGTCGACCAAGCATACAAAGAGTGCACTTGTGGATGTGCTAATCCGATTTCCTGATGGTATGATCCATAGATTGGCCTGCACTTCGTTACGAGACCCAGACGGCGCCACAATTCTAGGGGGGAGGGAAAGAGCATGGGTGGATTCGAGAGAACACGGTAGCCAAGAGTTATGTAGGGGAAAGAGCTATCCAGTATCCCTTTCGTGCACTCAAGCTCAAGCTAGAATGCAAATGATTTAAGGGACTCACCATTGCCTTTTGCTGCAACGCGTTGTTCACGAACGCAAGATGCATATCCTTCCTCAGCTGTTCATCCTGCTTTATCCTCGAATTCGTCGCAATCCTTCTCGGTGTCTGTGTCGACGATGTAGATGACGAGGAAATACCCTTCGAAGTTATAGACTTGAGTGAAGCCAAAGAACTCGACGAAGTAGACTGTGACCGTTTTGTGAAGCCGTCCAGGGGTGAAGATTTCGGAGGTATGGAAGTGAGGTCAAAATGTCGCTGGTTATGAGATGCTGGGCCAGCCTTGGGTGGCCTTTGGTTGAATTGGGAGCGTGTAGAGTGCGGGTCCATGATACGGTGAGGAAGAGAGGGATGGCGCGATGGCGGTCAAGAGGAGGTCGTGTGGCGGAGCAAAAAGTTCAGACGAATTTGGTCTTACAATTTGAAATTCTGGGTTAGAGAGGGTTAGAGCCGGCAAAATTCGATTATCGTCCTTTCCTCTCTACCACGACGACCTGCCTTGAACGCTCTACCACCGAGCTTCTGGTTTTGTTACTGCTTTATCTGGCTCTTCTGTGATACGTAGAGACTCTCCGAGTCCTCGCTCTATAATGTCATGAGACTTGTTGTGGCGGCCACACGAATTGAACAGTCTCACTAAGGCACTTCTCGACTCCTGTACATCTTCTCAGCTCTCAGGTATAGCCTTTAAACTTAAAGTCACTCCAAAGGAGGTGTTTTGGGCTGGGGCCTTGTACAGCAAATTCTCCAAATGCCGCCTCCGCCGATCCAACATAGTATACTGCAGTTGCAATATAACTTGCCAGCGGACATCGGCATCGTCTTGTCTCTCACCACATACGATTCAGCTTAGGTACGATCTGGGATCTGGCTACGTTCTACTGTGCCTCTTAGATAGCGGCATAGTTCATCACTCACCGCTTCGTTCGCCGCATTGATGAGATGTCTGTTCTCAGTTCGACATCTGCGTGCTCTAGAGTCATGTGGACACTAGCCGCCAAGGTTCTTCCTAGAGTCTAATATCTGTTGTTCTGTATCAACATGGCTAACTGTCATGTAAGACGACGTTGGCGAGGTTACGCCAAGCTCTCTCTGGCTAAGACTTAGCAACAATGCGGTCGGGTGTCGAGCGTAGCATCCACGCACGAATAAGGTCAACAGCTCGACAGCTTCGTGCAGGTGAGCCTCCATCATTTTGTGATCATCCAAGACGACGAATATTATGAAATTAACAAATTTCAATTGTCTTTGCTGGTATCCTTCCTTTACAGTCTCGTCTAGTCGATGGTGGAAAGCAGATAGGTCGCATCTGAGTTACTTAGTTCAGGGGCGCATGTAGCAGTCACGATACATACCCGAATGCCTCTTAACAAACTACATTTACATCCTACCACAAACCTTCTCGCCAAGGCCCAGGTGCGCAAGCCAAGAAAACAAAGACCGCCCCTAATCCGGACAAGAAGGCTAGATCGAACCAAATCCACGAGAGATAAAAGGAAACTCTTATTCCCTTCTAGCGATCTAGGGTTAGGGTTAGTGCAACTCATGAACAAAAACGATGGCCCGCCCAGCCCGAGGGCAGGAGTGGGACTGGAAAAAATTGAGACAGTGCACGACCCAGAGGGCCGTACAAACCGCCAGGCCCGTCTGAGGACAAGGTCACCGTGCAATGGATGTTTAAGGGCCCGACGGCCGACACTCCCAGGTAGATGAAGGGGAATGTCCCATCTAGTGTGAAAATGCAGAAACAGAACGTCGAGGCAACGGCCATAAAGGATGGAAGGGTGCGCACGGACCAGGTGGTGAGAGGTGGGCGGGGTCGTGGAAGGTTAGTGGCGATCCAACTCTTGGCTACTGATAGATCTCATACACAGCTAAGTTATTACTTCGTCGAGAGGTTCAGCTCACATACTACAGCGTACAGCGTACCCAGAAGTGCAAATTCTGACGTCTGACCCGGCGTATATAATCCTGGTGCCAATTGGGTTGTATAAAACTACGTATACCTAGACCCATAGTCAAACAGCTTCGCTAGACTTGACGATTGTATGATCATTTTTTACATGGAGGATATGACCTCGTCGACGTCGACAACGACAGCGAGTCCTCGCACCCAGATGTGCAACTTTCGAGGTCACATCAGTCACCCAATATCGCCCAAATCATCACGAGATCTTCACTCAGCTAATTGAAGGTCCGCTCGCAGCCAGACTCTTGTTGCCCCAGAGTGCGGGTGACCCGTGCAGCCACGGCATCCTGTATCGGGCTTTCAGACGAGAGGTAAGTTATCACGCGCCATCCCACACCATCACGCTCAACGCCTCTGGGTACACTGTAGTACAGACTTTGAGAAACTGCAAACGGAACATCGTTCCATAGGGTAGATGATATCAAAATATGTACGGCCTACTATAGTACATCACAAAGGAATGATAGGCAGTCCGAGTCATGCCCCGCATGCGCTCTGCGTAACAGATAATGGATGACAAAAGCAAGGCGAGAGATATCCTCACCCTCCAACCATGTAACGAACCTCTTGAGCGTCCAAAGGTTCCGAATGATAGAGATGGCGTAGTCCCAATGATTCTTCCGATGTATTGACTGCTATACCGGCGGTCGACGAGGTAGGACATGCTGAAGTTGGCGCTGATCCATCTATATATCCCATGCCAGGTGGGAGCGGTCATTTATTCAGCACGCGCGTTCAGAGTGTGACTGTACTTCGTGAGGCTCACCTGCAACCGTTACTTGTGGTTGAGATGCATGGATGTCCGAGGGCCCTGGAGGCGATCGCTGATTCGCAGGGGCATCGGGTGAGGTGGCATCGGCTGAGGCATCCGGATCATGGATGTATTCTGCGACCGCAGTAGAGGGCACACCTATTTGGAGTTCAGCCAGACGCAGAAACGAAAGGAGAAGAAATGAGCTCACCGGCGTTAGGGGATACGTTGTGTAGGGGTAAATCGTCGCCCTCGTTGAAGGAAACAATGACAACGGAATTCACTGGAGGTAAATGACTTGGGAATTGCAGAAAAGCGAGTTGTCGGGTACGTAGAAGGAGCTCACGCGTAGAGGAGCTCAGATTATTTCTCAGAAAGGTCTCCTTCGCCCGCAAATTGCTTGAGTTATCCTGGACCACCACACATGTTAAGCTTTGGCAAGTGCACAAGAAATGTATCATAGAATAGCATACCTCAACAATGGCCAGCAACTCTTGAGCTTCTTCGCGATACGTCGACGCATCTTTCGCACTGAACCAGCTTTTGCGATCGACACGCTCCTTCGCCACCATCATCCTTTAGGTGCACTGACAGTTATTGAATGTGCAGCAGATACAAATCTACCAAGAGGAATAACGTACCTTCGATTCCTCAGCTTGATTTCCATCTTTGTATCCCGGTCGAACATATCAAAATACTTATCCATCAGGTCTAGCGCGTTGTTGCGATGCATGTTTCCTTCGGCTATCTGGTTTTTTGTGGACAACGAGTTGGCAAAGGGAAGAGTGATGCCAAACACGGAGTTTGAGACAGCCCCTACGAAGTTACCGAGACATCCTGACCCATATGCTATGGCAGACATGTGTTTTGTCGGGAGCGTTACGGGAGCGTTATGTGAGTTGGAAAGGCGGGGGGCGTGATCTGAGATGCATGAATACTAGTGGAAACAGAGACTTTTATATGCAGTCGTCAGCGATAAGTACGCGCTGTGCGTCGCACGATACATGCTTTTGTTTCCGAATCCATGCGAAGTGGATTGCCAGCGGGGATCACTCTGAGAGCGAGGAAAGAAGAGAGACGAAAGTTTGGCTCCAACTAGCGCGGCGGCGCCAAATTCCATAAATGCTCTGTGACAGTGACTAGTCACATCCCGGGACGGCAAAATTTCAAATTATGGAAGTTCGACTTCGACGTTTCGACCTGGTCACTTCCCTCATTGTCTCAGCGAGCACGACTGGTGCGCTCTGGCATTATGACCCATGAGCAAGATCTTGAAGCTGTAGACGAATGGACACCGGAGAGTTTATCATTCCATGAACGGTGGTGGGTACAACGGCTGCCGTTTCTTGAGCAATCTGGATATGCCTTTCGACCTCGCTACCAACCTGGATGGGCGCCGTCATGGGTAGCGAAGAAGGACTGGTATCAAGACTTCGAGGATGGTCAAATCCAACCAGTGCGTTGTCTCTTATTTCTGTGCACCCAATGCTCTTATGCTGCGAAGAAAGGCATGCTTCTAGACGCAAGACGTGTTTCGGACGGTACATACGTCTACATGAAGCGCATCTCGCAAACGCGAGGCAAAGGCGTCCTGGATGAGCTAGAGATCATGCAGTACCTCATATCCGAGCCCTTGAAGTCTGATCCCAGGAATCACTCTGTTCCCATCTTGGACATTCTGCGGTCGCCAAACGAAGATGGAGAGATGTTTGTGGTCACCCCGATGCTCCGGCCGTTCTATAATCCAAGATTTCAGACGTTCGGAGAAGCTGTCGCATTTTTCACACAAATACTCGAGGTACATACAATCGCTATTGTTGTTTAGCTCGAATTTATTGGTTTTCAGGCTGTCGAGTTCATGCACGAGCATCGCGTTGTGCACGGGTAGGTCACCCCTCGCTTTACTCAGGCCACTTGCTGATAGCTGCGTGTAGAGACTGCACAAAGGAAAATATCATGATGGATCCTACCCAGATATACCCTGAATCCTTTCATCCCATCAAACGCGACCGCCGACGCGACTGGAAAGGCAAGGCGAGACACTACACACGTACGCAATACCCACCAAAGTACTACCTCATCGACTTTGGTCTTTCGCATCGCTATACCGCTGAGGAAGGGCCTCCGCGTCGCCCCCCCGCCTTTGGGGGAGACAAGTCGGCCCCCGAGCACCAGACTTACGACACGCCCTGCGACCCGTTCCCGACCGATGTTTATTACCTCGGGAATCTAGTCAGGAAAATGTTCATGAGTGTACGTTCTCGGGGTAGAATTGTTTTGTCGCTGCGAATCTGACGATTTGGCATCCAGCAAAGCTATGGGTTCGAGTTCATGGAACCCCTCGTCGCAGACATGGTCCAAACCGACCCGTCCAAGCGCCCGAAGATGGACGAAGTCGTACACCGGTACGGAGTCATCCGCGACGCGCTCTCGACGCGCAAACTGCGTTCGCGGATTGTATGGCGCGATGAATGGCTCATGCAACGACTCTTTCTTAATCTCGTCCATCTTCTTCGAACCGCCAAATACATCATCACGCGCAAAGCCGCTATCCCTATGCCTCTGTCTTGATTGCATCCTACCTTAACGTCATTCGCTTCTTTTACGCCGTCGTCTTGCTTGGATACGCGTTCGATTATGCTTTTTGCTTTCGATACCGCTTTGCCTGCTATGTGCTAGCTATTTGTTCTCTATTTTGATGATCACGCCCTTTACTTTCTCATCACCTCATGGCAATAATGCGGCGGTTACCTCCAGAATTTGTTGTGTTTGATTTCTCTCGTGTATCGATCAATTGATGTGCTGCGATATGAACAGCCTTCCAGTGGTGGATACGAGGTACATACATAAAACGATTGAGGTTCCCAAACGCAGACAAAAGCGACATTGCCTCGAGGTCGCCACCGAACCGTCGAGGCTGCCTCCGTTCCCCCGTTCCCCGATGGATCGCGGACTTCGAACGCATGGCCGTGGCTACGGTGGCCATACAATTACGTTCCTTCCTGAAACGGAAGGCGTACATACGCACCCACATCTCCTCGGCCCCGTTCCTCGCGCTAATTTGCGGATGAGTTGTTCAAGTTTCCTGCTCTGGCCCTTAAAATCGATATTTCTCACTCTCTCAACCGATGTCTTTTGTCTTCTTTCGGGACAATGACTGGGCGACGGCGATCATGGTCGATGAGGGGTGATGGAGGTATTGTATTGAATGAGGCTAGCTTCCGCTGTGTGGTATTCGAAGGTACTGTTTTGGGTACATGGGGATGCATGTGGGTCCCATACCCATTTCTTGCCGCTTTTTTTGACGGCCTTCTTTTCCAAACGTGTAGGCGGACGGCATATTGAACTAACCGTGTTTTATCGTAGACCTGGTTGTCAAAAACGACATTGAGGGTATAGTTATAGAGGACAGAAGGGTGTGCATGGATCGAGTGGCGAGTATTAGGCGCGATCGCGGAGGATGGTGAGGTGGCGAGCGGAGGGTCCGAGGTTCTTGTGTCCACTTCACAGTTTGTAGTCAGCTGTAATTTCCATGGCCTTTGAGAAGAGGTTGTAATGGAGACATGATAGTTCTTTGATTCGTCGAAAAATTGACAGCAATATATTATATACAAGGTAGGCCACTGCCGGGTATAACACATTCCACAAAACAAGAAAGCAAGAGAGATAGCCCCATTACTGGTGCTCTGATAGAGGCCCGTATCATCCAGTATACGTCCTCTTAGTCGTTTGTCCCGAGACAGACATAGTCGCCCAGTGACTCGTCAGACACGTTGGCCAGCAACGCTCGTAGTGGAGGACGAAGACGACTTTGCTGGCCGTGTTGAAGGTACTTATTCGCCTGTGTTGTGCTCAGTCAGTCGGACTCTATGATCGGGACAATGATTCATCATTGTGCTTACCTGAAACCAAAGAACGTGGTCCGGACGCTTCGGTGTCTTCATCCTTCGCATGGGCAGGATCCTTGTCTACCAGCCCGAGAGAAATGTCTAGAACACAGAAGAAAACGAAGTTCAGAGATTGAGAATAGGTATGTAAGGGTGAGAAGCAATACTCACCGGGTGTGTAGCTCATGTTGTTCCTTTCGGACGATTGAAGTTCCTTGAGTAGTAGATAGTCGGTGGCATTCTAGATAACGAACTGTTCAGCTGCAGTATGCCACGTCGTATAGCCCAAAATACTGACCCGGACCAGGGAATGGAGAGCTTTGGCTTTTTTACGATAGATGCTAGCTTTGTTTTGGCCGAGTGACCATCCAGTACTGGTAGTGGCATCCGTCTTCGCATCCTTCATACTGCGATTAATGGTCAACAACTTTGAAGGAGGTCAATAAAGTCAAGGAAGAACGTACGTGCGCATCTGCTGCTTGATAGACGTCATTGTATCGCTGCTGAACTTGTCCAGATACTGGCACATAAGATCTTGCGCAGCCATGCAGTACTTGTCACCTTCCTCGATTTGCTGAGTGGGCAACATCGAAGTCGCCCACTGGGGAGCTCTGACGCTAGAAATAAGGATCGCTGCTGCGCCAGTAATAACGCCTCCAGCAGGCTCTGGACCAAAATTAACCATAATGAGGAGATGTAATGAAGCGAGAGCTGTCAAGTAGGTTTGTGAGGGGGTTTCGATGGGTGCTCCTGAGTCCAGGTGGATGCGTTACTTATAAGTATATGCTTCGGAAGTTCATAACGAGAGTTCAGTCGGCTAGGCGATTGCCATCGTATGTAGACCCACATGTACGGTGGCGCGATCACACGCCCAAGCTATTGTTCCAAGAAAAGCATTCGTGAAGGAAGTGAAGAGAGTAAGAACGACTTTTGGCGCCAAGCTGCGGGATGCGCGATTTGTGACATTGGTCACACAGATGTGCGGCCGGCAATTTCAAATACGTCCGGGTCGTTCTTCGCCCCCTGTTGCATCCTCAGGAAACCCAGCTGCTAGCACCTTGAGGGCAAGCGTCTCTTCATGTCGCAGGAAGCTGCAGACCTAGCTGCAGTCCTCGCGGAAGCTGATGAATGGGGTCCCGAAAAGCTCACACATCACGAACGGTGGTGGGTGCAACACCGACCGTTCTTCGAGCAAGCTGGGTATTCTTTTCGAGCTCGATATCAGCCTGGATGGGTCGCGTCCTGGACGGGAACAGACGACTGGTACCGTCAGTACGAGGACGGACAATACCAGCCAGTGCGTAAATCTCACTTCCCATCTCATAATTGACTGCTCATCTTTCCGACATCTACTTCGAAGAGAGACATGGTGTTTGACGGGAGACGTGTGGCCGATGGTGCCTATGTCTACATGAAGCGCATTTCCCAAACCAGAGGCAAGGGAGTGCCTGACGAGCTGGATATTCTTCAGTATCTACACTCAGAACCTCTCGAATCCGATCCTCGCAATCGTTCCGTGCCCATCCTCGACATCTTACACATACCGAACGAACCAGGGGAGATGGTCGTGGTGACACCCATGTTTAGGCCGTTCTACAGTCCGAAATTTCAGACACTTGGCGAAGCCGTCGCTTTCTTTACCCAGATTTTTGAGGTGCGTTTCTATCACTGTCCACTCATCAATGTCCTCAAGTTCAAGGATGTTGACGTTCAGGCTGTCGAGTTCATGCATGAGCATCACGTTGTTCACGGGTGAGTGTTGTCTCATTATGCGAGTGTTCCTGACCCTTACTTCCAGACTCGAGGGATTGCACTAAGGAAAATATCATGATGGATCCCACTCATTTGTACCCCGACTCCTTCCACCCTATCGCACGAGATCGCCGGCGTGACTGGAAAGGCAAGGCGAGACACTACAGGCGAACGCAATGCCCACCCAGGTACTACCTCATCGATTTCGGGCTTTCTCATCGCTACACTTCTGAGGAGGAGCCGCCGCTTCGTCTGCCTGCGTATGGAGGCGATAAGTCAGCCCCTGAACATGAGACCTATGACACGCTTTGCGACCCATTCCCAACCGATGTCTACTACCTCGGAAACTTGGTTCGAGAGAGGTTCATGAAGGCACGTTTTGTTCTGTCTAATTGATGGTTCGTCTGAGTTGCTGTTTCGCTGACGGTTTCGTGTCAGGAAAGCTATGGGTTCGAATTCATGGAACCTCTCATCGCGGATATGGTCCAAACTGACCCGTCCAAGCGCCTGAGGATGAACGAGGTCGTGCATCGGTACGGTGTCATCCGCGATGCGCTCTCGACGCACAAGCTCCGTTCGCGGATCGTCTGGCGCGACGAATGGCTCATCCAACGGTTGTTCTTCAACTTCGCGCATCTGATTTGCACCGCCAAATACATCATCATGCGCAAACCTGCTATCCCCATGCCCCCACCCTGACGTTCCCTCCTGCCCTATCTACTTTCTCGCTGTCTCGCTGTCTCTGTCGCTTTGTTTTGATGTGCTTTCGTTCTCAATATTGCATCAACGCCTGCTATGTGCCGCCTTTTGTTATCTAGTTTGATGGACAGTCACGCCCTCTACTTTATCTCCTCTCAATGATGCAACAGTCACCCTAAGAATTTTCTGCGTCTAACCTAAGGTGAATTTTCTTGCAACACATTGACTTGCCTATTGCGAGTTGAACAGCCCCTTGGTGGGCAGCTCAACAAAGGTTCCCCCGCCTCGCCACCCAACCTTCGGTTCGCGCATTTCTCCGATGGATCGCGGACTTTCAACGCCCGACCACGGCTGCACATACAATTACGTCCCTTCCCAACCAGGAAGGTGTACACAGGCGCCCACAACCCCTTCGTCCTCGTCCCCCACGCTCGTTTGCGGCCGATCTCTTGAGGTTTCTTATTCTGGCCCTTGTGATTGATATTCTCTGCTCTGCCGACCGATCTCTTTTGTTTTCTTTCGCGCCTATGAGTATGACTTCGCGACGGCGATCATGGTTGATGACGGGTGATGGAGATCTTGTGTTAGATGGGGCTAGCTTCCGCTATGTGGTGTTCGTGGCTACTGTTTTGGATACAAGGGGATGCGCGTGAGTCCCGTACTCATTTTTATGCCTTATCCTTATCGGCAAGCTGCTTTTCCAAATGCGTAGACGGACGGCGTATTGAGCCGAATTGCGTTTTATTGTCGACCTGATCGTCAAATTCCGACGTGCTAACACTCTATCTTCCTGTCCAACTCTTCAACCTATCCCTGGACACATACCTCTTCGCAATGTCATCATCAATTTCGCTCGCCGAAGTCCTCGACCTTCCGTCTGGCCCCTCACCACAGATGCCTGCGGTCGAGTCACGCCTAAGCGCCAACATGAGCAATCTGGCTGACGCCTTCCAGACGGTTGCGACCCCACTTTTATCGTCTCTACCCAAACGTATCGTTGTCGACCAGGAGAATGGGGACTTATACGCCTCAAAATCAGTCGAGGTCTTGAAAAAGCGTGGCTGGTCGTCCTTTGGACAGGAGCAGCAGAAAATGCTTGCTGATAGAGTGACAGTGTACGTGGCGATTTCTGTCGCGATTCGCTCTTTCTCTACGTGCAGTGGAGTGCTGACAGAGTGGTACGCCTAGGCTTGAAGCAACGTCGCCTCTGACCCTCGGACTCAAGGATGGGATCGCTCCGCAGACAGAGTCTCTGGGCGACAACGCGAAGTTGACCAGCCTGTTCGACCAGTTCCGGGCGGTTCATTTCTATTCACGACGGGCGCAAGAATTGTGGTCTGCCATTGAGGTCAGTTGTCCATGATAAATTGACTTCATGTACTGACAGCAACTTGCGTGCCTAGGCGTATGAGCTCGGGATTGAAACTAAGTCGGATGCGAAAGTTGACATGGCCGTGACCTCCGACGAGCTCGGTGAGCCTTGTATCTTCTCCTCTAGTCGTCCCATGGTTACTGCTGATGGCAATGACAACGACGACCGTGCTCCCCAGACCGCAGTGTGTTGGATTGTATTCTCCAAGACGTCGAGAACGCGTCCGAGGAGGATCTTGCCCTGATTAACGACGCCACACGCGAAGATCTCAAACAGATGCGGCTCATGCTGGACATGACGCGCGAAACGAGTCGGTACTTGAAAGAGGCGCAAGAGACGTATGAGTTGTTACAAAAGGTATGTCGGTCGTTTACTTTCGTTCCTTGAAAACCGTCTTACTGACTCATGTCGCTGTCCTATGTATAGAAAGTGAAGGATGAGGGTCTGACGGAGCAGACTGATGGTCTCGGTATGTGAATATGTTCGTGAGGGTCGTATTTTGTATTGGGCGACCGAGTGTAATCGCCGCCATGTATATCTCGAATCTTTTATGATACTCCTTTGTAACCATAGCCCGTGGAAATTCTTTATCTTGCGAGAATGTTGCTCCCTTAACTGAGCAGGCGCTGGCACCGAGTATAGTCCAGGTCCGGTACCTACTCTGGATTCTCACCACGCGAGTTCAAAGAGCTGTCGTCTGGACAATGTCCCAAAAGAGCAACGGAGGAGGATTCGGCTTCGCCAATTGAAAGTGCGCAAGTTTGCCACGTTCGGGTGCTCCTGAGTTACTACTAGTACGTCCTTCATTTGTTCTTTTCGTAGGCAAACCTTCGCAGAATCCTCGAATCTATCATAAGCAGGAGTTACTAGCGAAGGGGAGCATCGAGTACAACGTTCACGCCATAAACACCCTCCGGAACAAGGCAGCTTTGTTGGGAGCGGCAGCGCTGAGTGCAACAAGCGATAAGATTGGCCATATTCAATATCTACATGTGATGCATAATATAACCGATAAGTCGGAAAGAACGGCTGCGATGATATTGTGGGGTATGATATGGTACAACGGCGAGAAAACACGCCCGGTAGCTTCCAAAGAACTCGACAGATATCCATAATGTCTACTGAACGTCCTCTCGACCTCTAGAACTGGTCGGGAACAACCCACGAAGACCCAATGACTCGTCTGAGGCATTCCCATTGGCAGCCGGCGTAATCGTCGCTACTGCTCGTATACGTGCTGCTTCCGGACGCGATGGGAGCCCTGCCTGGTCTATCGGCGAGTTAGCATTGATATCAAAATCACACAATGTTGAATGATCGAGCCTACCTGAGATGAGAGTTGGTACTGTGGGATCTTGAGTACCCAAGCGGTTCGGGAGCAAACGCTGACTTGTTGAGGGAATAGACTCAGAGACAGGCTTGGCATTTGCACGAGCTTCCGGAATGGACGGAGCAGGAGTACGTGTACCTGGAGGTGGGTCACAATGGGTCAAATAAAAGTGATGACAAGACATGGGGATTACACACGGTTGGTGGGCTTGATCGACTTGAGAGGAATCACATCAGGGATTTCAGGGCCAATGACTGAGGCGACTGAAAGAAAGAATAAGGGATGATGATCAGACGTCGAATAGCAAGCGACTGTCACGGTCGGGCCTACTGGTTTCACAGCTCATGTTGTTCTGTCTAAGTAGCGTCTTGGTTTCAACATGACTGGAAAGATCCTACGGAGTTGATGCGGTCAGTGGGGCATGAGAAGGACGATGTACTGATTCTGCTGAAGAGAACGCACGTCGACCATGTTGAACAGTGCCTCTGCCTCCTCACGGTATTTAGTTGCTTGTTTCTGAATCCACCAACTAGTTCTGTCTACACGTTTCTTCGTCTTTTCCAGGCTGGAAATACGGTCGCAGAATACGCAATGGTCAGATAATGTAAAGGACGATGGCTGAGCAGTAACTTACCTGAGGAGGTGATTCCGTATCTCCACCTTGGTGCCTGGATGAAAGTCTTGGAAGTGCTTCTTCAACAACGCGCGAGTGTCATCACGGTATTTGTCTCCCCTCTTGACCTGCGAGGCCGTGCACAACGACGCGCACAATGTCCCGATGAAGGGAAGGCTGATGCCAAAAATTGAATTCCCAGCTGCATTGACAGTGGCACCAGCGCATTCGGGGCCATAATCTGGCATGGTCTCAAAATCAATTGACAAGATGTGGAGAAGATAGGGAAGGGAGGAGAGAGTAGATTGAATGAGAATGTTCGCAACCAGGCGAAGATTTGGGGGATGGGATATGGATGCTTGAGGACCTTCCAATTGGACGGTTATGTATGGATCGCTTGTGCGGGCGCTCCGCCTTTTGCGTAAGTTTGTGGTATACCATGAGCGATTTTGGAAGGCTTTGAGAAGGTTGCCCTCATCGAAGGATCCCTCTGAAGCACAAAGTAACTAGCAAAGGCACCAAAGCCACTCTCTGGCCGTTGGGGTAAGAAATCAACGTCAAACAGAGTACGCGCTATTGTGATAGTTGCTCGTTGATCAACTTACTGTCACATAGACGATGTACGTTCGATCACAGTCTATTGTTCCCAAAGGGCTTGGAGAATGGCCGACAGGAAAGAAGAGCCCTGAGCATCCAATCACTTGGCTCCGATCAAAGCGCCCTATTGTGGGCCAATGTGACCGGGGTCACGAACGTGACAGAAATGGTTCAACATGTGCGTAATTTGCAACGGCACGTTCTTCCTTCTCACTGCCAGGCTTCCAGCCAGGTAGCCACATATTTGTCTCACTGTGCAGCCCAGCAACTCGCTCTTCATGGTGGACGACGACGTTGATGTTGATGGTCTAGACGACTGGGAGCCTGAACAGCTTACTTTTCACGAGAAGTGGTGGGTGCGACAACGCCCATTTCTCGAAGACGCAGGATACGTGTTTCGTCCGCGATACCAGCCTGGATGGGAGGCGTCCTGGACAGCTGTAGATGGTTTCTTTCGCGATTACGAGGATGGACAGTTTCAACCCGTAAGTAACGTCTGCCTATACGGACATGGCCATTGCTTGATGCTGATTGCGCGAAGAGGGGTATGCTGTTAGATGCCCAACGTGCATCGGACGGCGCATACGTCTACATGAAGAGGATGTCACCTACCCAGAGCAAAGGTTATGCTGATGAACTACAGATTCATCAGTACCTTCTATCTGAGCCTCTCAAGTCTGATCCTCGCAATCGTTGCGTGCCTATCTTGGACGTCCTGCATGTTCCTGGCGATGAGGGCGAGGTGATCATGGTCACACCGATGCTAAGGCAGTTCTATAGCCCGAGGTTCCTTACCTTTGGTGAAGTCATTGCGTTTCTCGCTCAGACATTCGAAGTAATTTCTCTTTATCCTCGTACCAGCGTATGTGTGCACTGACTTACGCTTTGATCTAGGCTATTGAATTCATGCACGACCACCGAATAGTTCATGGGTGTGTGTCTTTACCCCTCTCAGACGCAATGTTGTCCATCTCATTTTGAATAGAGATTGTTGCAAAGAGAACATCATGATGGATCCTACCCAACTTTACCCCCATTCTTTCCATCCCGTTGTACGCGACCGTCGGCGTGATTGGAAAGGAAATGCGAAACACTACACCCGAACACGATACCCGCCGAAGTATTATCTCATTGACTTTGGACTTTCTCATCGATATACTCCAGAGGAAGAGCCTCCGCGCCGTCTGCCCGTGTTCGGAGGCGACAAATCGGCTCCTGAACACGAAGCTTATCATACGCCGTGCGACCCATTCCCCACCGATGTTTATTACCTCGGAAATCTGGTTAGGAAAATGTTCATGAGTGTGCGTTTTCTGGACGGCTATCTTGTTGATGCGAAACTGACGATTTGGCATGCAGCAAAGCTATGGGTTCGAGTTCATGGAACCCCTCGTTGCAGACATGGTCCAGACCGACCCGACCAAGCGCCCGAAAATGGACGAAGTCGTACACCGTTACGGAGCCATCCGCGACGCGCTCTCGACGCGCAAACTGCGTTCGCGGATTGTATGGCGCGACGAATGGCTTATCCAACGACTCTTTCTTAATTTCGTCCATCTTTTTCGAACCGCTAAGTACATCATCACACGCAAACCTGCTATCCCAATGCCTTTGTCTTGATTACATTCTACGTTAACCCCATTTGCTTCCTTTACGCCGTTGTCTCGCTTGGATACGCTTTCGATCATGCTTTCGCTTTTCATACCGCTTTGATGTCTGCTAGGTGCTAACAATTTGTTATCTGCTCGACGATCAGTCACGCCCTCTATTTTTGGTTCCTTCATTGCAATGATGCGGCGGTTACTTCGAAAATGTGCTGTGTTTGTCCTGAGGACGTCTTCTCATGCGATGTATCGATCAATTGACAACCTGCGAGTCTATTGGTGAATTCATAGAGCGATCGAAGCTCCCAAACGAAAACAAAAGCAGCCTCGCCTCGAGGTCGCCACCGAACCGTCGAGGCTGCCTCCGTTCCCCTGTTCTGCGATCGATCGCGGACTTGGAACGCATGACCGTGGATACGGCGGCCATACAATTACGTTCCTTCCTAAAACGGAAGGCGTACACACGCGCCCACATCTCCTCGCCCCCGTTCCTCCGCGCTAATTTGCGGTTGGTTTGTTGAGGTTTCCTGTCCTGGCCATCGTTACCAATTGCCTCGCGTCTCTCGACTGACAGTTTTTGTTTTCTTTACAAGATCCTGTGACGGCGATCATGTTCGATGACGGGTGATGGAGATGTTGTGTCGAAAGGAGGTACATTCGGGTTGATGTTGCGCACTTTGGTGTCGAAGTGACTTATTTGAGCACAAGGGACTGTCCGTGAGTTTCGCACTCACTTCATCTAATACATTGTTTTTGTTGACAGGCTTCTAGGAAAGCTTGCTCATAATACTTAGCCGGACAGCGTCTTCGACCAACCGTATTTTGTTGTTACCTAGCCATAACATTCAACACTCTCGATCCCTCATCCCTGACTTCCCGACCTATCTCTCACTATCCGCTTCCCCACAATGCCAGAAACCGTTTCTCCCATCGACTTCCCCGACCTTCCCTCTGGCCTCTCACAACACGCGCCGCCGGTCGCGTCAGGTCTGAGTGCCAACGTGAACGAACTCGCCAGCGCCTTCCGGATGGTTGCGACCCCACTCCTATTGTCTCTACCTAAACGTATCGTCGTCGATCAGAAGAACGGTGATCTCTATGCTTCGAAGTCGTCGGAGGCGATGAAGACGCGGGGCTGGTCGTTCTTTGAACAGGAGCAGCAGGAAGTACTCGCGGACAAAATTACCACGTACGCTGATGCTTTCCTTTCTCATTCTCTGCCTGTATGTTTGAGAAACTGAACTACTGCCGCTGCTAGGTTGAAAGCAGCTTCATCTCTTCCCTCTAGCCTCGAGAGCAGGGGCGCCCCACAGGAGGAGTCGCAGGAAAACAGTGCGCAGCTCGCAAGACTGTTCACCCAACTCAGGGCAGTCCGTGGTTATTCAGAGCGAGCAAAAGAGCTATGGTCGACCATCAAGGTTAGTGCTTCCGTCTGATTACCACCCGTTGACGGCTACTATGCTCATGTTGACTCGCGCACGTAGACATATGAGGTCGGGATCGGAACGAAGTCCGATAGCAACGTCGTTACTGCCACGACCTCCGACGAACTCGGTGAGACCTTGCGCCTTACCCTGTATTTATCACATTGTCCCCGCTAATAAGCGTGCCTGTGCCCCATAGACCGTAGTGTTTTGGAAGACATTCTCGACGACGTCGAGAGCGCGTTGAAGAAGGACACAACTCTGCTCGATGACGCCGCACGCGAAGAACTCAAGCAGATGCGACTTATGCTAGATATGGCACGGGACGCGAGTCTCTACGCGAAGGAGGCGAAGGAGACGTATGAGATGTTACAAAAAGTATGTCGGTCGCCTACCTTCATTTCTTGGAGTACGTCTTGATAATTTATTTTGCTTTATGGCGCGCTACAGAAAGTGAAAGATGAGGGTCTACTGGAGCAGACTGAAGGTATTAGTAGTTTATGAGTATGTTCGTGTCGCACAAATCTTGTGTTAGGTCACTGAATGAGCTTCGATCCACTGTATGTCGTGAATTATGTACGAACGGCTTTTGTAGCTATAGCCCATGCCCCTAAAATATTCCTTTTCTGAGAAAGCAATTCTTTGACTTCTGAGCAAGCGGCAGTACCATCGTCCAGAACCGCTATCAGGCGCTCCGTTCCCAGAAAGAAACAGTGTTGATAGATCTACCTTGTCCACCGACATCCCAAACGAAATGTGGCAGTGAATATATAGCCCGAGCTTGCATCCTCCGAGGATATCACGCCACATCGTTCCGAGTTCGGGTGCTTTTTCGCGGAGGCAAATCATCTCCGAGCTTTCGGGCACACCAAGCACATGAGAGAAAGTGAACACTGAACACAACGTTCACACCATATTCTCCAGAATGCAGGCTCAAATGTGTGGTGTGATGACGACCGTCAATTCAAAACGATTGAACAAGGGTATATAAATACAGCATCCGAGTCATAGCTACAGGACTCAAATTGAGAGAGAATTCGTAAGGCTAGATAGTGGCAAGAACCTGGTGCCTTCAAGGCCGAGTCCAAACCGCGGAAGAAAACAAGTCGGAATCAAAGACCGTCCCAGAGGTAGCTGATGAGAGGCGTCGGTCAGTATTTTATCTCAGGCTTGCCTGCGCCACACGAGGACTCGCAAGCTCATCTCGGTCAACTGAGCACCGTCACTTTCGATTCAAGTCGAAAGTATGATACCCAGATACGATTCTATCATATTATGACCCCGAGATGAACCCACGCAGCCTATGCGGACAGCAACAAGGGAAAGTAGGCAAACGCACCTGTGAGCCTCGACGACAAGCTCACCGTTGATGCGGTAGGAGTACGGAACGGGTCTTCGGGGTCCCTGAATCTAACGCTTCTCTTAGTTCGTGAGGGTGGGCGTGAGTCTGCAACTTCGTCAGAACTACGTGTGGGATGCCCAGAAGCAATGCAGAGTAACGCACTGCTTCGTTGTAGATCATCGTTTGAGCGCTGTGCGATAATACAGGAGTCGGGCGGCCGAGTAACTGATTCTGACACAATATGTGCTCGCTCGGGTGGTGAAATGTTGGCTTGCTGGACGGCGGCTTCAGCTGAAGGGATACGTGATATTGTTGTTAGTGCACCTAGAGATCGTGTGATGCATGAAACCGGACTGACCTTCTACTTTTCGTTGCTCTGTCAGGCGCTGTAAGTAGGAGTGTTTCGCATTTTCTGACAGTGACTGAAAAGGAGATAGATAAGTTGCTCAAGTTATGACCCGATGTCCATACCGAGATGCTTACCCTGGCTTTAGATTCCCCAGCCTTGGCATACTGGTGGAACTCTCGGGAGGCTCGCCATCTTCGAAACTTCGATAGTGCAACACGATCCTCCGATTTCGCTTCCGCTGCGGAGGCACTGCAAGAAGAATTAGCCATGGATACGTATATGTACGATCCATACAGCGTACGGCGAACATACTCTTTCTTCATAGAAGTGAGCTCCTCGAGTTCTACAACTGAGAGGTACTCCTTGCTATCAGACATGTACTTCAGCATATCGCTCATGTAGTCCTTGCCCCTACCACGGTGGTACGAGGAAGAAGTAAACTTGTATAACCGCACAGCGGCGTAACCTGCTGCTGGTCCGCCAATGACATTGCCAGCGGCATTTATGAAGATTTGATCGGTCGCACTACTCATTCGGAGGCGATAGGTAGAAAAAAGGGAAGGAGAGTAAGGGGCAGAGGGAGAGAACGACTGAACGCGCACAGCGAGTTCAAGGTGACGGGATAAGATAGAGAAACTGACGGAGCGGTCCTCTTTTTATGGCGGAAACAGGTAACTCCGGGAAACCATCTGTGATCGGTCCGTGTCGCCTCCAGTGAAAATAATACATGGATCCACAAAGACGCACGCTCACCAGCCCAAAGAAGTGGTCCAACCCGTTGGCTCTTGTGCTACTGACGCTTTTGACGACAAGGGATCGTTCGAAATACTTACCCACTGTGCACCGGTTGTTGCTGCCAGGCCTGGGTTTGAGCAGTGACGGGATTACCGAATGGAGGTTAACAGGAAGACCGCTTAGGCAGTGAAGCTCCAAGCCACTAGACTTACAGAAGCGACAACAAATTGCAACAAAAGTAGCCGTTGGTTTGAGTTTGTTCGGCGGATGTAACCGTATGTACTTACATGTGGTGAAAGGCCGTGCGAAAATGTGATTTGTAACCGTTTGCTTCCGAAGTTCTTGAGAGTTTCGTTCGTCCCAGGCGGTCCTTGCGAGTGAATGATTTTGCTCCTCCACCCTTCGCCCTCGCATCCATTTTAGCGCGCTCATCGTCGAAAGGAGATTCTCAAAGTGTCTCCGTCTATTCTTTTCCATGTCGGAGGAAAGCTTGAACACGGAAGAAAGCGAGCGCCGTTGGTTGGAGAATCCTGGGATCCTGACGCGACATGAGCGAGTATGGAGGAGTAGGCAGCAGTGGTTGGAGGAGCATGGATATATGTTGCGCTCCCGTTATAAACCAGGATGGGTACCATCGTGGGTAGGAACAAAGAGATGGTATAATCATTGTGTCGATGGTCCGATGAACCCGGTACGCGTAATTCAGCTCCTGCGACATCCTCTGAGTGTTCACCTGTTTCAAGACTGGCCTTAGGGTCATTGACGCTACCCGTATATCAGATGGCACATTCGTCATGCTCAAATGGGTCAAGGTAGACAATCCCTCCGAAGTTGAGATCACACGATATCTATCATCTAAGCCTTTAACCTCCGACCCTCGCAATCACTGCAATCCTGTTCTCGACGTACTACCTCTCCCTGATCCCCGAGATGGTGCCCTCCTGGTCACACCCATGCTGAGACCATTTGACAACCCTCGATTTGAGACTTTTGGAGAAGCCGTTTCGTTCTTCAGCCAAATCTTCATCGTACGTTTTTCTCAATCAACATACTAGGTTCCTTTTCATTCATAAAAAACTTGTACAGGGCCTGCAATTTTTGCATGAACATCGTATCGCACATCGGTATGCTAATCCGTATTCTCACACTACTTCGCTGACGATATCCCTGCACCCAAGGGATTGCACTTCGGGCAACATCATGATGGAGCCTATAATGTTTCCTAAGCCGTATCACCCCATTAAGATCGAGCGCAGGCGTGATTGGAAGGGGCGTGCGGCGTATTATACACGTACGGAATGCCCTCCGCGTTACCTCTTCATTGACTTCGGCCTCTCAATTCGTTACCCGGATTCCGATGACGGGCCACACCTCGAGCTGCCCATCAGAGGTGGCGATAAAACGGCGCCCGAACACACTGGGCATAATTATCTGGTTCCGTGCGATCCGTTTGCTACCGATGTATATTATCTTGGAAACTTGATTCGGGAGCAGTTTCTCCAGGTATGTTTTCGACGTCCTCGGGTTCAGTCAGGATCGCTTCATGTCTCGCTTTTTGTACACAGAAGCGGTATGGATTCAATTTCATGGGGTGTCTCGTTGCCGACATGGTACAGGACGACCCATCGAAACGTCCCAAGATTGACGAAGTTGTCCGCCGATTTGAGATTATCCGAAAGTCGCTCAGCTGGTGGAAGCTAAGGTCCCGCATTCGTGGACGAAAGGAGATCACTCCCGTCCGGTTTTGGAGGGCATGCATTCACATATATCACACAACTCTATACTTGGCCACTCGTACACCCGCTATTCCTGATGCATGATACCCTCGCTTCATCACTGTCGCTCTGTTTGCTTTCCCTCGCTTGCTGTCTTTAATGTTGTCTTACATGCACCGTGCTTTGAAATGCCACACTCTTTTTCACGTCGGTTTCTTTGAGTCCTCGCCCTCAGCTGGCGGCGAGCCTTCAAAGTCAGGTTCTTGACGTGGTAGCGTGATTCTGACCGTCGTCACCCACTCCGTCACCCACTCCAATCTCAATCCCCCAAGAAGAATTCCCAATGGACAGGTTCGTCGCTTCGCTCCATCTTGCCCCTAAAGTATGACATGGCGATCGTTATTTGCCAGTAGCAGGTCCGTTTCTCAACACTCACATTATCGTCGACAACATCTCGCACACACGAAGGATCATCCAAATACAATATATCGTTCAAGTACAACCACATCAGATGACTTTATCTCGGCAATCAGTGGTCTTGGGAAGCGAAGGGACGGATTCAAGTCACACAAAAGGATGTTAGGCGGGTGCGTGGCAGTTTGGGTTTCACAAAAGCGATAACAGCGGCCTATGCCGGAGAGTCTCAATTGTCAATCATAGCAGTGTAATTCGTCGTGTCACTTCAGCATCTATTCTAACGTGCTCATCGTCGACTGAGGACCATCGGGTTCGTTCTTTTTTGCTTGAAATGTCGCAAGAGAGCTTGACCCACGAGGAAGAGCGTCGCCATTGGTTGGATAATCCCGGGATTTTGTCGCGACACGAGCGAGTATGGAGGAGTAGGCAGAATTGGTTGGAGGAGCGCGGCTACATGCTGCGCTCTCGCTACAAGCCAGACTGGGTGCCATCCTGGTCAGGAACAGGGAAATGGTACAACAATTGCGTAGATGGGCCAGGGAATCCGGTACGTTCAAGTTCAGTTTCTACCTTGCACTGCCTCACGTGCTTACCATCTACAAGAACGGTCTTAGAGTCATCGACGCTACTCGTATATCGGATGGTTCCTTCGTGATGCTTAAACGTGTCAAGGCCGATAATCTCTCGGAACTTGAAATCATACGGTTTCTTTCATCTGAGCCTCTAGCCTCCGATCCACGTAACCATTGTACTCCTTTGCTCGATGTTCTGCCACTTCCAGACCCCCAGGATGGTGTTCTTGTGGTAACGCACATGCTGAGGCCATTAGATAATCCTCGCTTTGAGACCATCGGAGAAGCCGTCGCGTTCTTTTCCCAAATCTTCGTCGTACGTTCCTCCCCCGTGCATAACCTTCTTGACGCCGTGCTCATCGTGTATACGGCTTGCAATTCCTGCACGAACATCGCATTGCGCACCGGTATGGACATTCATATTACTTTACTTTCATCGTACCGACGACCTCATCTTTTCTAGCGATTGCACATCCGGTAATATCATGATGGAGCCTGTCATGTTTCCGAACCCTTATCATCCCGTCAAGATCGAGCGTAGGCGAGACTGGAAGGGTCGTACGCCATATTATACTCGTACAGAGTGTCCACCACGCTACTTTTTCATCGATTTTGGCCTCTCTATTCGCTATCCTTCCGCTGATGGGCCACACCTTGAGCTGCCAATCCGAGGTGGTGATAAGACGGCGCCCGAACACACTGGAGCGAACTATATGATTCCGTGTGATCCGTTCGCCACCGACATATATTATCTTGGGAACTTGATTCGTGAGACGTTCATCCAGGTATGCTTTGAGTTCCGCCAGTCGTGGTCACGATTGCTCATGTCTTGCCTATTATGCGTAGAAATGCTACGGCTTCAGAGTCATAGAGCCTCTAGTCGCCGACATGGTGCAGGAAGAACCATCGAAGCGTCCCAAGATTGATGAAGTTGTACGTCGGTTTGAGCTCATTCGGAAGTCCCTCAGCTGGTTGAAGCTACGCTCCCGTATTCGGAAACGAAAAGAGATCACTCCCGTTCGTTTTTGGAGGGCATGCATTCACATATATCACAACGCTCTATACTTGGCCACTCGTACACCCGCTATTCCTGATGCATGATACCCTCGTCTCGTCGCTGTCTGTCTTTTTACTTTCCCTCGCTTCCTGTCTTCGATGTTTTTTTTTATATGCACCGTGCTTTGGAATGTTACACTGTCTTTAACTTCTCTTGCGTTCTCGCCTTGGCAGACGGTGAGCCTTCGAAGTCAGATTCTCGACGTGGCTGTCAATTTGTGGCCTGTTATGACAGACATCATTGTCTGTGTATGATGTCGCTGGTCCAGGAAGCAAGGTGTGAGTCGCTGAACAGACTGAAGAAGTTCAAGTCCAGGATCATTGTAGTAGTTTACATATGAGAAGGGGCTATAGGATACCGAGTATATTACTGAAGAGGACTTGAATGCATATGTCGAGGCTATAGATAGTTAAGTACTCGCGCAGAAAGCGGATAGATATACTTAGCTGATGCGGATACGGAAGATCAAAGGGGAACTCTAGAATACCAATCTGGATCCCGTACACACCAGCCTCAGAGTAGAGTACACATCTAATGATCTTTAGCAGCTGAATTGGAGGAGTGGCATCTCCAACTCCAACAGACCATGAACAAAGCGGACATCTTTCGAGGATGTGACATAGCTGGGTCGGGCAATGTAATGGTCGTTGGTGACTGTCATAGGGGACGCCTTGTTCAAGTTATCGAACGGTGGAGCGCAAGATACTTGCGAACGAGTATGCAGTCAGCTTTGGGATATATCACTGACGGTGAACACTCACTTATGTTCCTCAAAAGATTTTCCCGAATGCGCGTCTGGCAAGATAGAACGGTGATTGAAGGTTGGACATTGGAGTCCTCCCCTGTTCTAGCTTCTGCATCTGAAGAGAGGAAACAAAGTTATATTAGTAGACTATCCCGCGAGTGACGACAAACGATTGATCTACCCACAATGTAATGATGCCGTAGGTCCGGCATGACATTGATCACAATGAACCTGCGTCAAGGGGGCAGTCAGGTCTTACCATTATGCATTACGGCGATTAGTATGACTAACCTCGAGCAGTTTCAAAGCTTCAGCAGCAAGGTGAGGATATATATGCGCTTCACTCCTGTCCAAGATACCGTGGATGCCACTGTCAGCTACAACCAGGCAACTTCTCCTACGCAGCACTCTGAAACCACGGTACTTGTCAAAATGATTGGTTTTTTTAAAAGCAAAAAGAAGAAACCAACTCGTTAAATTTCTCCAGAACCTCGTCTTGCGTCCTGTCACTCCAAGCTTCGTAACGACGTGCTAAGATGTCGGAGGTAAGGTGCTCCCATGCGTTCCGAAAAATTGTGTCTCCGACGCGAATTTGCTTCGCTACATATATTTCGATGACACGATTCGCAGCCGCGCCGTATTTTTTGTTTAGCACCTATTCGCAGTGCGGCGGTGTAAAGTTCAGCACTATGGTTCTAGAATTTGCATAAATTCGACGCACCTTGGCTTCTGAGAGGGCTCGGCGTGCCGCTTGCTTGAAAAGTGCTTCTGAACCAACCTGTCGATACTTGGCCGCTTCATCGATCCTGTCATAGGTATTAGAAAGATAAGCATACACTGTTAGAAGAATAATGAAGGCAATTAAAAGCTTACAAGGAGGAAACAACATTATATGAAGCGAGGTATTCTTCACCATCTGTGACTCGGATCTGCGAAGCATTCTTGTGAATCAGTCTGATTCTGGATGCTTCCAGCCATACGTCTTCCCCGCTCCTCCTATCCCGACGGTCCAGTAACCTCTCTAGCCAGCGTGCTGGTGGAAGCTGAAGTTCTGCACGCGCGGATGTCGATTTGCTTGGTAGATTGATGGAAGGCTCTATCTTGTTTTCGTCTCCTTGTTTGTCTTCTTTTTCAGTTAGCTGCTGACGCTCTTTGCGTATCACACTCAAGAGAAAGACTAACCATTGTCTTTGACAGGGATACTTGCAACCAGATCGTAGGCATTCCGAGACAGAGAAGAAATTTTATCTTCAGGGGCAAAGGTAGCTCCTACATCTAGAATTTATCAATGCTAGAGGCAACAATCCCGAAGAAATCAGCACTACCTTCGCCACTCCCTTTGATACGGCCCTCTTTCTCCGGGAACAAATCCTATGGGGCAAAATGCACATCAGATCGAAATGTGTAAGGTATACGGCACCATTCACCATCATAAGGCGCAACATTATCCGGGTGCGGTTAAAGTATTGAGCAGCGCGCCGATTCGCCTCATAACCCTCGTTGCCGTAGCCGAAGGCCGCAACACCGTGGTAGAGAACAGTCCTATAAGAGCAAGTCGAATAAATTTAATATGTGAATGAGAATCAGGCAGCTCAGGATATACATTAAGATGAGGTGGTTCAACCTGTCCCTCTCTGCGGTGGTCCAACCGTTTCCAAGTTTCTCTAGGTCGGAAGTGTACAGGAGGTTCAGAGACTCCGTATGCTGAGTTTCGGCCAAGTTGAATGTATCCTTGAGATCGCTCTTGAGTAGAACGTTGGCGCGCATCCCATATTTCTGAGTCAGAGTCTACGGAGCATCTAACTGGTCAGAAAGTCATCTGTTTGCATACATCACACGGTACAACACACTTTGACGATTCCCTTCGCCGTGCTAGCTGTGGATGCGTAAGTTTGTGCTACACGAACTATCGTGAGGTTCGCCGGAGCCCGCCGGAGAAGCAGAAGTTTGATATTTTGCTCAGCCTTCAGAGCCTCGTCGTAGCTGGGCGTGGAATATCGCAGTGAATTCGAGCACAAAACACGGCGAATAGAGAAGACGCACGCATTATACGCAGACTTGAAGTCCGCAACGTAGGCTGAAAGATCAGTGTCTCTAGTTGAAAGTATGGCGAGTACATAGATGTGAGACTCCAAGGAAGGCTTGATCTCGTTCATATAGTAGTCGCCTACGGTCACACGAAGTTCTGTTATGTACTTCAGTGGCCGAGCGAGCCAGGACACTGTATCTGTCTTCGTGTCAGATGCCGGCGATGTAGAGTGTTGATTGTCGGTGGACATGGTGACTGATTACTGAAAGGAAGGAGAAGGGGTGTTCAAACGGTTTTTGGAGCTGGACAGTCACCGTTGTTGGCTTCTTTTATACAGCAAGAGCATAATAGAGGCGAGTTATGGGGCCACGGTGGCGCGACTGGGAACGAAGCTGAAACGGAAACAAAAGCATGAGCGATAGCAAGACGCCACAAACAGTCGGGTAGGAAGGTCTTCTGTATCTCGAGTATAACAGCTTAGGACGTGAGATAGATGCGTCGCCGTGACAGTACCCCACTGTCCTGAAGTGGAGTCCGAGTTTTTTTGGTGGTTTCGGGAGCCTGAGGAAATAGTAGGCGTTCAGGGCGGCTCTGAGTCAGAAAGCGGATTGAAACAAGATCAGAAGAGATATGTCAAATCTGCGGTGCGTATCGAGGGTTTAGCACAAAGATGTGTGCAGCTCATGTACATGACGGTAGCATTAATACTCGGATTTGAACGACTTCAGGGAACTGCAAGCCTCTGTGTGGCGCGCTGTCAAGGGGAACGCCGAGAGCCATTTCTCACGGCCCCCACCGCCTCTGAAACGGATATCGATATGAGCATTTGTTCTCGTCTCTTGTGGCCACACATTCTTGTCAGTGATCCTTCCATCTCAGCCTATGTACGCCTAATACTGCTCTTCCCAGGTCTCTGACAATAAAACCGCGATCTACTTGCTTGGAGGCTCCGATCCTTTCATGTGCCGCCTGCCGATGATCGTGTCAATATTCTGAGCTCTCTTGTTCTGCACCAGACTGATTCAGCTAGAACGATATCCAGACATTCCGAGATGGCCTCAATCATTCTATGCCGTACGTTCCACACCAATGCTCTTCAATGATAACACAAGGGCTACCAGGTGATGGTCATTACATTCTCCATCACCGGAATCCCCAAGTTTCGCCGCCCTAGCTCTGCCTTTTGTTCTTCCTCAACAAGCACCATCTCGACTATAGCCGGAAGCCTCGCTAAAGACTATTCTTTTCCTTGTCTTTTCCAGGCCGCTGGTTCCCTTCTTCCCGTCCAGTCACAAGCTCGAGGATCTGGTTCTTGGCGACGCCTCTCACGCGAAGCTGTACGCTTTTGTTCGCTTTCTGAGTCGTGCTTGCTCGAGCTTCCTCCGACAACGACTCATTCTGCTTCAAGTTGCCGGATGCGTATTTCTGGTCTCCATCTTCGTGCTCTACCCGCCGTGGCGATTACATCCCTCTTGCCGAGCGTGCATCCCGTGTATCAATGTTGTACGCCCTAGGCCTCTCGTATACTCAGGTTCTAATTCTAGACACTAGAAATGATCCTTGTTCGCCCATCACGGTCTTGTCCAATACTTCCATCCATGCGTTGACTCGTGTGTATGTTCATCATGATTTTTCCCTCGCTGCCTACGTACTGCTGTGCCACATATCCTCGACAACCCCACTTCAGGCAACAATACAGTCCTCGCTTTGATACTCCTTGCTTGGTCTTCCCACCACCGGAAATCAGCAGACAGCGACATTCTCTTGATAGGAGTGGGCGTAAGGGGCGATAGTTGGCCAGAGCTTTATATATAAGGACTCTCACCGCCTATCCCTCTGCCCACATCACCGCATCGCGGCATACGCACTGTCCGACACGAACAGCACGAACTGACGGACTAGCTTGCTGTTCTTAGAGTTGACTCTGAATCCTGTGAACTGGAGATAGGAGGACATCGCAGCAGCGCGCTTCGCCACGGTATTAGGGTTTCTTTGTCCCTCGACCCAGGGAACGAGGCGTCTCTGCCATAGTATAAGAGCGATATCATCTCGACTTCTGTACAAACCCCCAACATAACCGAACACACAGCCACGGCACTTGCAAGAGGCACTTAACAACGACAATACACACCGACACCATACGTAATAGCAACCAAGGCACAAAGGACACTCAACAATCGGACACTTCCTTCGATCGGGCACCTGACACTGACACACGACACGTAACAAACACCCTTCGCATTCAACGTTCAACCCACGCCGCCTCGCCACTATAAAGGCCCACACAACCCTCGTCTCTTGCGATGCCCTCGCTCATTCAATCCTCCCTTCTTCTGCTTCGCGATTACATTATGAGGGACTACGATAGGTATAACGAGATACATGCGGGAGAGGTCATGATGGATGATTGGAGGACTATACTTGAGATACAGGAAGTCGCTGCGAAGCTCGATGATGGTGAGTTGAGCAAGGGGGAAGGATGGGAGGAGGCGGTCCAGGGTGTTAGGGATGCGTGAGTAGTATCTCGTCATTTCACTCGTCGGCGGGGTGGGGTGGCTGGAAGAATACGTACTGATGATGGTGATTCGTGATATAGGGCGGAGGGAGTGGAGGAGGCGAGGGAGGCGACGAGGGAGGCGCCACATGATGTGGCGAAGGCCACAGCGTTCAAAGAGATAGCGAAGAGTGCTGTCGATGTCGCTGCTGTGAGTTTTTCGCTATCCTTCTTCCTTTCATTTCCCCTTCCGCCGATTATCTGTGCCTTCAGTTGTGATAACTTAATGATTGCCTCGTTCTCAATATAGGCGCTTCAAAGAGGACATTTCGGCGAGAAAGCAATGGGGCTCATCGTCGAAGACACAGAATCGTACTGGCCCCTCGGCTCCAAACTCGTAGGAGATGGACTGAGGCTCCTGACCTGGGAGATCATCAGGGGACACACGAATGCGTGGAGTGCGGAGGATAAGGAGGGGGTTGTTGGTGCTCTTGAGAAGTAAATCTCCCCACAAATCTCCGTTCGGGAGGAAGGTGCTGCCTAGAAGGAATGCTGATGGATACTGTCTACGGAAAACGCAAATGTATAGGGTCCTGGAAGATTTAGACGTCGATGCATCTGGATGGGCGATTGAGGGGATGAGTGAGATTGATTATCATGAGCCGTTAGATGCTGTGAAGTGTAATGAGAGGTCAAAGGCATTCCCTGAGGATGCGAGGAAGATGGTGGAATTGCTCAAGGTATGTCTTTGTTCATTTCCATGTGCGGTGGTATGGTATGATGCTGACATGGGCGTCCCGCGTTTGTAGATTACGACGAGGAAGAGTCGCGAGACGTTGGGAAAGGGGGAGTACTTGGACTGTCCTATAAACATCGACGTCGGTGAGTCTCTCTCGGTGTGTCTGCTGTGCGAAAGATGGCTGATAGACTCAATAGAGAGCGAGATTCCGTTTGGCAAAGCAACCAATCCGAAGTTGAACAAGAAGACATACTACACCATCCTCCTGGAATTCTCCGGCCTAAATCGCGAAGTCCACGATACACTCAACCGTGGAGGTCAGTCCCGACTCATGTAGCTTGTCGACCTGCCTTCCTTCTTTCTCATCTCCGTCCATGTTTCCCATCCTCTAGAGGGCCCACCTGGTGTCGACATGAGTGTGGCCCAGTCCCAAAACGGGGAGAAGGCAGCCCCTGCAGGGTTTACGCCACGACCAGCGACTGATGTAGAGTTCCTCACCTCGTTGAGAGATATCAAGGGTTTGAGTGGGATTAAGACGACGAAGGACTCGGTGCAGCGTGCTACGCCTCGGGCTGAATGCCCTTTTGGTCCCAGGTAGACTTTGAAGCGTGGATTCTAGAGAAGACTGGACAGACGAATGGACAGAAGTGGCTGCATCCCCATGACCTGTACTTATAATATCGTTAGCGAGTATATAGCAAGAACCAGACACGGTGGCACCCTGTGTCTGGACTGAGCAAGGAAAACGCCGTCTGAGCATGTTGTGGACACGTGTATCGACGTTCCCACGGGTGCTTTAGCGGGAGCAAGTGCGAATTTGCAGCCTCGCCTGTTCAGCATTGGCTCGCACGAGGACCGTGTGCTGCCTGCCCTTTTCCCTGCGCTTGATATACCCACCTGCTGGCAGTGCAGACATCCAATCTACTATCAGTACAGTTGCTAATTCAGAAATATCGGTCTAGAAGGAGAACGAGAAGGGACCGGAGCGGCGATAATCAATAATTATATCCATAATGGCCGTGGCCTCCGTCCACTCCTCCGTCTCGCAGTCGTCTCTCGCCGGAACAGTGCCGTCGTCCAGTGCGGCCTCTGTCATCGACCAGTCAACGAAGGATATACCAGAGCAGTCGCCGACACCGACGAAGACACCGACGAAGACGGAAAGGAGGGTGACTTTGGGCGTGCTTGAGTCGGGCAAGTTTAGGCTGTCGAAAGATGTGCGTCAGTCTCCAGTTATGGTTCTGAACTGGATACATACCTTCCCCCCGGCCTCGAGGCCATCCATGAACATCATCGACTCGCATTGCCGTGCCTAACACGTGTTGTACCCCTTCCTTTTTTCAAGTTTGTTGGCCAGCTCGTCAGATCCACCTCCACAACTTCACGACGGAATCCCTCTCCGCTCTTCGAGGTACGTCCACCTTCGCTTTGACTTGGGAGTATAACAAGATCTCCCACGGACTGGTTTAAATATTGACTTGACGACGCCCGTGGACCATCATTATAGCCGGCGACGCACGGTCCACGCGCGCTTGGCTTCTCAGAGGATGCGAGCGAGGACGAACTCAATTCCCGCGTAGACAACCTCGACACCAACACGGAAGCACGCGATCAGCAGATGACAACGACGACGACGAACACAAGCAGTACCAGTCAGAGCCACAACGAACACTTACAGCAGTCTCGACCTCCGTCTTCGGCAAAGGCAAAGGTGCGTCCCGTTTAGGCATACCTATGCTTTGTGTTCCTCGCGCTCACACAGTCATCTTACCTCTTCTGGACGTTCTTGTGTCGTATTGTTGTGTCTCGGGGTGTTGCTTCTGTGTCCCGCCGTTGCGATCGCATAAGATATATGAGTTCTTCTCGCGCCCTTCATCCCGCTCACAATCCCGCACCAACACAAGCACCTCACTCTCCTCTGCCCACGAACCACCGACCATCAGCTCAGAACCTGAACCCAGCATTACACTCAATCCTACTCCCCTATCCCGACCTAATCCGTCCAAACCTTCTACGCGATCTCCCTCTCGTCCAATCTCGTCGACGACCGCCACGACGGAGAAAACGATCAGACAGGCGCGCGCTCACACCCCGCCGGACATGCCCACCCCTCCCTCTCACCGACACTGGCATCCCGACGGACATCAACCACAGCCTTCGAGCTCACCCGACCTTCCACCACAGTATCAATCGCCCTACCTTACCGAAACCACCCCTAGTCCGACGCCCATGCTCGAGAACCCTATCCCCGTCTCTGTTCCGGTCTCACGCCCCGCTACCGCCAACGGCACCGGCGCAGTCCGAGGCCACAACCACGATCCTTACGCGTACGACCCACGCATGCTTCCACCACCCGTACCCTCCTCCGCACATAAGAAGAAGCCGCCACCTACGTTGTTCGGGATCTCGTTCGGAGGTTCACGCGGCACTAAGACGGCGCCGAATTCGATGCCTACCACCCCGAAGAAGGAACGCGAGATGGACGAGATGGGCTACGCGATTTCGACACCGCAGAGTCCGAGGGGGAGGAGTGGCGGGAGGAGTGGATCTGGGTCTGGATCTGGGCAGGGAAAAGAAAAGGCAGGATCAGGCTCAGGATCAGGATCGGGTCCGAAGTGGTTCGCTCAGCGAATATTTTCTCGTGCGTTCCTTCCCTTTCTTTCATCTCAGGCCGACACTGACTTTCGCTGCAATGTCTGTTCTGTGTCGTCCAGCCGCACGACCCTCACGCGACAATACCCGCGCAGGCCCATCATTCAACCCCGACACTGGCATCATCTCACCCCTCCCCCGTTCTGCCACCGCCACCACACTCCAATTCCCTCCTTCGACCGCACACGATCCAAATGACATCGACGACTCTCACCTCCCAGGACGATCCCATTCTTCACCCCCACGCGTGCGTTCACCTCCTGCTACGGCTACCGTGATTCCTGCTGGAGTGACGTATCATCAACATCCGAATGAGCATGACCCGGACGGCGAGACGAGGTCGACGCGTAGCGGTAGGTGCTCGCCTTTGGGAATGTTTGGACCGAGGAGGTTGTTCCGTGGTGGCAAGGGGAGTAGGAATGTGAGTAAGAGTCGGAGTAGACCTGGTTCGAGTTCGAATTTGAAGGAGAAGGGAAAAGAAAAGGAGAGTGACTCGAGGCCTGGGACGGGTAAGGAAAAAGAGAAGGAAAAGGATGGAAGACCGGTGGTTAGCGTGCCCATGCTCCGGACGAGGACACATTCGAAAGAAGGACAAGGTGGCGCTACTGATCTTCATCGGCGAGGTAGTTTGGATTACGAGAGAGGGAGCGCCGTGGGGTCAAGAGGTATGGGCGCACCTGGTCCCATACAGATGAGCAGGAGTGCGAGTCAAGGAGGCGCGAGTCGGTCGAAGCATCATCAGTCCCCTCGCCCTGGGCCAGGAGTGAATGGTGCAGGATCGGGCCCTTCGTCTTCGTACCACCGCCCACAACACAATCAGACGCATCCTCAGGCCCACGCACGGACACACCACCTTCATCCTCCACATCCACATCTACATTCCGCCCCACATTCGCCTCAATCACCTCTATTCGCCGTGCACAATAATATCCCGCCGGGCGCTACGACATCGACGACTACGCATGCCTCGGGCCATTCGCATTCGACGAACGGGACTTCACATACGGGACATACGGGTACGAACGTCGGGAGCACGGTGACGGCGGCGGCTGGTACTACGGCCGGTGCTACTGCTGGTGGTGGAGGAAGCTGGGGCAGGAGAGCGAGGTTGGGAGGATGGGTCAGTGCCGGTGTGCATCCGCCTTTTGAGTTTGAGAGTGCGGTGAGTGCATCGGGTGGGATTGGTGGTACTGGCGTTGGGAGGGTCAGTCCGGGTGGCGCAGGTACAGGTGGGGGAGGGAAGACGAGTGGGAGAGTCAGCCCGGTTGGAGCAGTCAGTGAAGGAAGGGGGCGGGTTCTCAAAGCAAAACAACAACAAAAAGAAAAAGAGAGGTCGCCTCTTGGGTCTGGTGGTGCAGGTTCTGGTCCTTCCGGTGGTGGCGGTGGCAACCGGGTAAGACCACGAACCCGGAGTGGTGGAAGGGATGTGAGGATAGGTATCGGAGGCGGAGGTGGGGAGAGGAAAGAGATTGAGTTAGGGCTTGGATTGACGTGGGCTCCTTCGAAGATCAAGGTGAGAGAGTGGAGTGGATCGCCCACGCCTACGAAACCACGTCCGCCGGCGCCGAGTTCAGCGCCTGGGTCACCTAGACTTGCGGGGATGAGTGATAGGGAGAGACGGGATTGGGAGATGGGGAGGTTGCCGGAGAGGGACAGGAATAGGGGTCTTGGACCTTTAAGGAGAGATAGAGATGATTTGAGAGCAGGGAGGAGGGAGAGGGATGTTACGGGAAGGTTTAGGGAAGTGTTGGGCGAACGTGGATTCGAATCGTTCAGGAAGTGTGAGTGGTGTTGTCCTTCATCCGTCCTATTCAATACGATGGTGCTGATCCTTTGGTTTTGTGGATTAGACGTCCGACGATACGATGCGGATCTCATCACACTCGACGGATCGGATGGCTTGCTCGTCAAGGTGAAGAAGCTTCTGGATACTGCACCTGCGCCTTCTGGTCCTGGGACAGGCATTAGTGAGTGGGAGAAGAGGGAGCTCTTGAACGATCTGGTGCGGATTGTGAGGGAGACAGAGTATTAGTCTCTTGCGTGCTCTCGGCGCGTCACTACTCATTCTCGACCATGCCACTTTCTCCACCGCGGCTCTTACTAAGCTCTATCGCTACCGTCAAAACGGAGCCCATCCAGCTCGTTCTTCCGGTCCAACACTTTCTTCTTCGCAGCTCTCAACTTTTCACCATCCTCTGCAATCACCACCCGGGCCATTTATCATCCAGCAACCAATTTATGCCTACATCCAGTTCATGTTCATGTAACTTCTCCCGACGTCCCATCTCACAAACTCAAACCCTTTTTCCCTCCATGTCCGGCACGTGAAGGTTGTTCTCTGTCGATGTACTACGCTGTTTATTTGCTTTCGGATCCCCGTTCTGCCTCCGCCCTCTTCTACTTGTGCCATACTTCACGACCTGTTATGATTCTCCCTCTTCACGGGTCTACCTTTGTTTTGCTTGCCGCAATGCTTTATTGTTACTCTAGCTCTTCTCTTTCACAGTTCAACTACCTTTGTCCTCGGCCGTTCATCTTCGTTTACATATGCTTGCTTGCCTGATATTCCGTGTGCCCTCGCTCTAATCTATCCTATTCCATGTCATTCGTCTTACGATACCTTGCCCTCCTCTACTTTCGCGCTACCTACTCCCTTAGAGATTGATCTCATCGTCTATGCGTGCTCTTCTATCGGATCCCCTTTACTTGATGATACCGACGTTGACGTCACGAGCCGTTGGCCCCACGCATTCTACATACATATCCACGACGCTCCTCCGCTTCGAATTTGTACCACGTTCTACGTACATATCACGATATCTATGTTTCACGATCCAAACGCTTCTTCTTAGGATCACCGTCGTTCATTTGCAATAGCCGTCACCCTGTCTGGCGCACACCTTCGCTCATGTGCAATAGACCTGTACCTATCTGTGGCCATCCACGCCTTCATGTGCCTTCGCTTGTTTGTTGTCGCTTTTTGCTTTACAATCTTTCTGTGTTCGGGGATGTTTCTCCCTGACTGTCGCTCTTTCTCTTATTCAACGGAATACCTTAGGAGATATTGTTCTAGTACCTAGTGCGTCCAGTGCTTTGAAGTAGTGGAAAATTTAACATGCATAACTTATTATTTTCTCAGATCCGATCGGTGTTCCACTCATCGATGGCTATTTTGAGGTTCCGTCAATTGGAGGTCGCGGAGGATGAAGGAAAGCTGGGGCCCGGGTAACCGGCCTGTGGCGTACTAGACACGTGTTTATGGCAGTTTCTGGCTCCGTGACTCCGGGCTCTCAAGCCATCTTCGACTTGCACTCGACTCCATCAGTCAGCTCTATTGGGAGTCCGCATGTCTGAATCGTTCGTCGAGCAGCCTGAGGATCTCGACAATTATGTTCCTGGGGCACTTACTCAGGCGGAACGCTGGTGGATCCATTACAGACCTTGGCTAGAGCAGTGCGGCTATATCCTTCGTCCTCGTTATCAGCCCGGCTGGGCTCCTTCATGGGAGGGCAAGAAGGAGAAGAGAATAGTCTGGTTTGACGACTACGAGGATGGACAGTACTTATCGGTGAGCTCATAATCAATTCCCTCTCGAAATTCGCTGATGGCACGCAGCAAGGGCTTCTTATGGATGCTCAACGAGTCTCCGATGGATCGTTCGTCTATCTGAAGCGTATGGAACGAGGAGGTTCCGGCGTTGCAGACGAGCTTCAAATCGGTCAATTTCTTAGTTCTGAGGCCCTGCGCACTGATCCTCGGAACCATTGTGTCTCAATAATTGAGGAGCTGCATTGTCCCAACGGAAAATCAATCATGGTCATGCCGTTGTTGAGGCCATTTTACGACCCGAAGTTCCAAACGTTCGGGGAAGCGGTTGCATTCTTCGTGCAATTATTCGAGGTTGGTACTTTCCCGTGGATTGAGATAGATTATAGTTTTCATGAAATCCGTAGGGGTTACAATTCATGCACGAGCATCGAGTTGTTCACGGGTAGGCGGCGATTTCATTGATCATCCCACCTAGTAGACCTGACCTGTTGCAGAGATTGCACAGCAGAAAATGTCATGATTGACCCCACACATCTCTATCCCAAATCGTTCCATCCACGTCAGATTGACCGGTGTAGAGATTGGAAAGGGGCCGCGCTGTATACCACTCGAACGTTGAGCCGTCCCCGGTACTACTTCATCGACTATGGACTTTCGCATCGATATATGCCTGAGGAGCAGCCTCCTTTGCGGAAGCCAGTGCATGGTGGTGATAGGACTGCTCCCGAGCATAGGAACTATGACGTCCCTTGCAATCCCTTCCCGACGGACGTTTATTATCTCGGCAACTTGATTCGCAGAAAATTTTCGGCCGTATGTTCTCTCCCGAACTCTCATGTATATTCCTCTCTCTCTCTCTCAGCCCTTGACTATTTTCAGGAATGTTATGGATTTGACTTCATGGAATCGCTGCTGTCGGACATGGTGCAAGAAGATCCTGCGAAGCGGCCCCCAGCTAGCGATGTCGTGGTGCGCTTTCGAGACATACGCGCATCCCTCAGCAACTGGAAGCTTCGCTCGCGGATCATCTGGAGGGACGAACACTGGATCACTCGTGCGTTCAATCATTTTGTCCATATTTTTCGCACTCTACGATACATCTTGACTCGGAAACCAGCTATATGTCTCCCATGATCATCGTTGTTTGTTCTTTAGCTGTCCTGCGGGATGCGTTGCTTCCCGCTAGGAGTATTGTTCTGTTTCGCTGATTCCTACCCGATTTTGTGCTTTTTATTGGTTATGTTGCTCTGTGTGCTAATTGATCCCTCCAAGGAAGACCTATAGCGTCGTGGATGCAACCTGTTCATGAAGAGCACATATAGGATAATATGAAAGTGGCTACTAAATACAACCAATGCCGAAAACATGTAAGAAAGCGTAACGAACGACAACAACACTAGCAAGCAGTGACAGAGCAATGGAAGAACATTTGGGGAAATAAACGAGTGTAGCGGGATTGTTGGTATAGGACAGTCTGCGTGTCAAGGGTATTAAGACGGGATAACGGGTTTGCGAGTGGCAACGTATCCTGCAGTTCGGAAGAGATAGGGCCAGAACCTGAAGAAAGTGAGAACAAAGAAATCCTTCTTCCCAACTATACGCGAACGAAGCTTCCACCAGCTCAGCGAGTCCACAATTTTCTTGAAACGAACAACAACCTCGTCCATCTTGGGACGCTCGGAAGGCTCGGTCTTGACCATGTCTTGGACGAGAGGACGTAAGAACTCGAACCCACGATAGCGCTGCAAAGTACACGGTCAGATCTTGAACCGAGATAAAAGATACGGAGAAATGATACACACTTGAATGAGCTCCTCCCGCATGAAATTTCCGAGGTAATAAACATCGGTAGGAAATGGATCACAGGGTGTGTTGTAGTTCGCCTCGCTATGCTCGGGGGCGCTCTTGTCGCCACCACGCAAGGGCAGCTCCAATGGTGGTCCGTCCTTGGGATCGTAGCGCCGAGCATGCCCAAAGTCGATCAGGAGATATCTGGGAGGAGCTTGTGTTCGAGTGAGGTGTCTCGCCTTGCCTTTCCAGTCTTTCCTACGATCCGTATGGACAGGGTGAAAGCCTTCTGGATACATTGAAGATGGGTCCATCATGATGTTATTAGCTGTGCAATCACTGATAAAATAGCCATTAGCAATAGCGTGAACAATATAAAAATATTCGTACCGATGGGAGACGTGATGTTCGTGCATAAATTGGATACCCTGCATTGAACGATCATAAAGATGAACGATCAAGATGGAATATGACAGGGAAGCCGCACCTCAAAGACTTGGCTGAGAAATGCAACGGCCTCTCCGTATGTCTCGAGAGCAGGATTGTCCCAAGCCCGAAGGAAAGGTGTCACTATGATGCGCTCACCCTCTTCGTCAAGTACTGGAAGAACATCGAGGAAGGGCACACAATGGTTGCGAGGATCTGAAGCCAGCGGTTCGGACGAAAATAATTGCCCGACTTCGACTTCCGAAGGACTGATATCGGCCTCCAGACGCTTCAGTGACACGGTCAAACCGTCTTTCAGTCTCGTAGCGTCAAGAAGACCTGGAGACTGCAGAGTGTTCAGGTCGACGTTATTAGGAGATTAACCTGCTCTGACTCACCGGATTCATGTGACCATCTTCAAAGGTCTCATAAGATCGCTTGCTCTGCCCTTTCCACGATGGTTCCCAGTCCTTTCTGTACCGAGGGCGAAGGGCATACCCTGATTGCTCTAACCATGTTTGATGGTTCGCCCACCACGTCTCCAAAGCATCGCGCTGGCCAGGGTTTTCGCGAAAACGGCGGGTGTACTCTTCTAGGCTGAGGCCCTCCTCATCCAACATTGCGCGCGCGACAGGAGACTTGAAACGTAGCAAGGACGGAGGAAAGCAATTTGTTCTGCAAAACCCCAAGTCGCGAAAGGTTCGTTGATCCTGTGTTTGGTTTTTGGGACGCTCGCGGAGTTACGTAAGCGCGGGACCCTGAGCGTTCCCAGGCTTTTGTCAGTGCCGTTGTTACCAACTCCAACATTTGGACCGCCCCTCAAATCGACATCTCCGCCTTCCCTTGTTCTTGGTGGCTTGTTCTTGGTGGCTTCCTCAAGCTGTCGTGATTCAATCACTGGGAGCTGTCTTTGTTCCTTTGAGGGAATAGCGAGCTCGTTGCGAAGGGTCTCCGTTCAACTGGCAGCTTTGATCGGACGTGCGTCTGATGCGCATGGAAGTACATTATGTACATGCACAGCTAGGCTCTTGAAGGTTCCTTCTTGGGACGTCCGATTTGTTTTGTGGACGTGCATGGGTCCCGTATTTTGTTCAATGCCGAGCCCGCTACAGAGACGTAACAATAAACCGGGGTCCACTTGGACCTACAGCTTGAGATGTACCTGCACCAATTCGTGTCGAAACTCTTCCACGGTGCACGGAGGGAATGTCGTTGTCAACCTCGTTCTGGCTATCGTTGTGTGCGCTTATTCATTCTCAGGTAAGTCCTGAACTTTATAAGGACGGGTATATTGATGTTGATCCGCATTCTTCCTCCCACCAAACAACCTCCCTCCTCTCCTTGCCCTCATCGTCTCCTATTTTTTTCTTCCTTCATGGCAGGCGCTTTTACAGTGGGTACTCTCCAAAACGCTCTCGGGAGCGTCATTGGAGGAGTTGCTGGCAACTCTGGGGGGAATTACTTTGAGAAACACACATCCGCTGGTCTGTCAAATAGTGCTGCAGACTACAGGACCAAGGGTGTATCGCTCTACGAGGCATATGCCTCTAAAATGAGTGCCGCGGAGGTTGTAGCTATCAGACGAGACCTTGCGAAGTGCGTACAGCATCACTGGTTACGGTTTCCCGCATTAGTTCTAACTCATCGCGCCTGCACTTGTGCAGAGGGGAGGTTGCGTTGGAGAGACGTAACAATCTTGACGAGGATGGAAGTAGCAAGCCATGGCCATGGACCCGTTGGCGCGCATCTCGCGCGGCAAAGGATCACAACAGGGCTGCGTTTAGGCTGGTCAGGGTAGGTCTTAAGGCTTCTATTTATCATTGTATAATGCCTGATACTTCTTCATCTGTAGAAACTCTCCGAGAAAGCTCGAGTTGAAGATCCCAATATACGCCCAGGTACGCCGCACTGAAACTATAAAATATACACCTTTCTTAATCCATTGTCCTCTCGTCAGCATCAGAATCTAGTTCAACGTTAACACCGACATCGGTTCCAACGGTAACATCTACAGCAGGATCATCCGTTCCATCAGTAACTCCGACGGCCGAGACGAACGATCCTTTCAAAGACCCTTCACGCTGGCCCGTTCTTCCTGTACGTGAGGCAACCGAGGACACTGAAGGTATAATATCACCCATCGCTTCGCTTCAATTTACCTGATTTATGACTTAAGCCCCAACTTGGACGCTCGTCTCGCCTGATAGGAAAAAGATCATCCGTTTCCTGATTCCAGAGGATGCTGATGTCGATCATGATGCGAGCCTTGTTTACTACGATGATCATCCTCCCGTCCGTGGTATGTGTTCACGCTCATTGTATTCAGCATCTCGCACTGACAGTATATCGTTTCTTTCAGTAGACAACGATACTCAGGATATTCCCTCTTCACCTGCATCCAGCAGTATTGACGACGATGGATCCGCTCCTGGCGTCTCAATGCGACTTTCTAACATGCCTCGCTAATGCGCCCGAGACCGGTGTATACGCCATTCTTTCCCATGGGCTTCTTTTGCTCACAATTTTCACGATAATTTACACGCTTTGATCGAAATATTATGACATTGTTGGAGATCCTAGACAAGATATGGTCGACCAGTCAGACTCGACTGGAGTTTAAAAGATATCCTTAAGAGCTCATTGTTGGCTGATGAAAACGCGATGACATGGTGAGACAACAACAGTGTGCAATTTCAGAGCAAGCTGCAGCTAAGAATACATAAAGGAGAGCAAAGCAGGAAAGTGAAAGGAGTGGATACGAGACGAGGATATCATACATCGGGGACAGCGGGTGTGCGTGTGGAAAAATATAGTGTACTGTGATATATGTGAACGCATGCCCTCCAAAAACGAACGGGAGAGACCTCGTTTCGTCTTCGAATGCGAGAGCGCAGCTTTGAAGAGTTGAGCTCCTTCCGAATGAGCCCAAACCCATGAACAACTTCGTCAATTTTCGGACGTTTCGACGGTCCTTCCTGCACCATGTCGGCAATGAGGGGCTCTATGAAATCGAAGCTGAAACATTTCTATGCAAGGTAGGCAATACATGAACCAGTCGCGACCACGACTGGCGAAATTGGGAGCGTACCTGAATAAAGGTCTCACGGATCAAGTTTCCAAGATAATATATGTCGGTGGCAAACGGATCGCACGGAATCATGTAGTTCAATCCAGTGTGTTCGGGCGCCGTTTTGTCACTTGTCACCGCCCCTAAGGGGAGTCTCGAAGTGTGGTCCATCACCGGAAGGGTAATGAGTAGAGAGACCAAGGTCGATGAATAAGTATCGCGGTGGACACTCAGTACGAGTATAGCAGGAGGCGCAGCTTTTCCAGTCTCGTCTGCGCTCGATCCTGATAGGGTGGTACGGCTTCGGAAACATGGTGGGCTCCATCATGATGTTACCGGACGTGCAATCGCTAAAAAATGGTGTCGTCAGTATGACAAAAGTGCAGTATGAGTCACCTACCGATGTGCAATGTGATATTCATGTAGAAATTGTAAGCCCTAGCGATACACGATGAAAACAATCTTAGGAACTGTGTGCAAGGAGGCGGGACGTACGACGAAGATTTGGGAGAAGAACGCGACGGCTTCTCCAAAGGTTTCAAAGCGAGGATTATCGAATGGTCTTAGCATGAGCGTTACCACAAGAACACCGTCCTGCGGGTCTGGGAGTGACAGAACATCGAGGAGAGGATTACAATTGTTGCGCGGATCGGAGGCCAGAGGCTCAGATGAAAGGGAGCGCATAATGTCCAGTTCAGAGATATTATCAGCCTTGACACGTTTAAGCATCACAAAGGAACCGTCCGATACACGGATAGCGTCAATGACTCTAAGACCAGTCTTGGAGCTGTGAGCACGAGAGGAAGTGGAAAGTGTAGTCCAAACGTACTGGGTTGCCTTGCCCATCTGCACAATCGTCAAACCATTTCTTTGTTCCTGTCCAGGATGGTACCCAATCTGGCTTGTAACGGGAGCGTAGCATGTAGCCGCGCTCCTCCAACCACTTCTGCCTACTCCTCCATACTCGCTCGTGTCGCGACAGAATACCGGGATTCTTCAACCAACGGCGATGTTCTTCTTCCATGGTCAAGCTCTCTTGCGACATTGCAAGTTGAAAAAAAACAAGCCTAGTGGTTCTCTGTCGACGGCGACCGTTAGGATAGATGCTGAAGTGATGCGTCGAATTACACTCCCGCCGCATCTGAAGAACAGCGAATGAGGCGCGGGCGGTTTGGTTACGTAAATCAATATCTTCTCACGGGTTAGTTCACTGACGAGATCCCCCGGTTTGGGGCGCGATATCGCCGCGGAGTGAGAACTTGAATTTGCTTCCGGGCACCAAAGTCAAGTTTTTCAACAATGCCTGTATCATCGAAGCCAGATAGTGGGTGCGTTTGGCGGCGGGGTGCCCACGCAATGCACACGAGCACCGGCATGATCAGCGGATCGCATTGAAGACACAGACAGCATATAATAAGCAAGCGTAAAGAACGACAACAATAGTAGAACAGCGATGGCAGAGCAGAAGAGTATTTAGGGAAGATAAAGGGATGTGTGAGGGGGTATCAAGAAGGTATAGCAGGTTTGCGAGTGACAACGTATCCTGCGGTTCGGAAGAAATACGGCCAGAACCTGAAGAAAGTGAAAACAGAGAAATGCTTCTTCCCAACTATGCGCGAACGAAGCTTCCACCAGCTCAGCGAGTCCACGATCTTCTTGAAGCGAACAACAACTTCATCCATCTTGGGACGCTCGGAAGGCTCGGTCTTGACCATGTCTTGGACGAGAGGATGTAAGAACTCGAACCCACGGGAGCGCTGCGAAGTATACGGTCAAAGTTTGAATGGAGATAAAAGATATGGAGGAACGATACGCACTTGGACGAGCTCCTTGCGCATGAAATTTCCGAGGTAATAAATATCTGTAGGGAATGGATCACAGGGTGTGTTGTAGTTCGCCTCGCTATGCTCGGGGGCGCTCTTGTCGCCATCGCGCAAGGGCAACTCCAGTGGCGGACCGTCCTTGGGATCGTAGCGTCGTGCATGTCCAAAGTCGATCAGAAGATACCTTGGAGGAGCTTGTGTTCGAGTGAGGTGTTTCGCTTTGCCTTTCCAATCTTTGCTACGATCCATTTGGGCAGGATGAAACCCTTGGGGATACATCGAGGACGCGTCCATCATGATATTGTCACAGGTGCAATCACTAAGTAAAAGAGTGATAAGAGGAAGAGCGAAGAAAATATGAAAGTGTCCATACCGATGAGCGACGTGGTGTTCATGCATGAACTGGATGCCCTGCCTTGTACATTCATGATGACGAATGGAGATCAACATTCATGTGACGGAGGAGACACACCTCAAAGATTTGAGAGAGAAACGCAACAGCCTCTCCATAGGTCTCCAGGGATGGGCTATTCCAAGGCCGGAGCAAAGGTGTGACTATTACGTGTTCACCCTCTTCCTCGGGAACAGGGAGGACGTCGATGAAGGGTACGCAGTGATTACGCGGATCCGAAGCAAGTGGCTCCGACGAGAATAATCGTCCGATGTCCACCTCTGCAGGACTGACATTAGCTTTATGGTGCTTCAGAAACACCATCGAGCCGTCTGTTAGTCGCGTAGCGTCGATGAGAGAGGCGGTCTACCAAGGTAGTCAACTTGGCATAACGTAGAACAACGGTGATATTACTCACATGATTCTGTTGACCATCTTCGAAGAGCTTGGAAGACTGCTTGTTCTGCCCCTTCCACGACGGTTGCCAGTCCTTCCTGAACCGAGGACGAAGGGCGTAGCCTGACTGTTCTAACCATGGTTGATGGCCCACCCACCAGATCTCGAAGGCGCCACGCTGGCTAGGATCGTAACGACGGCGAGTATATTGAAGCCTGATGCCTTCCTCCTCCGGCATGGCGCGTAAAAGTGGGGAATGTAAGAGGGTAGATGTGAAGGATGTAAGTAGTACCGAATTGATTGTTGTTCGAGAGTCTCCTACGGCATGTTCCGGACCGGAGTTACAAAAGGGAGTTTTCGTGTGGTCCAAGTGTGGTCCCTTACTCCCCGCGACGAACGTCAATTATCATGGTATCCGATCTGCTCTGCGGTCTACTATATTGTGAATCCTGCTCCACGTATATATATACTGTAAAATTTCGACCTAAAGTTCGTCCCCCGGTCCACTGGGACCGCCGAACTGAACCTATTCGGGGGGACTGTCCACCGTCCCCTCCCCATATGTTGTGATATTTTTCTATGTTTCGCAGAACTCGACAAAAAACATACCAAAAAAAGTAATTGGCACCTGTCCCCCGAGCTGAACGAACTTCAGAGGGGGAACAGGCTGGATTTGGAAGGAGAAGTTCTCCCGCCACTGATGAACGTTGAACCTCAGGTCGGAATTCTACAGTATGTACAATTCGGGGATACTACAAATTTTTGTTGAGGAAAGACGGTTTTGACCCGAGTGACCAGAAATTATGCACTGTGACGTCTAAGCATCACCCATTTTCAAGAACTTGCCAAAATAAATAGCCAGTTCATCTGACGCTTCGAGAGGCACGATCATCCCAACATACCCATCCGGCCTAAACACCACAATGGCACCACGCCACACATCAACTCCATAAACCTCATGTGCCTCCCTCAGCACATCAAAATACGCACGTCCAAACGGCCTGACACCTAACATGGCTTCCTGCGCTCCGATTCCTTCGCCGGCGATTATAGTAGTCAACTTGTAGATGTTTCGGGGAAAGCGGAGGGTAAAGTTGTTGGGACCGTCTAGCGTGGCACGGAGGGACTGGAGTTGAGGTAAAGTATGCGAAGGTGAACCCGCAAAGATAATGACGTGGAAAACCCCGGTGTTCAGGAGGAGTCGTTGGAGGCGGAGACGCTCGCCAGTTCCTACTCGAGAGACGTAGGCGTCTGGTCCGCGAGCCCCAATTGGGATGGTTGCGAGTGGGCGGTCGTCTCGGCCGTTATTGACCAGATTCGTTGATGCTAGAAGATGTGCGTGAGTATGCCTTCTGCGTCTTTACATCCAGAATAGATACCATAGGAGATCCCGAGACCTGCCGTATACATGGTAAGCACAAATGTCATCCAAATATCGGTGAGTTTACCAACCAAGCGTGAACTCTTGCGTGCTAGCCTTGTCGAACCATTCTGTCAGAAGATCTCTGTAAGGAATATCAACTCCTACACTCTCTGAGATAGAGCTCAGAATGGAGTACATACCTCGGGCTTTCTGTCCTTCCCTTGAACTTATCCGGATAATTCCCCGAAATCAGCGTGGCGATAATTGCATCGTTATCAATGACCTGCTGAACACTCGCACGACGCTCTTCATCATACGAGCGCAACAAAACATCGTCTTTTGCAAGCCCTTTCAAGGTCATCGCAAGCTTCCACCCTATATTGACTGCGTCGTGTGTTCCGGTGTTAAGGCCTTGTGCGGAGCCGGAAGAGTGGGTGTGGCACGCATCACCGGCGAGAAGAACCCGCTTGGATGCATTATAGAAAGTAGATGCGATGCGTTGGCCAATTCCCTGAATGTACAAGTGTCAGTGAAAAGAGCCGATTCTGAGGGACAGTGAAAACGTTGCACGTAGAGCGTGAACCAATCAACCGTGACGAAGTTTATAGAAAACGGATGTAGAGCTTTCTTAGCTTCCTAATAAAGGGTGAATACGTCGCTGAGACGGAGGATGAGAAGTACGAACTTCCATCGCTACTTCCTGAGTAACTCCATCAGGCCCATACTTCGCTTGCAGCTCAGGATTGAAGACGAAGCCGAGACGCGTTCGGCCGCCATCGATTGGACACCACAAGACTAGACCATGATGCGCACTCTGGACAGAGTTGAGAGCGCGCGGATTGGGCATGTCTGTCTCGATGACGGCCTGAAGAATGTTAGTCCAGTCATGGTCTCGTGAGGGCGAAAGAGGTAGAGATTCGTACATCCATTCTTATCCATTTCGATGTGGTCCGGGTTCCAGGAAAGTCAATCCCAGCGAGGGAGCGAACAACGGAACGTCCGCCATCAGCTCCGATGATGTATTTGCTGAGAATATATTGATCAAGCGGTCCACAATCGGAGAAGGAAGAGACGTACCCATGTACCTCATAAGTTGACTTAGTTTTCAAGTCTCGGATAAGACAGTGGACAGGATAGGCATCGTCCTTGTCCCCGTTAACGGCGTAGTTGTCCAATCTATGTCGGAAGTGGACGCAAACGTCCCTTTCGTGAAGGGCTGCCTCAAATGCTTGTTCAATAAGGCGTTGACGTAGATGCAAGCTACCTTACAGATAGGTGAGGCGACACGCTGGAAGAGCGAGTGCAGAGGGAAAGCTCACGCGAACTTGAACACGGTGTCACCATGCTTATCCATTCGATACCCAAATACTAATCCACCAGGAGCCAGCTTGCCACTAACCGCAAAGATCATTCGGACATAAGTAGTGTCTAGGGTAAGTTTGATAGACAGGATGTGACTTACTCCCGAAAGTTCATGCCCGTCTTCGAAATGACCCCCAATTCAAGAAGAGCATCAAGGAGTTCAAGTTGATCAAGAATCTCGAGGGTCCTGGGCCACAAGGTACACGCGCGTCCGTATACTGGCATCAATGGCTTATTATCCTGGTCTGATCCATTCCAGCTCTACTTATGAGTCAAGTAGACGACGAGCCACAGATAATGAACTCGCCAACAATATATGGGTTGAATCCAAATCTAGTCAACTGTTACGCGATCAACAAGCCCTATGAAGGCAGACAGAAGTGTCAAGAAAACTGAGGGGCGGGAATCGAAATGACAGCCGACTCACCACAGGTCCTCCCCCCACAATAACTGAGTCAACCTTCTCAGTCATGGTTCGTGAGTTAGGTGAAGTGGTGAGCGCTCTCAATATAAGTCTTCGCTCAAGGTACCGTAGGAAAACACCGATGATAGGCAGTACCGCTCCGAAGTCCCGTTGTACCGGAGTAAGGTGAGAAAAATGTATCCATGCTTGGTACTGAATATTTCGTGAATGCTATGGGGCATGAACTTGGACCGCATTATCTATCATCAGACACAGAACGAGTTCCTGTAGGCGAAGTAAGAGTTCATAGACGTGGCAGCGAAAGCTCAACATGATTTTTTGGAATAAGTGTGCGGAAAATGCCGGCACGAAAAGGCTGAGTTTGAATTACTTCTTGGTGACACACGCCACACCTCTTCATATGAGAGATCACACGGAATTGTACACATGTATCTATCTGCCTTCATTTACGCATATATACCACCGCAAAGGTAAAATTCTTGTCTTCTGCGCTTCATGGACGAAGTCGGGGTGACCACCACTGCGCAGAAAGTCGACCTTACACCAACATCTCCAGCAGTGACTATACTAAAACATCGACGCAGGATACCAATACCGAGACTTCAAAAGATCAGACCATATCCGTTGGCCGCTGGCTTAACCATACCTCTTCCCCTCTGCACTCTCCGCGAACCAATCGTCCTTCACGCGACTCTCCTCGGGTGGCGCTATGTTGACGATCGTCGATTTACTTTGCGAATCTACATCACGGCCAGGTTCACCATGACATCAGATTTAGAGCGTCGTGAGCACACCGGTAGAGGCAGAGATAGCGACCATGACGTACAAGCATGCAGCGCCTCGACTCCGTTCTCTCTCCCTATCCCGCTCTCCTTCATCCCGCCCCTATTGGTGTATCAATGAAGTCAATACCTGTCAGACGTGAGTACTACAAACACGGTGAGTGATCACTGACCAAGGCGAGCTAGGATCGTTTCTGTGATGCGTATTCACCCATACCAGTCCGCTCTCGAGCATCCCAGAGACCCTATGGGCCCTCGAAAGGTCTGTCGTCCATATACCGGCACCGAGTCCGTATTTGGAGTCGTTGGCTAGCCTAACACCTTCCGCTTCTGTCTACATGTCGACAAATAATTCTCAACGGTCATACTTACAGAGCGATACAGCAGGGAAGTGAACGGGGGGTAGTCACAATCGAGAGGTTTACATACCTCAAACTTCTTCACAACAACAACAGGCCCAAATACTTCCTCCTTCCACAGTTCATCCTCAGTCCCAACATTCTCAAGAACCGTAGGCGGATAAAAACACCCCCTCGAGAACTCAAACCCGTCCAGATCTGATGCTCCAGTCATTGGCTCCCCACCGGCGAGGAGCTTAGTGGATGAAGAGCGAGAAGAAACCATTTTATGGATCCGGGAGAGGTGAAGAGGCGAGATGACGGTTCCCATAGTGGAGCTGGGGTTAGAAGCTGTGTTGACGTGCACATCAGGAAAGTGTTGTCAGTAAAATATGCACAGGGTGATGAACATGTGAAGCGCAACATTAGGAAGATGAAACGAGGGAATACCCACGATCGCCCATCCGTCTCCTGATACTCTCTACCTTCATCAAGAACCCTTTCATAAACTCTTCATAGACCCCACTCTGCACGATCACCCTCGTTCCTGAGACGCATGTCTGTCCTGACGCGACGAAGCAAGCGAAGGCGGCTCCATTGATCGCAGAGGGAACGTCTGCGTTGTCGAAAATGACTATGGGGGCCTGTTAACAAGATTATCCAAATGACCGTGAGTGGCTTTTATGGTAACAGTGCGGAAAGATATACCTTCCCACCCAGTTCAGCCGTATAAGCAGCCAGATTACGACCTACGACTGACCCGATCGCGCGCCCCGTGGTCGTCCCAGCCTGCGCCACCGCCACAAAACACAGTCAGTGGTTGAAACAATCGAAGGAATGGATGAAGGCAACAAGGATATATCATTACCGTTATATCAACCTTCCGCACTAGCGGATGCGAGACGATCTCAGCGCCGGTTGTTGGCCCATAACCTGGTAAGACGGAGAGCACGCCAAGTGGAACTATGGTTATGAAGATAAATCCCGACATTAGCACAGGTGAAAAGTTGGCTCGCACTGCTTAGGGTGCAATACTAGTACTGTGTGTAAAAATAAATAAAAAAAAAAGAGAGAAATAGATGACACGAACCTCCTGCTTCGACCGCCATCTCGGCAAATTCAAGTACTGATATAGGAGCTAACTGAGGAGAAATAATTGGATCAAGTATGAGTCTATATGACCACGAGACAATATGCGGTATGGAGGGAGCGAGGGGAAGAGAGGGATGGGGAGAAGTTCGGACGTGGAATGAAGTCGGTACATACCTCAGATGGCTTCACGACTACGCTGTTCCCCGCTGCCAATGCAGGCGCGATCTTCTTTATGGCGATTAGAAGTGGGTGATTGAAAGGCTAATAAAGAATTTGTTAGCGGACATATACTATCAGTCGAACAAAGGAGAGCAGAGAATATCGCACGTGATTGGGAGAGAGATGTGAGGATACGTACTGTGATTTGTGCGACGACACCTAATGGGACCCTCTGCACATAATTCAGAAGTTGTCCCTGCGTCGGCGCCACGAAAGATTCCTGTGTTCGAAGCAACGCCGCATAATAATCCCTGGCCGCACAGTACCCAAATCCTCAGTCGTTCTCTTCGGATCGAGGACGGGACAAGGGACGAACTGACAGCCATTCTCCCAACCTGCCCAGCTGAGCCCTCATCTCCCTAATCGCTCTGCCTGTCTGCTTCATCTCTATCTCTGCAAACTCCGGGACCCTAGTCTCCAATGCTCTTGCCAGTTTCGTGAGCACCTGCGACCTGTGCAAAGGTGTCGCACGAGACCAGGTACCTGAAGTGAACACAGCGTGGGCATGATTTATGGTGAGGTCTACGTCCGACGCGGTTGCTGCAGCCACTCTGATTACAAACAGATACGTGAGTTGCTGATTCAAGATAGTATGAAGGGAAGCAGACGCGGGTCAGACGGACGTGCAAAGATCTTCGCCATTCGCGGGATTAATCACGCAGAACCTATGTCACAACATTCATTCAAAATTTTGTCAGTAAGCCATTCTCCGATTATAAATTTATGTGCTAGGGCGCACTCCTCTCGGTGTTCTACTGTGGGTCTCCCTTCGACAACATGGGCCGCAAAGGGCTCATAGCGAGTCTTGTGCAACCTCCGGACTTGTTGCTATCAGACCCCTCAGCAAGTCAGAATATCTCCTTGCTCAGACCAGATCAATCGACGACGTACCGACATTCTGCATACAATGGAGGTTGATGATTGTCGTAGACGCGACTGGAGCATCAGTACCTCTCGTCGCTATACACGATAGCGAGCGCGACGTCAAGTGAGGCATGCGCTTGAGCATGATGCAGCGGATAAAGACCAGTTGTTATCTTATCTCTCCCGGAGGCCCCTGTTGGTTTCCGTCGGAGGCTCGGGGTGACGCCGAGGACGCGTCACCCTAACCCTACGCCAGGGCTCCGTTCAACAAACCAACCAGTCCCAGCACTTGGCTCCAACCACTTCCAGTCTCAGCAAACAATCGTTCGTTCCTTGTTCCGAGTCTTCCTGGTACCCCAGCGGTCGAAATTTGTGCTCTAGCAGCGGTCAATCGTCATTGTATTTACGCGCTCAGATAGCAATATGACTTCTGTGTCGTCCACGATCCCTACCCACGGGAACTACCATAACTACCATCGGTTTGTCCTCAGGCTTTACTCATGACGTCTTCTGACCCTCAAGTTCTGCTTCACTTTTATCCACCCAGGTATCAGAATAAACTCACCACGACCTCCGATACGCGTCTCTCTCTTCTCCCATCATCTCTCTTTACAAATGCCCGCGTTCTCGACATCGGCTGCAACGAAGGCTGGGTGTCATGCGAACTAGGTAAGCCTTAGATGCGTGCACAGTGTCTGCAGTCTTTGACGCGTAGCTCGAGATACTTTCCAGTTTTGAGCTGATAAAGCGATGTGCTAGCACAGAAATGGTCCGCACGGCGCGTCATAGGCGTTGACATTGATGGTGATCTCGTCCGCAAAGCATGGATGCGTCGTCGAACCATCTGGAGCAGACAATCTCCCTTATCTCCGTCTCAAACTACCTCATCAAAAGTTACTGGATTGAACGAGAATGGAAGGAAGACTAAGAAACGCAAACTCAACTCCGAATCAACAACCACCCCTAGCGCCACAGTTCTCTCCACACCACAGGCGGATTACTTCCCCGCATCATGCCTTCACATGTTCGGTCCCTTACCGATACCTCCTTCCGGTGTAACAGACAAGGAAGAGAACGAAAATGGTGACGGCGTTGCTCCAGCTGTAGTTCTCCCTAGAGACCACGAGTTTCCGCATAATGTCTCATTCCGCCATTCGGACTGGCCTGCTCAGCCTATACCAGAGGATACGGAGGGGTATGACGTTGTCATTGCGTATGTTAACTCTTATTTCTCGTGTCCCACTGCTTTTCAGTTCACGATGTTGACTCTCGCGCCTCGTTCCCCATCAGGTTCTCGATAACGAAATGGATCCACCTCAATACCGGCGACGCAGGCCTTGAGCGATTCTTTCGGAGGGTGTACACCGCTTTGAGGCAAGGAGGGACGTTTGTACTTGAGCCGCAAGGATGGGAGTCGTATGCGAAGGCGAGGAAGTTGGATCCTGTGCGTTCATATTTGCCTACTGTCCCCTTGTTCACCCATTCTACTCTGTTCTCCTTGGTTGCGAATAAGGACCACTCTGCTTCGTCCTATTCCATATCCCAAGTTGCGAGAGCTGTCACTGACGCCAGTATTGGCTACACATCTGGCACTTCTAGATTTTACAAGAGAACGCGAAGAACCTCAAGCTTCGACCGGATTCTTTCGGGGCGTTACTGACGCAGATAGGTTTTAGCGAGGGGAAGACGGTTGGTGAAGTCGGCGAAGGGCGTACGTCATTCCCGTCTCCCCAGACTTGCCATCTGCTCTGCGAACGGATGTTCATTCTTCTCTTCCACAGGGTTCAGACGGCCAATTGAGGTCTACGTGAAGCGCTAGGAACCTACAGGTATATTATGGCTGCATTGTTGAAGTATTTATAGTCCATGTATACTGCATTCTACCACACCAGTGCTGGCTTTGCAGTACTGTCTACCATCCAAAAATTCTATATCTGCGACAAGTCGACGACCTTTATCTAAATTCTAAGTGAGTTCTACTCACAGCCTAACCTCCTACCTCTTTTGAAGAAGACCGCAGCATCTAACGCTGGCGTACGAATCGTCAATGTATGTCCTAAGTCCTCCTTCGAGTGTATTAGGTCGAAATCAATGTCGAATGATTCGTGCGCAATAGGTTGCGTCGACCACGCACGCCCTCGTGCCAAGCGGGTTCAAGATCGACACAGTTGAGTCATTCAACGCCGTACTCGGAGGAACGGAAGACTTCAATTCCAACCTCGCCAGATACGGTCCGTCTGAGTCATCCTCGCCAACCGTCTGCTCTGCTGACGTCAATGCCAAATGTTGTCCTCGCTTTTGTCCTTTGCATTAGGTCTGTCGAAGCTAGCAAACATCCTATTCACCAGGGAGCTTCAAAAGCGATTTGACGCCGAGGGCGTCCAAGCCGTGGCAATTTCCCTCCACCCCGGTGGCGTAAAGACTCGTTAGTCTTTTCGTTACCATTGCATATTCGACGTACTGACGCCGATGCAACTCAACACTATCCTTCTTTCTCCATATAGCCGGCTCTATCAACTTCGTCGGACCCACCAACCTCGCAATGCTCGACGGTGCTATGACTCCCCTCCAAGGCTCCTTGACGCCCCTCTTCGCTGCTGCCAGTCTCGAAGTCTGGGAGAAGAAGAGTGATTACGCCGGCAAGTACTTGATGCCATATGGAGTCGTCTCGGAGGACGTACTTAGCGAGAATGCGAAAGATGAGGCATTGGCCAGTGCTCTATGGGTGACGAGCGAGAAGGCGGTTGCGGATGTTTTGGAAAGGTGATATGTATGTGAGTGCATGGGGTTCTTGCGTTCGAGGGCGAAATGAGAGGTCATGTATTTAAATATAACGTGGTTAGAATGTTGCGTTGACGAGAATCCGAAAGACATACAGTTGCTTCTTTTATAGATAGGACCAGCGTTAAGATAGACAGGGGCCCTCATAATTTTAGAGTAGCGCTACACAGATTCCTGTGTAGGTGTCTATATTGTCAACTCTATTCTTGCAAAGTCTACACAAGTTCGTTAAAATTCTATCCAGACAAAAGTCTAGTTTGAGACCGTCGTTCGAGGCCGACTTAGGCCTCATGCCTCATTCCTCTTCAATCAACCCTAATGCTAACCTCCACTTTCCCATTCACAACCGTCATCTTCACGCTCGCCAAATCTTCGACGATCCAATCCGCCCCAGCAGCCTCCATCTCGCTCTTCCCATGCGTAGTCAACAGTCCCAAGGTCTTGCATCCCGCTGCTTTTCCGGACCGGACTCCGGCGGGGGCATCTTCGACTACGAGGCAGGAGGTGGGAGGTTTGGAGAGGCGGTGGGCACCGAGGAGGTAGGGGTCTGGTCTGTTGGTTTTGGATGGGCGAAGAGCGGGAAGGTTAGCAGCAGAGCGTGACCATAGAGTAGGTTTATGGGTTGGGTTGTTGGTGTGGTGTGTGGTGTGGCGCAGCGGTGGTGGGATATAGGTGAGATGATGGAGACGTACGCAGGCTTTCCCTGTTTTACATCCTCCGCAAAGACAATCGTCTCCGGGATCGTAACGCCAACACTCGGAAGTGCTGTGGACGCATACGCGCGTGTGGCAGAGGTGCAGACCGTCCATGTTCCCGGCGTCAGCTAGATCCCGAGTATTAGAACTCGTCGGGTGATACTGATAAAGGTGGAGAGGACATACGGCGTCAATGGCATCTTTCGCACCAGGGAGGAGCTTGATCCCTCCACGGCCATTCTCATTAGATGTAGTAACGATAGCGCGTTCGAACCGTTCGGCTTCTCTCTGGTCATATCGTATCCGTCATGATTTCCAAGCAAAGTCTTCATAGCGACGAGCATACGCACCTCCTGTTCCGCCGGATCCTGAATCCCACAATGAATCCTAAGGTTCTCTACCGTTCGGACCCCATGCGCAGCTACGAATCCAACGTGCTGTAAGACTTAGATCAGGGAGAAGTGAAGCCAAATGACTCACAGCTGAGGATCTGCTCGACGTCCAACCCAGGATACTTCTCCTTGAACAGATTCCAGGCCCCTATGACTCCGGCCGTCGAATCAATGAGAGTCCCGTCCATATCGAAAAGTCTGGCATCGTCGTTCCAGTATTCCCAGATGAGCCCAAGATACGGCCAGGATAAGCAAAAGCAAGAAAGGAACGTACATGGCATCGAAGATAGGCTTCGTTGTGGTCGACATGATTCAAAGTTGTTCAAAGCCTCGAGTACTTTGTCGAAGTTATGAGTCTACGAGAGCGGAGTTCCAATCCAAAGCTCGAGCTGGGATCAACGGGGATGGGGAACAACTCGAGGCCGAGTGGGTAAGGGGCATTTATAAGGGCGATGGTACTGGAATTCGGGTATTGTGGCTCGAACTGGAATTCGGGTCGGTATGTCTCAAGAGCGGCCGCCACGTTCGCACATAATAGCCCCAGGGTGTACGGAAGAAAACATCGGATTTATATGCGTCCACCTGAGTGTACCTCAGCCATATCCTATGACGTTCAATAATCTATGAGAATACATTGCAAGAGTACAAAGCTCAAGGTATAGGATGGGCCGTCGTTGCTGCTAGTGTGCTTGAGCTTGCGCAGCGAAGTCGGTGGAAGTTGTAATTCACTGCCAGTGACTCATGAAATAATGACGGCACAGTGATTTATCAGGATTTATCCGAGGATGAACCGTGAACGCTACGATAGCCTCAGGCTGGGGTGCCACACATTCCTTGCAACCCGAACGGCCATCCTCTTCCGAGTCGTTGCCTCGCTGCCCCTTGCCTTCCATGAAGCAACCCATAGGTCACTTTTCAGATCTGTTTATATATGGTTGTGATCTATAGAGTGATTCGTAGCACTCGCACCAGTGGAACATAAAACACACGTTCGCTGAGCATATCCATCTACATAGCAATTCCTCGCACTTCGAATTAAATATCCACGATATAAACGACTCAGGAGTATGCAAGTGCTAGTGATTTTTCACCCACATTTCTAGCGCTGCGTTGGCTTGTGGACGAGCGAGAAATTGGTGGCTCACATTCGCGAGGAAAGCGGAACCTTCCTCACTCGAATGCGATTGACGGATCTTCCTTCCGGCAAGTTGACTTTGGGTAAGGTAAGGTAAGGTAGGTTCATTGCAATCTTGATTGTCTGGCAGTACTCGGGTGGCATATGTTCGCAAAGGAGACGCTTGGGCCGCGCTGGTGCATTCCACCGAATATAGGTAAGTCGCCTATTTGTGACTCTTCGTTTGTTCTCCAAACACTGCTAAACTAAGAATGTTTGTCTAAGTAGGTTGCCTCATCCCAAAAGAACGCGAGCTGTACAGGATTATTTCACCACCAGTGAGCAACGCTTAGAACCCCTGAGCCACTCCATATTCACACCATATAAAGATCAACGTCTCTCGCCGCTCTTGTACTGCTCCTCGCTACCTTTCCGATCTCTCTCGCATGACGAGCAACGACCGTATACCGAAGTGGCTTGCCGGTTTGAAGTCACTAGGCCACATTCTCGTCTTTGGCTCGAACTCCGAGACTCTTCGTATGAAGGCAATGAACCATTGCTGGACTCTGGAAAGCCATGTTTACGCGGCGAAGGTGTGCACGGTGACCTCGACTGCTACGTATAAGGAACACGCCGAGATCATTGACGTAGCCCTAGATGCGTAAGTAATTGACTTCTTCGTCCCATATGAAAATGCCGTGTTCTGTGAAATACTAACCTACTTGCTTGAAATATCCTAGACGAGATGTTTTCTGTGAAGGGATGCAGTCAATCATGGAGACGGACCTGGAGGCTTCTTCAGAGCCGAGTTCTTTGCGTGAAGTTCTCTCTGAAAAACAGACTGCGTTCTTTAGCCTTGTGCAAGTATGTCTCTGTTTGTGCCCGCATCGTCCCCGTTATACGTGCTTGACTCTGTCCTTACTGGTATCTCTTTTGTATAGCACCTGGAAGAGGATTGGGGAGAATAGAAAACGAGACTCATCAACACCAGTACCAGTGTTTGTGCGCGTCCCACTGCACACTGTATACGAACAGTGGGCGCGAGATTTTCTCATCCTGACTCGGAGTTTGCTTACCGTACTTGGAACGCGGAGGAGAGGAAGGACGTAGCTATCTTGGTGAACGAGTAACTTTTCCGCAATATCCTCCGTCACGTCTATAAGGCTTAGAATTGATGGAACAGTGTGTGGATGGTCCACTCGGCGACGAAAGACTTCTCCGATGTGAAGTTTCTCGATATCGAACATCCGCGTGATGCGTATCAGCTGCACCAGAGATACAGAGAGCTCTTACATGCTTCATTGAGAGGATTAAACGCCGTGGAGGTAAGCCTCATTTTTTACTACGTATGTACCTGTTCTCCCAGATGAATCGTACTCACGAACACGACCCTATAGACCTTGCTATCCAAATTAGGTGAACGCAAGACGGACATTCGAACGGGGGGTATGCGTGCTTCACTTCTTCACAAATCAGGTCGATGGAGCCGTAAACTTGCTCACTGGCTCCGGTCCGCAGCGCATATTGGGACGTTGGATGACGAGACAAGGCAGCACATATTCCACATGGCGAAGGACGTTCTTGACGCCCCACACATATACTCTCCAAGGGATGGGCACTTGCTCATGAAGTATTACTGGGACGAGGAGAAGCTTATGCACTCTTTTGCTTCGTCTATCGCGGAAGAGTATCGAGCACTAGATAATGGGAGGGCGTCTGGTGGTCCCATGAGTAGGTGTCAGGCACTTACGGGTAAACACAAGGCGGCATATTGTGTCCTTCACGAGCTGGACTCGTTTGGGCCAGTTGCGGCCTGGTTCATGGACGTTATTGGTGCAACGGCGTTGAAGAAGTTGAATGATGGACGCTATCTCGCTGCAGAGGAAACTGTACAGAATGCGTAAGTCCTATCATTCTACAACTGTTCATGGGTTTCTTACTCAGATGTTGGTCCGAGTATATCGAGATGCTTACGTATGCCTACTTACAGGGATAAATTTCCAGCCAAGGGCTCGAAGGGGTACGGTACAGACACCTCGCCACAGAAAGTACGGAAGCTTGCGAAGGAGATGGAGAGTCTCTCTTGGCTTGCTCAAAGTACACATACATCGTCACCGTCAGCAGAATCTGATCTCTCATTTACTGTGCATGACTTTCTTCTAGGACTTGGACGCCTGGAGCGGACAAGCCGTAGAGAAGATGTTGTTGTCGTACTCAGCCACGATATTCCGAAGAGGCGACACCTTCACCGTGCAAGCTCTAGAACTACTGACGGGCCGCTGTCAAGAAGAGGATGGAGGAAGACTTCGCGTTGGCACTTGGGGTGCTCCAATGGAGAAGATGATATGCGTGTAAGTTGAAGACATTCTCCCTCATTTCTGAACGTCCTTATGCTGTCCCGGACAACGGGAGGTGTGAACATGCTCAGGCTGGAGGCGTTGTACCATCATCCGGACAACATGAGCTGTGCACATCAGTACGCCAGTTATGCATTCTCATTCTTTAGTTTACTCCGTGTTCGTGTACTCGCCTGCTTCTCTCAGCGCTACTCTCGGTTTGTTCTCACAGCTGCCCTTTCTACCCGAACAGTCATCCATAGGCACATCCTGCGACCCCAGTTTCAAAAAAGAAGCCTACTACGAACAGGTCTGGAGGTTCGACTGTGAGTGCTGGTCGTAAAATCACCATATCGCCATATGGACAGTTTCTGACGATACACCCTTTAGCCAATTATACAGGATGCGCCTTGCAATGTCGTCACCTCGAGATAATAAAATGGCTGAGGGGCACTAGACAGGCATACATAGGGACTACGGCTGAAGACGAGCACTACGTCTCTTATAGACCACGCGGGAGTATACACGACCCTATTAGGCTTTCGTTGTATAGCTTAGCAGGGCCGTTAATCTTCGGAGACGGGATGGAGTGTAGATTATAGTAAACACTACGGAGAATGGTGAAGTTGCCGGGGAAGTAACGTTTAAAAGAACGTGGGCACTGTTACGATCCTTAATGATAATGACGATGTCTTGCACGAAGCCACCCCCAATTGGCAGACATACTTACAACAGCATTGTCTGCCAGCGCATGACCTGCTCCCCTGTCGTTGGATCATCATCTACATGCTGTTAAATCACCATCAATGAATTATCATCAAGGCTAGTCAGCAAGCAGATCAAAAATAAGTCACAATACACCGACACTCGTATGGACTCACCGCAGTGACTATCCTCTCATGATCGATGAAACACAAGTCGGCACGCATGTTGTCCATCTTGACCTCGCGATATGGTAGCATTGTGATCACGTCCTCCTGGAACAAGTCGATATTCCTATGCCTCGGAAAGATGGAGGGTGTCAAAACGATGCGGATTGATTTGTTGGTGATTGTCTGATTAGGAACTCGTGAGTCGTGGTCCTCTTCCTGATGATTGTCAAGATTGGCTGTGGTAGCGATATTGGGATGCCCTGAATGCATCTCGTCCAAGCGTTTGAGATGATGTCCGAACTCGAGGACATGCCAATTATAGAGGTCGTGGTCTGTCAGGAGCATTGGGGAAGTGAGGGAAATTCGTTGACCGTGGATTGAGCAGAGCTCGGAGTCACTAATCGTGCTACGGACGAGACAGTCCACGACATTGATCATCAGAAACCATAGGAGCGTCAACTTAATCGTGAAAGACAAGGCGGGCATCGAAAAAGACAGCCATCGAGATGTAGATCGATGTGCGGGACTCACAGTGGGTTCAAGGCAGTCACGTCCGAGCTCGTGCTTTCCACAGGAATGCCATCTAGCCCGTCATGGAACAATCTCGTACTCTTCGGACCCCACTCGCTCCATGAAAATTCGACAGCGTCCAGGTTCGAACCCGTCGTTGTATGTCTCCTGTCGGGATCTGGAGACCGGTGGGTGTCCCTGTCGGCAGTAGCGTGAACGCCCTTGGAGTGGAGGCGTTCGAACAGTTCATGTGCGTGGATGACCAGCCGACACTGGAACACCGGCTTAGTACCCATAATTCCCACATTATTTAATGAGTTCGACCCCCTCTTCCCGACCTGGTACCAAACCCCGAGAACGTATAGATGGGCGTCTGATGTGAGGATAAAGGGCGAGGTGATGCTTGAGACGCTGAGATTTTCTGGCGAAGAGGCAGGATACCCTGAAATGGTTATGTTGATGATGTGAACATCGGTGTGCACTGATGGCAAATGGAAGGAGGCAGCTCTACGAACTGCTCCCTTTGAATCTGCACCATCTAAATTGTTGCCCGTCACACCGTCCCCTGCCCTAGGAAAAGCGCAATTTTCTTTCGAGAACGTGTACAAGTCCAGGGATCCTGACCCGCTGAGGTTCGAGGCTATGAAGCAGCGTGCATCGAGGAATGTGATAGTTGAGGTATGTGTGTCTGTGTTGTCAAACCCGAGATGTGTATCCTGCAAGAGAAGAAAGGAGAAATAGAGTAAGTTTCCAACATAGTCAGCAAAATCGTGATATAGAGGAAATGTTTAGCAGGACGTTGATGCGCAGACGCTACGTACGAGAATCTTGACGCCGCTCTGCCACTTCCAGCCTACTAAATGCTTCTTCTTCGGCTTCCAAAACGCAAGAAGATCATCAACAACGAAGATATCAGGGTCCTCCAGGTCCCAAGCGTTGGAACCGCCCGGACTGTCCAGATCTTCCACACATTCGAGGAATGCAACGGCAGCATCTGGATGCGCCACCCACTCACTACCGACATCATTGGCATTTGCGCTGCAAGAAGATAAACTACGCAAGTGAATGCGGCCGACGCGTTCATCCGGCGTATCGGCATGCACTGCGAGGAAAGCGAACAGGTTTAGGGTTGGGTCGATGGCGTAAGCGTTACCGTAGACTTTGACATTGTTGTTTGCGGCAGATACATGTATGACCCGGCTGTGTTCCGGCTCTGCGTAGGTGGGAAGATGGCACACGACGGGTTTCATTTCCCAATCCGGACAGATCATGACGCCCTGGTAGACCTCGGGAAGGTCATGATCAAGTTCACTGTTAAAGTTTGTGAGCTCGAAAGTGCGTTTCCACGATAAGGTACGCCAGGATGCTTGAAGTTCGAGGAGCCGGTTGTGACGGTCGGAAATAGGACGAGATGGGAGGTTCGAATACTGATTGTCGGCAAGACCAAATGCAAAGAGGTCGAGGTGATATTGTAGTAAGGAGGAGGTGGTGACGAGGTTGTGGAAGCGCTTGCAAGTCTGATCATCTGAGTGAGCGGCCCGCAAAGAGCGCTGGGGGCAAAACAAGACAGTGGAGGCGAAATCGTACCATAGAAAACCTCAAGACATCCTTTGCGTGTAACCGATTGACTATATCAAGGGTTAATTCAGTGGGAAGAGAATGGATGGACTGGATCCGCATCGTTGCCTCCGATAGACCCGTTGTATGGAAAGTCCAGGAAAAGCGGTTGTTCGCAGTGAGCTGTTGGAACTTGGTCAATACGATAAATGAATATCCACTGTGATAATTCCAATCAATAGAGATAGTGGGCACTTGGAGTAAGATTGAAAAAGCCTCAGACAAAGAGAGCGACCTAGTTCAAATAGTTCAGTTAACCGCAGGACGAACGTGAAGAACGCAAAGACGAAGACCTCCGAAGACTCAAACCATTTAACCAACGCGGCGCTTGCCGGACCGGAATCAGACGACGGTCCTTGAGGCGCTGTGGCGCACTGCAACTTTGCGTGGCACCAGCGCGCTCAGCGTAAGTATCTCCCCTACAGGCCCCACCATTCACCGACGGTCCGGCTTACACCCTCTTCGGAGAGAAACTCACAGACATACATTCTTCAGGCTACCCTATCGTAACAAGTCAACGGTGGACGGTCGAGACATACATATCCTTCAGACGTGTCGGTCACCATTGACGTGCTTTAACTTGAGCACACCTTACTAGAATAACAGATTTTGTTTGCCCAAAGGAAATAAATAGCACAATAAAGTTTAACCTAAGAGACCGATGAAAACCCTGACGAGAAACTATCAGGCAAGCACTCCGACAAATTAATCACAGAACCTGTCCAATCGAAGCCAAAACATCAGCAGCGGCTCCAGCGAGAGGACATGGAAAAATAGCTCACGTGATAGTCAAATCCACATCATCAGCCGTGCACTGCACCTGAGCACTGTAGTCGCCCGTAACATGGAACGCGCCAGAACAATCGCTCGATGTGCAATCGTTTCCGGTACCGTCGCAGCCGTTGTAATACCCGAAACCAGTAGCAACGGAGTAAGCGTGGGGGCTGATGAGCGAGACGTCCGTGCTGGAGACATAACCGTTCTTGAGGGTGGTCTCGAGGAGGGTGCAGCCGGTGCCTTCGTAACCACAACTGCCGGTTTGGAGGTAGCTAGAGTAGAACAAGTGAGAAGAACGTGTTAATGCAGAGTATGGTAGGCTGAGAATGAGATGGAAGGGTAGGAAACGAGATACGTACGCGATAGCAGCTTCGAGAGGACCGTTGGAGGTGTAGTCCCCGCCACCGGGGTTCAGAGTGACAAAGTTTTGCTCTAGTACAGGCTGTACCAGGACATGAAAGAGCGTCAGTACAGAGAAGAAAAACAAATGGGAGAAACTCACAGTCCCGGAGCCACACCTGTTGTCGAAGTGGATGGTGTGCGACTCGGCATGAACACCAGCGAGAGCAAAGGCAGAGAGAGCGAAAAGAGTGAGAGTGTTGAACATGATGATCGGGATGAGGCTGTGAGTGGGAGGATGACAGCGCTGAGAATTGCTAGTGATAATGGACCAGGAGCAGATGAGAGAGAAATACGTTCTGCATTGAGGGTCTTTATACTGATCTGAGTTTCCTTGGTGTCCGGACCAGTGAAGCGCATGCTCAGGAACGACGAGCGTAAAGTGGGTCGGCAAAGGTTAGCGAAGGACCTTGAACTGAGGAGGCCGGACGTGTGGCAGGCGCATCAATATTGGAATGGGGGACCAATATAAGCGCGTGGGGGATGGGCAAGGCAACGCATGGCTCGAGGGCTCAAAATCAGGAGTGTGATCTTCGTCAGAAAACATATGATTGGATGTCCTTCGTAATGGCTTGGTCACTATGCCTCAGAATGGGTATCAAGAGCAAGAGGACACAGAGCAGTGTCTGTCCAGGCGCAGAACCAAGGATGGCCGGACGTGAGCATAGATCAAATGAGAGATTAATCGTCAAGTACAAAAGTAAAAGGCTTCTGAGCCCACAGCCCAGAGCACGGAGAATGCTCCTCGCCTTTCCTTCGCACATCAACTCCCCATATATGATCCCCAGATCATTAAAAAATGACACACAAAATTAGTTGAAACTTAGGGAAGCTGCGAGCGTGATCTTTCGGTCCCGAGAAACACAATGCTCACGTTCGGGTAGCATATTGTAAGCAAAGCGAGAAGTCCATCCAACCCTACCGGTCAAATAGGTTTAGAACGGAGAATCCGAGTGCTCTAGAGGTAGAGTAGGTGGTCTCAAGCAATAAGTAGATGTGCCAGCAAACACTTGCCCCCACTGATGGTGACAGGCCGCGCCGCTACTCGAAGAGAGATCCGTAAGACTTGGCAGATACCTATATATTCGTGGCAGAGATTCACCGCAACTCTGCATGGTCGATGAGTAGGACGCATGGGCGAGTGTTGGAAAATGCGTGGTCAGTTTGATGGCGGTCAATAGACACGTCAAGCAAGCGCCGCTTATAACGCATGTTGTTAGTTATCGGCTATTGCCGTAGCTGCTGGTCTGGACGGGTCAGCCCGGGTCGAGATGCTTCAAGCTTCAAGTCTGACCACGACAAAACTACATTCCTACCACTACCACTGCCACTTCCTCAGCCAGCCAGCCACGGATAGACAGCTGGGACAATCGCGAGTCCTTCATATTCAGGACACTGTGTCGCTTTCGTTTCATTTTTTCTCTCCTTTCCTGAGTACTTAACATCATGACCTGCAACTAGCGCGTCTACACACTAGCATGGGCTTCATCATCATCAATATCTGAGGCTTGTTGAGGCCAGTTCCGAGCGTTTCGATAGCACTTTCGGTCACGCTGGTTTCGGTGCACATGCAGGTACCAGACACCCCTAATACAGCAGCTTGGAGCTCATACAAAGCGCGATTTCTTGCCGGGTGACAATCTTCCATAGGGTCAAACACCGATACTTATGGTGAAGCGGCGGTTTTGAATGGCTTGGCTGTCGTAGAAAACTTCATGTGCCCAAGGTTGACATGATGAAGGGAGCATTTCTCCAGGTATCTCTCTTCGTCAACAAACCTGAAATTAACTCCTGCACCCCTGGCGAGGCATGCTACGGATCTTGGGCTAAAATATTGTCCAGGCCAGCTGGAAGCTGAGGCCTGATGGCGTAGCTGATAAATATTCAGCACACCAACTTGGCCTGCACAGACAATACGGATGGAATTCCATATTGTGGCCATGCGAATAGCCTGTGCCACACGGGCGCTAGCATGAGCCGGAAGAATGGCTCAATGTGGAATCGAGTGTAGAAGTGACGACGATGACGCCACGCCGATCTCGTCTTCCCCACAGCCAACATGATCTCTTCTTAACCCCCCTAAATTCTCCCTTATAAAGCTTCGCCATCGTCAACACCCACTTTGTCTGCCTTCATCGAAGTCTAAACCCCCTAGTTTTCTTCTTTCGAAATTCACCTAAATGTCATTCGCAGCCTTGCTCCTTCGGAGTAACATCACTCGCATTAGCATAATGCCAGTCATCCCGACCGCCGCCGCATCAGCGGCTGCAACAACTTCACGCGCACGCACACTCCATACTACCCCTTCAATCCACTCTGACACGCACACGGGGCATGACCCTACCGTTCAACAAGGCCAAGTCTCGAAACCCGGCAAAAATCGTGACAGTTCCTCCACTCACCAACAATCCGCGAACTCGGGCTACCACGCATCATCCTACGAGCACCCTCACGACACCGCATCTCGTGGACCAAACAGCAAAGCTCCTCGTGGACAGGGCGAGAAGGGAAACCCTGAGGGGATTGGACTCGTAGATCAGGTGGGCGGGCAAAGTGCGCATGCGAGGAAGATGGAATGGGAAGGGAAGGCAGGAGAGGAAGGCAAGGACGAGCCTAAGGGGATGGGAGGGAAGGAAGAGAGTACGCCGCCTGGGTTGTTTGCGGGGGTGAAGCAAGCCGTGGGGCTGGGCACGAGCGAAGGGAATGTGAAGCAAAATCAGGGTGGAGGAGGGGGTGTGACAGGGACTGGGACGTTCAAGGACCAAACGGAGAAGCATTAAGTAGAAGAAGAGAAAGTGAATCACAGCGTAGTAAATTGTTGCCTCTGTAATCAAACTTCTCCACATCAAAACAGGCATTCTGCATATTAAAACATATTTGTACTCATGAAGCTCCGGAGACGCGAGTGTGTACGATAGCGTGAATGAGACGGAGAATAAAACTACTCCTCAATTTTGGTCTCACGTGGTAAAGCCTAACCTACAATCGGATCGCATCTGGGCCAATCCACACAGATTGGACCAACCCTATGAACCACCTTCCGCTGCTTTCCGTCCAAACATCTCATGGCCGTCGTAGTCCCCATCGACTCCGCCATGGGCTCCAACATTTTCGCGACGGCGGAGTTCAACAAACCATCCTTGAACTGATTGAACTCTGGATCTCTCTCCAGTTCTGGTGCGCCTGAAAAACACGGAGAAAGAACGAAAGGTCAATCAGGTAGCAGGTATTAATGATTGAATTATGAAGTGGCATAAAGCACGAACCCTCTGGTACTTCAAGAAAGCCGCACGGTATCAGCGACATCGGATGTCCAGACGGCCGTTTGGCACTGATCACATTCCCAATTGTTCCATGAACGACATGCCACCTCTTCGAGTTCCTCGCATCGAACTTCTCACCGCGCGAGTTCACGCGTCCTGTGGGAAGACGACATTCCTGGCCGTCGATGTAGAGTAGAATGGGAACGAGGGTTACGCATTGCTCCAGGGTAGGGTCAGAGTCATATAATTGTGTCTATCGTACAGACGGGAGTGTCAGCGTACAAACGAAACAAGAGTCAGCGTCTGGTTTGATAGCGCCAAGAGATGGAAAGAAGGAAAGGTAAAATATCTGCATAGTACATACGTATTCATCATAAGCCCAATCCGTCGACATCACATCCTCGTATATCCTCAAACTAAACTCTTCAGCCCCAGCCTCTCCTTCATCCATACCTTCTCTTTGCGACCTACGGGGATTTCTGCGCGTCCAATACCTTCTGGACGGATCCCAATCGTAAATCTGTTCCGGTGCCCACACGGAGTTACAAATCATCTTCTTGAACATGTCCTGTTTCCCCAGACGCGTGTGCACCTCATACGTCTTGTCCATCCACTTCGTAGACTTGAACATCACCAAGTTCTTATGAGCAGAGGTTTGACCATCGTCGTCAATGTCGGACTCTGGCTCTGGCTCATCGTACCGCACGCGAAACGATCTCCACCCAAAATCATCTGCCTGGGTGTTGCGAACGACGTCCGAGTTCGGGGCCCTGAAAATGCGTACGAGAGCCCATACTGCGATGACCTGATCGCGCATGCGTTTGGATAACCGAGTGGTGTCTTCGAAGTTGAAGTGTGAGAGCTCTGAGGATAGAACATCGAAGTTAGGTATGTTATTGGTGAGAACTGGAGAGATAGGTCGTGAGGTTTTAAATCACTTGAAATCTTTGCCTCTATTTCACGAGCAGAGCTATCTTCCTGAGACTCAGGTTGTAAGTTCACCCTTGCCGTGAGGGTTTCCAAGTTATCCAAGCCTTCATCGTGACCAACATCAGGGCTTTGGGCGAACCCTGGCATGTCGACACCCGCCGGTGGAGAAAGCTCATGCTGAGGGTCCATAATCAGGAGATTGTTTCACACGACTTGAGCGAAGGATGCACAAGAGTGAGAGCAGTGGTGGTATTATTGAATTCGCCAAATGTGGCGTGTCAAGACAAGGAATCGTTTCCGAAGTGGCATCGATCCTTGGCTCGGCTTTTGCCGAAAGGTGAATGCGGCAATCACGTGTAACCTCATTCGCGACTTCTCACTTCGGTCGCGCAACAACTGCTCTCAGCTTCACTGCTTTGACCCATCCAAATATTTCATTTCCTTCCCGACCTCCATTCGAATTTATCAGCTTTACTGCCCATCCAACTCTAGGTCAACTTACATTTCTGTATGGCCGACCTCGAACCCCTCGACCCACAATTCGTGCAAACCGTTCTGTCGAATCCTCCATTCGTTTCTGTCCCCGGCGTTCACAATGTTCGCGACTTAGGCTCATATCCTGCACATATCTCTTTTTCAAGACGCACGAATGAAGAGAGTGGGATAGAAGGTGACCGAAATGAGAATGCAAGCCTTGTTACGCGTCCGGGGTATATGTTTCGTTCGGCGGAGGTATCGGGGATAACAGAGGAAGGTGCGTCCTGTTTTATTATTGCTTCATTGCGGTTCTCGCGCATCTCATTGACTGTTTATCTTTTGGTCTATAAACTTATCATTCTTAGGGGAAGCACAACTTCTCGACCTCGGGATTAGCACCATCTTCGACCTACGCTCAGAAACGGAGATGAAAAAGTACAACACTCCACTACCTGCACTGATCCACTGTCACGAAAAAGTTGCGATCGTGAAGAGCCCGGTGTTCGAGCAAAAGGATTATAGTCCAGAGATGATGGCGAGGTGCGTTGCGTCCTCTGTGAGAGGTTGCATGAAACGGCCCGTCTTAGCGTTTCCGGGAGGATGCCCCACGCAAAATGCTAAGTCTACAAATTGCATTATTGCTATAATGCCAACTGCTATATGGCATTTCCACGATTCTCTGGCGTAGTTCATGCAACCTCTATCTGCTTCCCGTATGGGGTCTGACCGACTGGCAATGTGGCGGTGGCGTAGACGGTTTCAGCTCTATGCCAGCGGAAAAGTGGAGGTGTGTTCCTTCGCTCGCACATCCGTATTCTTGGGGTATGTGCTCAACATATTGGTCGTTTGTTCTCTGCATAGGCGTTCATGCAGCTCTATACAGAGATCCTGGAGGCAGGGGGTCCTGCGTACGGCAGTATTCTGCGACATGTGAGGGATAAGCCACAAGAAGGTTTCATTTTCCATTGTACAGGTTCGTAGCCTACACATTCTCTCTTATGGGATCTAATTCCTTGCTCTCGGATGATTCTGCAGCCGGCAAAGACCGAACAGGCATTATGGCTGCCATCCTCCTACTGGTATGCACGCCAGACATGCTCTGGACTGGGGAGTTTGATCGACTAGTCTGACGTTCACTATGTTGGCCTGGGCATCTTAGCTTGCAGGGGTATCTCGAGAAGTAATAGCAACAGATTATTCATTAACAAGGATAGGCCGCGAACCCCAACGACCACAAGTACTCTCAAGGTTGTCCAAAGAGCCGATATTCGCCTCAAATCAGGAAGCAGCGTTAAACATGCTGACTTCAAGGTCCGTTTGCGATTTCTATGGCTTGTCTCACTCCCTTCATTCCGTCTGTCTTGCTTGTACTTTATTGAGGTTCTCGACATTTGACATTGATAGATATGAGACCATGATTGCTTTTCTCGAGATGTTCGAAGAGCAGTACGGCGGAGCCGAGAATTATGCCAAGAATTTCTGCCATTTATCCGACGGCGACCTCGACGTGATCAAGTCCCATCTGGTCGTCGAACGACCGATATCCTTGACCAGCTCGAACCTCTAGCTCGCACACACTGATCTTGACCCACCGGCGTCTCGTTCTGTATAATACCGCACCGTATCATTTCTGTTTCTTTCTACTCTGCATACATCTATAATTCTTTCGCTCTGCGCCAACATTCGGCCGATTCAATCGCACCGCGATTTCCTTGCACGTTCGTCGTACCTTACCCACAATGATCGCCGGAGACTGCGCTTTGAACCAGCTGTGACCGCAGGATCTGTATCACCGGCCGGGGTTTGAGCTTTGAGATCAGCAAGGGGTCAGGAACTATTGCGAAAGGAGGGGTGAGCTGAATACGGGGCACAACTGGGCTCTAATTGGCTGAAAACACGGACATTTCCCCGGACTTTGTCATCACAGCGAGCCTCATGTTTGCAGCTGATAGGAGTTCGTCAGCGCGAAGCCCACGGATGTTGTTCCAATGTCGATCAGGTCGTCGCCTGACCACCAAGACATAACCCAAGACCGTGATCATCTGCACTATAAAGATGGACAGCAAAAGGAGGGTCAAGTGTGTGTTCTTTGGCCCCTTCGTCACTCCGAGGAAACCCGTGGAATTGTTGCTCATACCATCGTAGTCTTCAGCCCCCACCAGAAAAACTTTTCCTTGGGTATCCTCGCTATATCATGCTTGGCACTCTAGTTGTCGCTCTGTCGATAGCTTTGGTCTCTTATGGACAGTCTTCGACCGACGATGAACCCATTCCAGGCGACTACTCTGGAGCACTACGTCCTCAGATCCATTACTCTCCGCCCGTAGGATTCATGAACGACCCCAATGGCATGTTCCTCGACGCGGACGGAACCTATCATCTATATTATCAATGTGTGCCACATTTTTCACCTTCGTATTTGCCAGACTTTTGCTGACATGTTCGCCATAGACAATCCCACAGAGATCGTCGCTGGTAACCAACACTGGGGCCACGCCACCTCGCAGGACCTCTACCATTGGACGAACCAGAAGATTGCCATTGCTCCCTCTGGCGCAGAGGGAGAAGGCATCTTTTCTGGATCGGCTGTTATCGATGTGAACAACACGTCCGGATTCTTCCCCAATCAAACCGATGGTGTCGTCGCCATCTATACTCTCAATACCAACACCGCTCAGACGCAAGATATCGCATACTCCGTCGACGGAGGCTACACGTTTACGAAGTACGAGAACAACCCGGTCATCGACGTCAACTCGACACAGTTCAGGGATCCGAAGGTGCTTTGGTATTCAGCGGAAGATGGAACAGGATGGTGGTCTATGGTCGTCGCACACGCGCAGGATTTCGTTCTTACGTTCTACACATCGCCGAACCTTCGCGAGTGGACTTTCGCGTCGAACTTTTCGCACGTTGGACTCCTCGGTCTGCAATGGGAATGTCCCAACCTCGTCACGATGCCCGTCGAAGGGACCGACGAAACCATGTACCTCCTCTTCCTCTCCATTAATCCCGGCGCGCCACTAGGCGGTTCTATCTCGCAGTACTACCCCGGCTACTTCAACGGCACACATTTCACTCCCGTCGACGGCGTCACTCGTCTCTCCGATTTTGCGAAGGACAATTACGCCGGTCAATTCTTCTACGGTATCCCCGAAGACCAACCCGCCGTCTCCATTGCCTGGGCGAGCAATTGGCAGTACACGGAGGCTGTCCCGACGGGTGCCGAGGGCTGGAGAAGTTCAATGTCGCTACCTCGTCTCAACACGCTCAAGAACGTTACCCGTGTCGGCTGGGACCTCGTTTCGAAGCCTTACGACCTTTCGCCCCTCTTCGACGGGGAGCCGCTCGCGCAGAACGAAAATCTTGGCAATGGTCAGGTCGTCGTCGACTATTCGAACGTCACATCCGGCGCTGTGTACTTCCAGGCCAACCTTACTGGGATCCCTACGGACGGATCATCCACTGGTACACTCAACTTCACTTTCTACTCCTCCGTCAGCGGCGAGAACATCACCGGCGGGTTCTTCCTCGACGGCGATACGCCGTTCTGGATCGATCGGGGCTCCATACGCGGGTTCGACAATTTCTGGTTCACGGATAAATTCTTGACGAATAACCTTTTGCTTGGTGGGACGGGGAATTGGAGCCTCGAGGCTGTGGTGGATAGGACGCTGTTGGAGGTGTTTTTGGCAGATGGGGAGAGGAGCGGGACTGTGAGCTTTTTCCCGGAGGAGAGGTTGGATGGGTTAGTTGTTGGGACGAATGGTCTGAACGAGGGGATCGAGGTTAGTTTGGTTGTTAGGGGATTGGAGAGTGCTTGGGCGGATGAGGAGGTGGGGGGTGGGAATGGGACGGTTTTAGGGAATGTAACGACGAGTGCCTGAGAGTTGTGGTTTGAGTATTTGGACATTCTATATCGGTTCACATAGGACGTAGAAAAAAGGACATGGTGTAGGGTTGCATGATTTATGTATATCGTACACTATTGGGTACTGCATAGCAATAACCAGGCGCCATGAATCCGCGCTTCGATACCCTCGTGGTGTACTTACGCCACAGTGGCACCCAGCGCCTTCTCATGCTTCAAAATATCGTCGATCGTCTCATCAACGATCTTCTCCCAACCAATATACTCCTTCATGCCGATGATCTTCTCCGCGCTACTTCCATCTAACTTATACCACTTCAATGCCTCGCCGGCCGGCTCCTCAGAAGCTACAAACAACCTATCCTTCAACTCAGGCCTGGTCTTGCCCAAGTACTCCACCGCGTCTTTCCAGACCAAATCGACACCGTTCAAAACGACTCTCTCAGGCTCCTTAGAGGGAGGGGCGTCCAAGAGGAGAACGTGAGCACGCGCGACATCGGAGACGTGGATGCAGCAAGGGCCAGGGAGCATCTGCGCAGTTGGGAGGGGACGTGGAGTACCAGGAGTGCCTTTGATGAGTTCGTAGATGTAGTTGTTGGAAACGGCGGCGGGGGTCTTGAGAAGCTTGGATTGAGCGTCCGTGGCGGGGCCGTAGACGTAGGGAGGGATTACTGTAAATAAGTTGTCTCATCAGTACTAGAGCGATTGCGAGAATGAGTGATGTCGAGACATGGATGGGACCCGTACCGGTGGCGAGGTCGACATCGGGGTGTTCTTTCGCGAACTTCCATGCGGCCTCTTCTGCGGCTTTCTTGGAGCCCATGTATACGACGTGGACAGGCGCGTCGGGCTTCGATGCCTCTTCGAGAGTCATTGGGTTCCAATCTGGATTGTCGTGGCCATAGTTGATGCATGAGACGAGTAAATATTCAGCCTGAGAAATTATGACTGGTATGAGGTCCCGAATGGGAGACAGTACTCGCCTTTGTCGCTAAAGATCTTGTCCGACCAGCTGTATTGTATGTCGATGACGGAGGACACACTGGCAGTGACGACGATCTTCTTCACGTTTGAGGCGAGAGCTTGCGCGAGAATACGGTTCGTGACCGCAGTCTATGGATCAACATTGCGTTAGCAATAGTGCAAGCGAATTTATGTAATGTGCATACCTTGAGCATAACTTCATTCCCAACGGAAGGGTCCATGCCTGAAGCGACGTGAACCAGAGCCTTCACATCTGCAGAGTACGAAGTCGATCAATCCAGTTCGTCAGCGAGGACGATCTTGGTGAAAGAAGAGCGCCTCGGTATCATACTGACCCTTGAACGCCTCAGTAAGGTCTGATGAGGCGATATCGTCTATAATGGCAACTTCAAACTTGTCGCCGTAGGATGAATACGACGACTTCACTGCCTCCGCCTTCGCTGATCGGACGGTTCTGAATCATTGTCAGTGATGTTGCTGACAGGTAGCGCTGTTTCGGTGAACCACATACCCGCGGACTTTATGCCCCGCTGCGACAAGTTGGTTGATGATATGAGAGGCAATAAAGCCAGAGGCGCCAGTGACCTGTATAGTAGGCGTTAGGGCGACACAAGTAGAGGATAGCACTCGCTGACATACTAGGATGAAAGACATCGTGTTGATGAAATAGACAGGTGCAGGCAAGTGGATTCAGGCTCTTGGTGAAGGTATGAGATGGTCAGGTCAGTTCAGGATATATATACCCATCGTCTCGTCCAACTGAAGGCGTTTATGCTGGCGCCCGCGGTCTGATCAAGTAATGGGGCTTCTGCAGTAGGTAACTAAAATCGTCGACACATGTTGGCTGGGACGCCTAGCAAAAGAGTGCACGGTAAGATTCCGTTTCAAGCTACGGTCACTTCTGCGGTCACTGCGAGACGGGCCTAACAGTGCGGTGCACTTCTCGTGAAGCGCTCTTCATTCGATGAAGCTCACCAAGCCGCTGTGGCGCCTGACGTGAGCGCACCATATGAACAGAGAGCATACAGCCAGACGATAGAATTGGCGCAGTCTAGATATTTCAGTGAGTCATTCCGGAGAGCTGTGGACAAGTTAAACTTGGTTTCTTGGAGGCTTGGCCGCGTGGGTCATCGCCAGACTTGGCTGCGGGGAACAAGGTGGCGCGTGTGACAATGTCACGCTATACAGCCCCGCTCTTTGCCGAAACTCTAAATTTTGTGCCGCGTCCACGGTCGTCCGCAACATTTCGCTCGTCGTACAATCCGTACTCAGTACTAATCCCTTTCCTCCCAAAAAGTATCCAGCATGAGGTTCGTACCATTGCTATCGCCTCCATCGAAGTTCATGTTAACTCAAATCATCATTCTACTCCGGCGTGTACTCTGATGTATAATCCGCGGTTGTGACGAGTAGCAGCAAGCTCTCAGTGGCAAGTGTGCGGGGCAGCGTTAAGGAGCTCCTGGCTGAAGCCCAGGGTGAAAAGAGGCGTAACTTCGTTGAGACCATCGAGCTCCAGATCGGTCTCAAGAACTACGACCCTCAGAGGGACAAGCGTTTCTCGGGTACCGTCAAGTGCGTCTCATTGCCTCTCGCATCTTATACAAGTGAGCTAATGTTTGACCTGTACAGGTTGCCCAACGTTCCCCGTCCCCGCATGTCCATCTGCATTCTCGCCGATGCCGCCGACATCGATCGTGCCAAGCAGATCGAACTCGAGTACATGTCCGTTGATGACTTGAAGAAGTGAGTTCTGCGCTCGAGCTTGAATTTATGTTCCGGTCTGACGGTTTGCACCGCAGGCTCAACAAGAACAAGAAGCTCGTCAAGAAGCTTGCCAAGAAGTACGACGCTTTCCTTGCCTCTGAGGCTCTCATCAAGCAGATCCCCCGTTTGCTCGGTCCCGGTCTCTCCAAGGGTTAGTTCACGTCCGCTGCGCACTCTCACTGAAGGTTCTAACCGTTTCGCGTCCTTAGCCGGCAAGTTCCCCACCCCCGTGTCGCACGCCGAGGACTTGAACAACAAGCTCATCGAGGTTAAGTCAACCATCAAGTTCCAGTTGAAGAAGGTTCTCTGCTTGGGTGTCGCCGTCGGCCATGTCCAGATGACCGATGACCAGGTTTTGGGCAACGTCATGTTGAGTGCGTACCCCTCTATGTTTTTCTCTATGTAGCGATGTTGCTGATCGACTCTGTTTCGGAAATAGGCATCAACTTCCTCGTCTCCCTCTTGAAGAAGAACTGGCAGAACGTCAAGTCCCTTCACATCAAGTCGTCGATGGGCAAGCCCATCCGTCTCTTCTAGACGACCTACCTTTTCCCCAACATTACACGTCCCTTCTTGTCGAGAGTAGTCGCTCGAAGGAGGTGCAATTTTCACATCTGACACGCGGGCCGTAATGCATAACATGAAGCCCCGCACGCTTATACCAACGGCTTTCGGGGGTTGTTTTGGGAGTCGATTGGGAGCTGATGCGGTTCGTTGTCGCTGGATATGGGAGTTGTATCTTTTCCTCGATCTTTGTCTGCTTTCACTTTGTATCGATAGCGTGTTGTTGATGGGTATCGTGTTCTACTTATGCATCCTATGGCTATGCTAATGAATACATGGTTTCCCTGCAAAGTTCTTGTTAGTGTGACTTGAAATGTTCTTCAGACATGTAAGCTCCAGAGACCTCACCCGCCTTCGTATCGCAATCCTGGTTTTGATTCCGGCCTAGGGGACGGGGATCTTGTCGTTGGTTCGATCCCGGCGTAGAAATAATCAGAATAAACCCTGTCGCTGGTTCGATCCCGGATCAGAGGAAACCCAGAACGGTACCCTGCTGCTGGTTCGATCCCGACACAACGATAATTAAAGTTGAATCATGCCGCTGGTTCGATCCCGGCGCGGAGAGAATCTTTAGACGAATTGTGTCGTTGGTTCGATCCCGGCTTACTGGAGGAAACAAGTCGCTGGTTCGATCCCGTCCCCCACTTCGCGCCGCAAATCCACCACACCTTCAAGTTCCTCCAGTTAAAAACACTTGCGCTTGCCTTTGTACGTCAAATATTTTCGGCATACCAATCCTCGTCTACCAATTATTCGGGCATAGTACAAAGTTTCTAGGAAGCGATGAACGGTCAGTAATAATATGTCCTCTGATCCCAACTTGTCCACGTCTCTGAAGCGAAACTAAAGAGAAACGCTATGGTAAAAGGTTCGATCCCGGCGTAGAGATAATCATGATGATTTGTCGTGGTTCAAAGTAAACTATTATGTCGATGGTTCGATCCTGGCTTACGGAGGAAGTAAGTCGCTGGTTCGATCCCGTCCGCACCTTCGCGCCACAAATGCACCACAACTTCAAGTTCCTCCAGACAAAGTGACTTGCACTTTCCTCGACATGTAAAATATTTTCTACGCACATACCAATCTCCGTCTACCAACTGTTAGTGCATACAAATATCTCTGGGAAGCGATGAGCGGCCGGTAATTATATGTCCTCTGACTCTCCGACCGTTCTTTCGGAACTCTGCCGCCACACAGCGCCACACCTTCCTGCAGCTTCTGCTGACCTCCGCCGTAAACAAAGACGACTCCATCCACAAAATACATTCTCATATGTGAGCCCGTCGAACAATCTCGAGTTGTCTGAAATTATCTGTCCAGACAGTCCGTCGGAGGGCGAGTTTCTGGCCCGTCCGCGTGCTCCGTGGCCTCCACCTTGCTTCTGCCACTTCTTCTACGTCTCTTGAGGCGAAACAAAACGATAGGATATCGTAAAAAGTCCTTCGAACCGGGATCGAACCAGTGACCTCGGGATTTTTTAGCGGAGTTTGAACCAATTACAGTCCCACGCTCTTCCAACTGAGCTATCGAAGGATACTTGTGGAGGAAACGGCGAGGAATATGAACGGATGGATGGAAAAGTCGCGAAACGCCATCTTCGGCTATCTCCGGACGCGTCGACGCGCGCCGCCACAACTTGAGCTTGAACAGCTTGCCTAAGTACACCAACCTGCCACACTGCTGATTCTTCCCCTGCTCAGTTCTTCTCCTTTCGCTTTGTATCATTCATCGTCACTCGTAACCTGCCATGAACCGCATCTTTGGGTCTTCAGCGAGCAAAAAGCCTAAACCTTCGCTTCAGGATGCAATAGCCTCAGTCAGTCTAATGCACTCTCGCGCGTCTCGATGCAAGTGCTGCTGCTTATGACCTCATGATCTTATGTTGGAAAGACAGATGCTCGGGTCGGTTCTATAGAAGTGAAGATCAAGAAGTTGGATGGGGAGCTAGGGAGATATAAGGAACAGATGTCGAAGCTGAGGAATGGACCGGGAAAGGTGCGTCTCGTCGCTGTGTTCTTAGGACTGCACATTGTGCTGATAGGCTACATTGCTCTTATTCTCTATATATTTCCTTTCACCCCGTCACCTTCGCTTCGATATCTTTCACGGCGATAGGCTGCGATTCAACAACGGGCTATGCGTACTCTCCAGCAGAAGAAGATGTACGAGAACCAGCTCGCCCAGCTCACACAACAGACATTCAACATGGAATCCGCCGCGCTCGCCACAGAGAACCTGAGGAACACAATGGCTACGGTTGACGCTATGAAGACGGCGAACAAAGAGTTGAGGAAACAGTATGGGAAGATTGACGTCGACAAGATCGAGGTGCGTTTATTGTCCGTTGTGCTCTGTCTTCTCTTTCGACAGGACTTCTTTCTTTGACGTCAATCATGACTGTGATCCTTAGAATATGCAATTTGAGCTCGAGGATCTTGTCGAGCAGGCAAACGAGATACAAGAGACATTAGGACGGTCGTACGCTGTACCAGACGAAATCGACGAAGCTGACTTGGAAGCGGGTACGCAGCTCGTGTCTTTTTGCTTATTTAACTGTGTATCCGGTCACCTAATTCATTGATCCTCTATGACACAGAGCTGGATGCCCTCGCACTCGAGGAAGAGGACGAAGGCACCTCTTACCTCGCAGACATCAACAAGGCGCCCGACTTCATCGACGAACCACCCGTCGAGCTCGGAGAACAGACGCCCGCTGCGCCGGAGGCGGTCAGGACGACATGATAGCGCAGTTCTCATATTATTCTTACTCAGATTGACTCAGACTTTTGGCCCTTTCCAAGTGTGGACCCTCGTCAACTTCTTGGCATGATATGCTGCGGCGCGCTGTGGTAGGAAGTGGTGTATGTATTGTACGTTATTTGGATGATATATGGGACTTCGCACTGTGCATTCGCTATCCATGAGAGGGAGTTGGGGGATAACTGTGTATATACTGTCTTGTAATGTGGAAGCTCTGATATAGAGTGGTATGTCGGTCAATCAATCACTTGTAGGTATGTGTTTAAATCGCCTTGTCTCTCGTCCAGTTATGGGTACACACACGGTCGAGCCTGAAGAGAATACTTACTCCTCTTAACAATCCGAGTGTGACAAGTTTAACGATGGCATAGCATCTTCTCGAGTGCAAGTGGGTATGGGGAACGCCACACAATCTCCGTGTGGCACTCGGCGCCAAAACGGGTAACTAAGTTCAGACTTTTCCCGAGATTTTCTCGTCTTTTCTCCTCGTCCTTACCTCAATCCGCCTTCGGTCACCGATGTCTATGGCTGGCCTGCGACTTGTATTCCATAGCCTCTGTTTTTAATTACCCGCGTAGTTTCGTAGCTCAGCTCAACTAGCCAATTTCTTGCTTCACGCATCTCTGTCGTATCGAGTATACTACCATGGCGGACAACGACTCAGACTCGGACATCGACGCTGAGACTCTACAGGCTCAGATCGATATGTCGATGGCATATGCTCAGGATATTGTCTCTGGCTGGATGAAAGCTTCTGGGACGTCTTCTAGTTCTGTGAATGGGAGCGGGAGTGGGAGCGTTGCTTCTGGGAAGAAGAGGGATGTAGAAAAGGAGTTGGAGGAGATGATGAAGAGACCGCCTAGGTGCGTTTATTTACCTTCAATTGGAAAATATTATTTCGATTGATTGGTCGTACGTTTGTGTTACTTCATATGGTGCATTCAATCACTCTGTGCCGTCCGTACAGGTTGGGTGTGGGTATGACCGTCCCCGACTCCGCCGGACCTTCCGGGAAAGAAACTAGTCAGCTCAAGAACAAACTCATGGGCAAGAAACGAAGAAGAGATAACGATGCAGATTCGCATGAAGTAATCATGAATGGGACTACGAAAGGTGGGAAGAAGGATGAGGAGAGTGACGAGGAAGAGAGTCGAGTGGGTGCGATACGGAAGAAGGCGAAGGTGGATCCGTTTGAGAGGAAAGTGAAGAAGAAGAAGAAGGGTGGTAATGCAGGGGAGAGAGGTCAAATGGTTAATGGGGAGGAAGAGGGTGTTGGAAAGGCGAAGGAACGTGATGGCAAGGGCGTGGTGACGTTGTTTGAGGTACCTTCGTTTGGGGCGGGTCAGAGCGAAAGTGGGACGGCAGAAGACAAGATGGACGTGGATGAGGACGATAGCAACCATAGGAGAGCTTCGGGGAGAGTAGGGACCGTCGTAGAAGCCAATGGGACTGGCGAGGGCAAGAAGAGGAAGAAGAAACGGAAGAAGAATCGTATTGCTGAAGTTGGAGGCGAAGAGCAGAATCCTGGGAGTGTGGCTCCCGCTACCACCAAATCATCTCACCCAGTCACGAGTTCTGTCTCCCCACGCAACGCTGAAAAATCAGGTTTGTGCCTTCTGATTGCTTTCCACCTTAGCCAGAAATTGAATCATCATATATAGCATCCCCACATAAATCGCCTCCAAAACCGTCCAAGCCAAGCGAGCCTGTACCACCATCAACTACACTACCACCCGTGCTCTCCAATTCTCCAACAGCCCCTGCACCTATGCCGACGAGCAAAGCACAACCTGCCGCCACATTGTCCAGCACGCCAACGGCCTCCTCGTCTGCGTCTGTATTGAACCTCACTGGCCCTCCGCCAGAAACCCGAGATTTTGCTGATGGTAGCACCAAGAAAAAGAAAAAGCGGCATAGGAAGAAGAAGAAACAGAAGGGTCTGGATGGAGGGGTAGGTGGCGAGACGGCGGATGTGGAGATGGGGCAGCCTGAAGACGAAGGAGGTGGAAGCGACTGATGATATATGGGATCGCTGTATCTAGTATTTCTTGGATAACCATCCCTCAACTTTACACTCAGACTTCCCTGTAGTCATAATATAGTTCTCATTCTGTTTAGTACCAATGTGCATGGGCGCGAACTTGCTTGGGCCACAATTGAAGCGCCACACGATCACAGGAACGGGGGTGGCTGAAGAAGCCCTTCCACAACTTACCCCACATCCACTACCATCTCGTTCCTATGCATTTATACTTGGGCGAGAGTCCTCGCACTCTCTATCTTATAACGAGCTCTCAAGAAGAGAGTGTAGGTCGCCCAAGACGAGCTCTTGTCTTCCGAGCGTCACAAGCCAACCCTTCTCAAGCAATCGTAGAATTCCTCCCAAAGGACGAGGTCGATATCACCAGTGTTGTGCGGCTGACGAGTCGATCGGTCAAAGGATGCCTTGGACTCATCTCCGTCGGAAATGGTCTGTCTATTAATCATAAATTCTCTGTGAGCTTGAGGACTCATGGGCTGCGTTTGTGTGAAGACTTGTTTGTGGCCGTGGTCACTGCCTCTTCAGAAATCGGGAATATTCGTTCCTCGGCGCGCACCCCAGAAAACGTCTCCAAAATACACGAAGTAGCATTCTACAGTCTTACCTCGTCAATGTGGGACGACCTCGCTGCTGCTGCCGATACGTTACCGTCTCCATCTTTCGCCGGTTCGGGCTCTGAACCAGACCTCATGTCCTACCGCGAGAACACAACGAACTCCTCGCCCATACCGCCGCCCGTGTTCGAACATCCTTGCGTGCCATTAACGAAGATCCTATCGAGTGGGTCGTTCTATTATGCATCGGGAAACCAGCACTGGGATTTGAGTACTCGGTTGCAGGAAAGGCTGGCAAGAGATGAGTGGTCGAGAAGGGAAGTGGGATTGTTCGATGAGAGATTTGTGTGGAACGAGTACATCGTGAGGAGCTTGCTGGACTTCAGAGATAGATTGGATGAGCGGGAGAGGGATGACTTCGACAGGTGCCAGTTTGTGGTAAGTTTCTATTTCGCCCACCCTTGTTTGCCACAATTGTGGCGCTCTGATGTGGCGAGCGCCTACTGTGGACGTTCGAGAGGAACAGTTCCTGACGACGTTCCCGTTTAGCTGTTGGCCATTCAAGGATACGTCGGAGTCTTCAATCTTGCCTTACCTGCACCACCGACAGATGGAAAGCCCACGGTTGCTAGTTTGTGTCTCATCTCTCGATTAGGATGGAAACGAGCGGGTACTCGGTTCAACACTAGAGGTGTTGACGATGATGGAAATACTGCAAACTTTGTCGAGGTCTGATAATCTCTACAGGCTTGATCTTTTGAGCTTCTCCTGACGGATTTCCTTCACAGACCGAGACCCTCTTGAGCACGGATCAGAATTGTTACAGCTACGTCCAAGTCCGTGGAAGTGTCCCGTGTATGTGTATCTCGTCCAGTCTTCCTCCACACCGCTTCCCTATCGCTCACGCCCAACGTCCACAGTGTTCTGGGAACAGCAAGGTCTACAAACGTTCGGACAACGCATCCAAATAACTAGGCCCCAGGCCTCGCAACATGCCTTCGATCGTCATTTCTCAACCCTCATCGAGCAGTACGGTGAAGTCAACGCCATAAACTTGCTCGGAACCAAAGAAAACGAGGCAGCGCTGACCACAGCGTATGCTAAGCATGTGGACAACGCCAAAGGCCTTCCCATAGTCATCACGCACTTTGATTTCCACAACGCGGTCAGGCTCGGTGGACATGACTCGGTTATTACGGGCGTGAAGTGTGTTGCTCTTCTCCTACTTTATGATTCACAGGTACTAACGTCTGGACAACAGGCGTGTAAAACATATTGCTGACAATATCGAAGATTTCAGCTTCACGATGTATGATCTCGGAACCGATGAAGTACTCGTACGCCAAAAGGGTGTATTCCGCACCAACTGTCTTGACTGGTGCGTTGTCCTCTCTTCTCGAGCTAATCCAGACCCTCGCTTATCTTCTGTGCAGTCTAGATCGAACTAACTTCGTCCAAGACATCGTCTCTCGTGCTGCTCTAGAAGTATTTCTTGGTCACGTTCGGCCGGAGTGGATATCCTCAACATCGTTATGGTCTTACCATCGGGAACTGTGGGCCGAGAATGGGGATGCGTTGTCGAGGATCTATGCAGGTACAGGCGCCCTCAATACGAGCTATACGAGAAGTGGAAAGAGAACACTGGCCGGTCAGTCTCTGAGCCATAACATATCAGCCGAGACCTGTGTCTTATTGACGTACTTTGCCCTTCATTACACGGTTGGACAGGTGTACTGTCGGATGCGACGAAGAGTGTGTCAAGGGCGTACATCAACAATTTCCAAGACAAGGGAAAACAAGTCGCTATCGACATGTTCCTCGTGCGTTCCATATCTTCTTGACATTCGTGTGACCGAAGGATGTTCACGACATTGTCCCATATGGCAACGATATTGCTAGGGTAATATGAGCAATCAACGACAAGTCACCATTTTTGACCCTATCCATGATTCTGTTCGAGCCGCTCTGGAACAACGGTACGTCTGAAGACATCTTGACTAAGCGGGAAGAGAAGGACTGAAGTCACATCGTCGTGAAAGGCTTCCAGAATATTCCTCGCCAAAGAATTGCACTATCTTCGTGGGCACTTGGAATCTTAATGGCCGGCCGCCCTCGGAGTCCCTCCTTCCTTGGCTTTACCCCAGACCTAGTGAGTGCTATCAGAACACCTCGAGCGGAGATGACCTGTCGTGCTAATCTTCTTTCACTGTTGCGCCATGAACGCAGACGCTCCCGAGTGAGTGCCTTTCGCTCTTCTCTCGTGCTGCACGCCACGGTGCACTTTAGCTTCCTTGTTTGAGGGTCGCTTATCGTCTGCTTGCTCCTCGGATCGCTGAATTTCTTTCCTTCTCGATCCGTTCCACAGCCCAGATATGTTCGTGTTAGGTTTCCAGGAGATTGTACCTTTGACGGCACAACAAATTGTCCAAACAGATCCTGAGAAAAAGTAGGTGTTTCGCCTTGTTTTCCTAGAAATTCGTTGTGCATACCCTTATTTTGCCTTTTTCGTTTCGTCGTCGCCCGACCCGGGGGGACTTGTTACGGCCGTTGATCTCATCACTTCCTGTGCCTTTTTGGTCTTCTACTTTTACTCCTCCTCTCCCTGTTCTCTCATTCGTGTCCCTCACATACACATTTGCACGAACATTCTAATCGAGGATATTCTATTTCTGGCCCACAGCCTCACAAAGCTTATCCCACATTTCCCGGACAGCCTTTTTTTTTCTCTACGGCGTTCTTTGTTCATGACGGTTGTTCACCTTTTCCGTGCCTTGATACACTGTCCCTACCCACCGTCATCTCCGTCATCCTCGCCAATTCGCTGTCCCCAACCGTCTCACTGACTGCTCTGCTATCTTGCGTTTCAGGCGTTTATGGGAGGCCAGAATATTAGATGCTCTGGCACGGAGGCCGAACAAGAAATGCGACTACGTGATTCTCAGGAGCGAGCAGGTGTGTTTCTCTTACTGTTCGCTGTCAAATGCACTCAACTCTGATTTTTTTCCGCGCCAGCTTGTAGGGACGGCGTTAATCATCGTGGTCAAGAGCGTCTTGATCGAAGTTATTCGGAACGTGGAAGCGACCACAAGGAAGGTGAGCCTTCATGCCCATCCTTCCTTCGTCCACGGGCTTCCTCTTACGAGCGTGACCCTTCCGAAAATCACGCGCAGACCGGTCTTCGAGGCATGTCGGGCAACAAGGGAGCCGTCGGTGTCCGACTCGAATATCACGACACCTCGTTCTGTTTCCTCACCGCGCATCTCGCAGCTGGTCACTCAAACGTGGAGGAGCGCAACGCAGACTACCACACCATCGTCAATGGCCTACATTTCTTGAAGGGAAAGACCATCGACAGCCACGAGTAAGTCTTTAGTTCCCTGGTTTAGCCGGGATTACTCCATTCGAACTTTCGACCCACGACACATACCCTTCTGCTCTCACGGGTTGGGATGTTTACCCCCGCCAGTCTAAGTACATCCTCGCCCACTATCTTTAGTGCGCCGCGGTCTGAGCTTTTAACGACCCAGTAATCGGTACTTCTGCCGCCGGCAGATAGTGTTTTAAGGGACTTTGGCTTAATGAACTCGTGTTCATGATACTGATTATGGGTTTTATTGTGGCGTGGCGTGTGTGCTGGCGTCGATTTTACAGTAATGTCGTGTGGCTGGCGGACACCAATTATCGGATCGACCTGGACAATGAACTGGTTCGATCTTTAGCTCTTGAAGATGATTACGATGGGCTGCTTGCAGCTGACCAGGTATGTTTAACACAATCATCATTCAGAGAGTCAACAGTCTTAGCCAAAGACATGATCGGCCCCTTGTTCCTCGGATATCTCACAGTCATTCCAGATTTACGTTTGCTGATCTGAGCCCGCATATAGTTGAAGCAAGTGATGGATGCTCGTCTGGCTTTCGAGGGCTACCAAGAAGGCCCGATACTTTTCCGCCCTACGTACAGATATGATGTGGGCACGGATAACTACGACACGAGCGAGAAAATGCGGATACCTGCTTGGACAGGTTTGTCAAACGCCACCCCATTTCACTTCTTCCCTTTCCCTGACATAGACCTTCTCTATTCCATTTTCTGATGGCTTTCGTTCATCTCTGTCAATAAAGACAGGATTTTGTTTCGCAGTTCTCAGCTCGATCTCTCGGCATACTCAAAGGCGGACCTGCGAGGATCGGATCACCGCCCAGGTTTGTCTCCAGACTTTCTTCTCTTCCATTTTTGGTCGGCTGACTATGCTCATCATTCCCGCGCGATCTGCTAGTCTTTGCTGTCTTCCGAGCTACAGTCCACGTCATCGATCCACTCAAGAAAGCAGAGCTCTCCCGACTTCTCCTTGATAGCGTGACAGCCACCGCACCTGGTGAGAAGCTGGACGAGAAGCTGGCAGCACTAGCGTTTTTGCCGTCCGTTGGCCTTGCTGGAGGCCCAGACGATTGTACGTGTAAGACCCCTTTCCAGCTCGTTCCTGCTTGAACGGTTGTTCCTTGTCGCTGAGTTCGTTCTGACATTGAATCTTGCAACGTGTTAGTACCCCCGCCTAGCTCCGAGGACGAGGCGTGGTGGGACGGGCCCGGTGAGTTCTTCACCCTATCGGCTATACAGCTGCTGCTTCTTCATTCAATCTTCTTCGACCACGTTTGTCGGTCCTCGGCATTCTTCCTTTACAGTTGTCCCTTTTTCCCTGCTTATCAATCTCTTGGGTGTCATGACCTCTGTGTTGTAACCTTGCCTTGGATCTGCGAACAAATCCATATTCGCATTGGGTCGCTGACCTTTCTCACACGCTCCCATTCGTTCTCGATGTTGGGTCTCCCGAGAATGTTTTGCTTACGTTTATGTTTGTTGGTCCGTCTAGACCATCCAGGAGGGGTGATGCCTATCTCGCTGTCCCCGACCGACGAGTTCAAGCTGTCATATTCGAACGGCTCCTCGACCTCGGCCTCGACCAATCCCTTCGACTCGTCTTCTACCGAGTCACCGCTATCAGCTTCACCCTCGTCGTCCGTAGAAGAGCTCATCGATCAAGCCTTGCAGCTCCCTACGCCCATGATACCAGTGCCATCACCGTCACCTTCCGCTACGACTACGTCGATAGAAAATAAAGCCACCGCAGAGACCAAGCCCTCGTCGGGGATGTCGAAGAGGAAGCCTCCGCCGCCCCCTCCACCGACGAGAGGGTCGAACACGGGCGGAGCGGCTGGTGCGGCTTCGAGTGGATGATTCGGTGGCGGAAAGTTTTGCCCGGGCACTGATTGCTGAGAGTGGACGGAAAGTTTCGTTTGTAGTGTATAACGTATCTTGCTTGCTGTTGGAATGCCTGCGATGTTTGGATGTACGCCTATGTTACCCTTGTATGATTGGTTTGTCCCAGAGCTGGAAGGCTGTTCGCTCAGTATTCAGAAACGAAGCAAAGCAGATATCGCTCGGAATAGATACTTGGGACAAGGACAAGAAAGAAGAAAGCAAATGCGTCCGAGGATCCAAATTACAAGCATATGCGGATGGACAACCTGCGAATAGCGCGAAAGTGCCACAGACAGATACCACGAAGAGAAGCTACGAAGAGACGTAATCACCGAGTCGGATACCGTGTACCCTTCCAAGTACTTCGACGCACACAAAAAAAGGAGCTGTAAAGAGAGAAGAGTGACCCAGAAGATCCATCAGATGAGACCCTGCTTCTTGAGATCCTCGTAGGTCTTGCGATTGTAGACGTTGCCCTCTTCGTCTTCGAGTTCTTCGGTCGTCTCCTGCTCGAAGATCTCGTGGCGCCCTTCTTGCTTTAGCTTCTCTGCGACTGTTAGGAAACGTTCATGAGTCAACGCCCATGACCAGAAAGGAAGGCGAAGTGAGGTAGGAAGGGTCATATGAGAAGACAGAAACGCAACGTACGTGAGAGGGCGTCCTCGATTCTTGTTATCTCGTGGAAATGCTTTGTATTCGGAAGCCCGAGCGCGCGCATCCCGAAGGCATGTCGGGATTCTTGGAAGTGGCGGTCGAAGTTTTTTCTAAGGGTAGCGTGAAGAAGGAAAGAAGGGAGGGAGGTATTGTCGGTATGAGCATTTCGACCAAGATAGACCGGGATAGACTTACCGTCCCATGTATACATGATCTGAACAAATCTCACACCGGTATTCCACACCCAACCCATGCAACTTGTACAGCCAATAGGGAATAGGCTTGCCGTCCCATCCAAGCGGCAACTTTAGCGGATTGTAAATTCTCTCTTCTTCTTCCTCTTCCTCCTCGCCACCTTCCGCACCGCCCTTCCCATTCGCCCCGCCTGCAGCCTGCTTGGGCTGGGAAGCGGCCTTCTCCTGCTCAAGTAGTTCTTGCTCGCGTTCACGGGCGGTGAGCGAGAATCGACGCTCTACGTTCGATTTCGTGTCGTTGACGACGGGAAGGAGTGTCGATAGAAGAGTAGTACAGAGGTAGGAGAGCAGCGCGGCCACTCGGTGTTTATCTTTGGACTTCGAGGTGGAGGCATGTGGCGTCGAAGTGGCAGTCGATGGTGGACCGTTGGGATTAGCGGGTGGTGGTGCGGCGGTGGACTGTTTCTGGGACGCTTTGATGTGCTTTTTGGACGTTAAGTGGGCATCGTATACTGTTTGCTTGGAGTACATCTTTTGACCTTCGTGACAAGATAAGGGTTGTTTGAATGTGATGGCGACGGGATGAAGTGTGAGGTGAATAATTGGTACGGTACTTACATGCAGAACACCAGATACCCTCTGAGCCGTTTCCGTTCGCGTCTACCTGCGCTTTTGGTTGTTTCGTCTCCTCCCATCCCTCGATCTCCCCAGCTTCCCATTTGACGTCGAAGTCAGCTTGTGTTTGCATTTGTTGCGATTCGATATCGACAAGAGGTTGTGTCCGGCGCAGGAAAGAGGTAAGATATGAATGGAGGGAACGGATATAACTTCGCGGAGGGTAAGCGTACGAATGTATTAGAACACAAATGTACATACGCTTCGTAGTCCTTCGTGAATCTTGTCTCCTTCGATAATTCACGGTGAACGACACCGGATTCAGAGAGCATGAGGACGTCAAGGTATTGGAGGTACGGTAGATGTCGCCCAATGTTCTTCAAGTTGTTGTAGGCAGTGTGGTTCGAGTATAGATCGAGATATCTGCCATATGCTTCCTCTCCAGAGAAAAGCATGCCGACCGCTATGTGGCGTAGGGCGAACAACATAAGTAAAGCCGCCGTACAGACAACACAGTCACTCACGGTCTTCCTCCACATAGTCCTCATCAGCGTCTTCGGCGCCTCCCTCATCAAGAAGAGCAGCTAATTCGAGTTCGTAGCCATCTGCACCAGCATCAGGATACTTGTTGTGGTGTTCCTGAATTTTGGCCAACCTAGAGTAAAATTCCGACAGCTCAATGCCGTTCTGGTTTGGTGCGCTCAACGAGCTCGCTTCAGCTTTACGCGTGTCCTCGTCCTCGTAGAGCGTGTTTAATGCCGTGACTCGAGCTGATACGCGGTCAAGAATCTGGGAAGCTTTGTGTTCGTTTTGAAGACGTGTTTGGTGAGCATTTGTTGGTCGAGAAAGAATTGTGTAGAGGGCGCGTTCGAAGCGTTCAGTTTCTTCATGCGTCTGTCGGTGCACCTCGAAGATAGAGTCCATGTTCCGTTGCCGTGAGCGCCGTAGACGTAAAGCTTGTCGTCGCCGAGCACAGAGTGGACGAGCGTGGCGCTTGTTCGACGGCGCGCGTGATGGCAGGAGGAAAGGCGGGATTTCAAACTCCGCTCTTCTGCTCTGCTCCTCCACCATGTCCGGAATCAACGCTGGCGACGACGTACGTTTGTCTCATTGATTCTTTTACTTTCTGTACTGAAAACTTGTGTGCTGGATAGAAACTTGTATTCGAGTCCTCCGAGGCGGTCCCAGTTGTCCCAACATTCGACGACCTGGGATTGAAGGAGGATCTCTTACGTGGAATCTACGCATACAGTGCGTCCACAACACACTTTTGAGCTATCTCTTGAAACACTTGGTTTGCTCTCAACTAACTAACCTTTATGTGTGGCCAGACTTCGAAAAGCCATCAGCTATCCAGCAGCGTGCTATAGTGCCAATAACCCAAGGGCGCGACGTGATTGCGCAAGCCCAATCTGGGACAGGAAAGACCGCAACATTCTCGATCTCCATCCTCCAATCTATCGACGTTACCGTTCGCGAGACGCAGGCACTCGTTCTCTCTCCCACGCGCGAACTCGCCACACAGATTCAGTCTGTCGTGCTCGCTCTCGGCGACTACATGAACGTCCAATGCCACGCCTGCATTGGTGGCACTTCTATCGGCGAGGATATCCGCAAGCTTGAGTACGGGCAACACATCGTCTCGGGTACGCCGGGGAGAGTGTTTGACATGATCAGGAGGAGGACGCTGCGGACAAGGAACATTAAGATGCTGGTGTTGGACGAAGCCGACGAGCTATTGAACAAGGGGTTCAAGGATCAAATATACGACGTCTACCGATATCTCCCTCCAGCAACTCAGGTCGTACTTCTCAGTGCGACATTGCCGTACGATGTTCTGGAGATGACGACCAAGTTCATGACAGACCCGATCAGGATCTTGGTCAAACGTGACGAATTGACGCTGGAAGGGATCAAGCAGTTCTTCGTTGCGGTCGAGAAGGAGGACTGGAAGTTCGACACACTTTGTGACCTGTACGACACCCTGACCATCACGCAAGCCGTCATTTTCTGCAACACTCGGCGCAAGGTACGGCAATTTATATACCCCCGGCTAATCTTACCCACTAATTGCTTCCACTAAATAGGTCGATTGGCTCACAGAGAAGATGAGGAATGCCAACTTTACTGTCTCTTCGATGCACGGAGAGATGCCACAAAAAGAACGCGACGCGATCATGGCAGAATTCCGTGGTGGCACGTCGTATGTCGCCCTTCTATTTGTTCTTCTATTCCGTTTTCGTCTCTTCTCACACCTCGTATTGTAGTCGTGTTCTCATCACCACCGATGTCTGGGCCCGCGGAATCGATGTCCAGCAGGTCTCGCTCGTGATCAACTATGACTTGCCTGCGTATGTTATTGACTGCTTTTCCGCCTAGTGCCACAGCTCACACTCTACCCCTTTCCCCTATCCTCAGAAATCGTGAAAACTATATCCATCGTATTGGTCGATCGGGTCGTTTCGGCCGCAAAGGCGTTGCAATAAACGTAAGTCCTTTCCGCCCATCTATTCCAGTCAACCCTCGCTGAACGGACGTTTGGTTTAACAGTTTGTGACCGTGGACGACGTCCGTATCCTTCGGGATATAGAGCAGTTCTATTCCACGCAAATTGATGAGATGCCTGTCAACGCGGCTGAGCTCATCTAAATTACCGTTGCTTCCCTCGACATCCTCCAGTCATGGCCACCGCCTCTTCTGGCCCTTCGTATCGCAACCGCTCACCGTAGCTTCACAACCAGAAGATGTCTTGGAAGAATTGGCAGAGGGTGTACGCTGTTGGATGGAAGGAGTGGCTCGGAGCCCCTGAGGCCCGAGGAAAGATACGGTTGATGTGGGCTCTCTTCGTTTACTCTCTATCTCGTTGTGGACGCTCATTGTGATGTATCGTAGTACCTGTACTTTATGCAGCTTGCCCCCATTGCACTATGTTAGTTGCTAAACCGTGCTCAAATGTGCCACCGCTTTGTGCACGATTGACTTGCAGACTTCAGACTGCAAATAAAGCCTTCCCAGTGTGTTTCGTGCCTGCCGCCACAGTTGCCACCCAACTCAAAGCTTCCAGCTGACGTTCGAGACGGGGTCGTTCGACACCCATCAATATTCTTATGGCCTCGGATGACAGCGGGATGGTGTGAGGGTCTGTTGTATTATGACGGCATACTGACGGAGAATGGAAGCTCGGAAGGTCTCACGTCCCATCTTCCTGATCTTTACCCGTGTGTTCTTGGAGCTCGAGCTCAGAGGTTGATGCTCTGTGGACTTTGGCGCCAGTAGCGGGTTCGCTGAAAGGGGTAGCTCAGGCCAGGCCATATGCAGGTACTAGGGCCCACGGGCACATCCTCCCCCCTCCGCACCTCTCGCCCAACATCGAGCTACAACCGCGTTCTTTTCTAGCCGCCTCCTACATGCTCCCGTATTGTGTAGGACGTTCGTAGGTTCTCTGACCCTGAATATAGCGGATGGTCATTGAGCCAAGATGAGCCAGAGTCATAGTCTCTGAAGGGGTATAACGGCGCGGTCACCATTGCCCCGTCCTCTCTCGTCCGCCCCTTGTCCGTTTCGAGTCTCTATTCGTCCGCCGCCGGATTGCCGCCGGTGTCCGTTACTGCTACCGCTAATTTGGATGAATTCGACCGACGAGGGTGTGGCCACTTTATCCTCGCCTGGTCGACGGGGGCGGCGGTTCCGCATCAGAGGAAATGCATGACTGAACGGCATATGGTGTGTACATTCAAGCCCACTAGCTGGTTGGGCAGTGCTTGCTAACGTCGATGCGTCCTATGAATTACGCCAGGCTATCCGGGCTTTCTAGTCTTCTAGTCCATGGCGGACGTCTTCCGGCTTCCTTACGGCTCATTATTTTTGTTCTTTAGTTCTCACAGCCGTCCCCATTTCGTCTTCGGCAACAACCTACTCTTCAGGGAACCAAAGAAGAGCAGCCACAGGCTCGCCCTTCGCGACCATAGGCGTCTGGATATGGTCTGTCTTTGCGTCGTTGAAGGTGCGTGCGTCTTCCGAATCCTCCTGGGTTCATTTCGTTTTGGATTTACCCACCGGCCTCTCTCTATTTCGCCCTGCATTAGTGAAAGGAGGCAGACTCTGTGACGTCTGCATCGATGCTTATCTACCCCCATGGATGTACTGTCGGCTCTACGTTTTTCATGGTCGATGCATCGTGGAACCTTGAGTCTATCTTCCTCAGGAATGAGCGACGAGTCCCCTCTGTACATGTCTAGGGTGTGAACATACGGTAGCTTGTTCCGTCGAGGATTCACACCGCAAACTTCGACGATATGACCAGCAATCTGGAGAGTACGGGCTACTTACAGTGCGTCGTTGTATCGCTCATCATAGTGGCCCTGCCCCTAGCTCCTCTCCTGTCCCTGACTGACGTCTCGTTTAGACGGGCTTTTGACCTGTGGTCACTACGATCTTTGTCAAACATCCCATCTTATCTCGGGCCCGATTGGGGAACGACATGGATGCGATTGGCCGCGAGCCGCTCAACAATATGCAATGGTCGACACTCTCAAGTTTTCCGAGGCCATGAATATCCCAGGCTACAGACTAAGCATGTCTCGCCAGTATTAATGGAGCTGATGTCGTCGCCAAGTAGAACGGGAATTCTCCGAGTATTTGCGGTTAGCATTCGCAATGATGCACCATGATATTGTGGTTGGAGTTTTGTTTATCCTTTTTCCTCTCTTTCCCCGTGACCGCGGTCTGTTCCATACAGCTGTACGTTATGCACATTCTGATAGGCTCGTGCGTCCTAAATTCGGGGCCTGGGTTTTAGTCGGTCTCAGAGATTGGTCAGCTCGATCTCCGTACTTTGCGCAAACAAGACGGGTGTGCCGGTAAAGAACTGGACTACGTCTCATTCAAGGGCAGCCTGAGCCGGGAGTAACGTCGTCCACGCAAAGTCCACCGGCGTTCCGTCACCATGCTTGGTGTGCGTGTTTGTTTTGTTCCTGCTTGTTCATTTCGGTGACACGGATTCCTCTCTCTGTCTTTACCGTTCAGGTGTACCTTTGCTATGAGCATCTTGCCGTGTTCTCGCCTCATTTCCGCTTGCATGTGCCTCGAGATCGAGGGCATGTGGGTAAACAAGAATAGTGGTCCAGTCCTGGCAGCTTCGAACTGGAGGCAGGTACTCACGGCCATCACTGATGATAGTCGCGATGTACACAATCTATTTTTGCTGTTCGTTTTGCGTGCACGCTCGGCGAGTTCACTGACCCAAGGCGAATCCTGGGCAGCGGCTCTGGTTCTAATCGACCTGGACATATTCCAGCCTGAGTGTACTATCTGATTCTATCTAGGTATTTGCGCATTTGTACTTGTGGTCACCATGGGACAGTCCAGTACCTGCTTCCAATAAGCCACGACACCCTATGTTCTTGGAAAACATTGTTGCTCGTGAGGACAAACATATTCGACCTCAACCGTCGGCCGAATCTGGCCAAGTTCATCCTGGGGCCCCTATATTTTCTCTTTTTCCTGCGCCCCCGCCTCAACCTCTCATTGGTTCGTTCTCTCATTGGCTCAGTCTACCTTGGCGGTGGTAGCCGTATGACTGCCTGTGAGAGGCTTTCGCACTGTGTGGAATCGATGATTTCGGACCTACAGCGCCATGATATCCCCATTCTCTATCTCATTACCGAGGGATCAGACGGCCATGTTCATCTCGACGCAATCGATTTCATCCTGTTTAATCTCACTCTCGTCGTTGAAGCTTGCTGTCAGGTTATTTGATGAGAGGACAGCGGCCTCTCGTCAGTAACACTAGTACTTGTATAGTGAGCAGTTCCTCGCCGTGACAAGGCTTGACTGGACCCTGACGCCACATCAGAGCCCCTGCTGTTCTATTCATATCTATTCATAAATTACTTCTTAGGATTTATACGTTGCGCTGAACATCACATTGAATGTGAGAGCCAACGCAGCAAGTTTATCGTCCGTTATATGGGACCCGGTGCTACAACAAGCGTGTACACCAGGACAAAAACCAACCATTCTTTAAACACCGAATCGGTGTGTCTGCTAGCGTATCCAAACTCGCCCATTGTATTGGCATCAGCGTAGGGAGGATGACGTGATCTAGTGGCGTGGAGTTTGTTGATGCAGGTGTCATGTTTGAAATTGCGAGAAACTATTCCCCGCTTCGAGCCCACTGGTACTTATAACAGGCACGTACAACCCAAGTGACTTATGTCCGCTAGCCGCCACTCTTCTCTGCAAATGACTGCTTCTAGAATCTTCGCGATCCGTCTCACACACCGATATAGTCTTTTCTGCCCTTTGTCGAGCTACTTAGCACTTTCTCAGCGTCCACGGGTGGGAATGCTCGCTCCAGAAGACTACTCAACTACTAATAGAGTCCAATTTCTCGTTCCCCAGTTCCCGCATGGTGGTCGACCATGTCCGATACTGACGCGGAGCCTGCGGTTAAGGTATATTAGACGTGCAAAGAGCGCCACATCCGTCATCGCGAAGACTAACCTGAGATGTCCTGCCTGGGGAAGTTAGAGCTATTCTGATAAATCCAACACAACGTCGCTTCTCCATTCAGGATTAATATCGGTGTTATATAGCGAACACCAGGAGAGTCATAAGTATAGAAGCTGGAACTCGATTGTAAGTTGGCCGTAGGGAACTGCAAGGGGCGTATGTGCATTCACAGTCCAAGCGGGCTAGTAGTCTCCCAAAATTCTCACCGCCTAGGAGAGTGTAGTTTTCCGACTCTTGAATATGTGTGCGTTTCTCAGGTTGTCCTATGACATCGTGGACTATAGTGTACTAGTTAGGATAGTGTTTATTACATGTCCGAAGAGCATGGAAGAGACGTACCTCAAGCCTGAGGGCCTAGCTCACAAAAGTCTTGAAGGTGATGATAAGTAGAAGACAGCATCGAGACTAATTAGGCCATCCCTCTCCTCAAGATGAGTTTGGAAATCAGCTGCCCTGCTGTAATGACGTTTGGGTTTTCAGAGTTGGTATTTCCTGCTCTCAATCAACCTGATAGGCAATCGATAACTCTGCTTCCGTACGTACCGTTGGATGCGGGTAGATTGAGTGTCCTCGGAAACGAGCTGCGGCATATTAGTCCTATAATAGACCGAAACATAGCACTCCTTCAACCAAGAAAAGGCATGTTGCCTGAGCCGTGAACAGAGGCGCGCTCGAAATATCGTCCCGTGTTAGGCATGCACCAGTTACCGGGCAAGGAAGAAATAAAGGTTCCTGTTGGTGATCGTAATACACCGACTAACCGCCTTCGCCTGTCGTGGGCTAGACGAGGAAGTGGTACCTTGAACTTGTTCCACAACGATTACTCCACACTGCTTAAACTGATCGTCTAGAAAGAACCGTTTAACTCAGTGGCTACCTTTTCCAGACAACGCTCATCTTTTCTCTGACGTACTACGAATGTGAGCTAGGGCCAGATCGAAGATTTGCGAACGTTTTCGCCTGGAAGGAAACCTTCATATTCATTCCGCGGGGCCTCGGGATACTCCAGCTGCTTGGGCATCCGCTCTCAACGATACACCATTGTCTCGTTTCGCAGGCTATGAATTTAAGCTTTCAGAACACAGACGAGATTGTAGGGAAGGTAGCCATTCAGAGTGGTCGGTATCGACATAATCGCGATTGAGCAGGCTTCTAGAGCTGCGCGGTAGCTATCGTGTGAAAAGGTCTGGTGGCGCAAGAGAGGATCAAAGCGTAAGAAAGAGTCTAATGGCAGAGGCGAAAGGGAAGATGAAGAAAGTGAGCAAAACCATGTGTGTCTTCGAGGTCACTGCTACACAGAGCTGGCGTGTTCAGCGTTCGAGGCTGACGAGGAAGGAGTAGGACACTACAAATTGAAGGTCGTTCGAGCCAGCGGTTAGGTCAAACACGTAAAAGCAGGAGGAGCTCACTCACTCGATAAGTAATAAGTACTTCAGATTTCCAGGCTCGTCTTTTTCATATCTCGTCTTCGAAACCCTCTGATGTCACTTGCCATACAGGTTCTCCTTGTTTGTAGGCTTTCGGAAGCTTTTCTCAGAACCATAACGTATTTGTATTTCGCTAGAGTTGAGACGCCGGACGTCGCACAGACATGACAATGCCATGTCCTGTGACTCAATCCGCTATTGAACCCAAAGTAAACGAGGGTGGCGTAGGTCGTAACAAAAATGATAACTACATACCAAAGAAACGCCACTATCAAGAACACGACATTTCTCCTGTGGTCCTCGCGCAGGCGGCGGAGTGAGTATGAATGCAGAAGCGCATGGGACTGGGTACGCCAGTGCAATTGAAAGTGAACGTGAAGGAATTGGTAAACCTTCCATGTCATAACCGTGTTTGACGGGTCACTGTTATGTCAAATTTGCACCCAGGTTACATGGAACGAACCATCTCAGTCATCCGCGCAGAGCGGGACTCGCTGAGAATCGGGTCAAGAAATTCCACGGAGGAATCCAAACTCAGCGGCTGGCGCAGCACATGCGGATATAGGAAGGATGGACGTACCCCTGATCCTGGGGACGATCTCCTGCTGAGGTCGCCTGAGGAATTGCTCTTCTATGCATCTCGTCAAAAATTGTGTTGCCAGTGGCTGAGTCCCGTAGTTTGAGCCGCCGATTAATCTTCAAAGCCCAAGCGGCATCTCTGCAAGCTCTGTCCAGAGCTCAGCAAGAAGACATCGGTGACCGGGCATCTCTCTTCCCCAAATCGCGATGGTTTACGCCGGCTGAGCGAGACACACGCGACGACGAACGAAAATAACAGGAAAGCTAAGTTTGCAGCCCTCGCTGATTCCCCTAAAAATGATGAAGTGAGTGAGCTTTCCCAGCGGCTGTCTATAGGAAACGGAGACTGCATTAACCGAACTGGCTGTTTCCTTTCGAGACCACTACCAGGCCCCTCTCTCACCGATGTTCCGTCTCTTCGCCCTCCATTCGGTGATTCGTCCATCGGCGCAACATGTTGAACCCATAATGAAACCATGTAAAGCCTAATCTAGCCTGAATGGAAGAATATGGAGAGCAATACATTATGTACACGACAACAGACACAACGGAGCTAAAGACGATGATGAGAGCACGATACCCTTGGGACATGGGCATCGGCGTGCCATGGAGCCTGCCGTGCAGGTCTATCTTTGACTATTCCGTCGTCGTTTGCGTATGTAGCACGATGCACGATCTTCCTTGTCCTCCCTCCTACTTCTGCTGCCCAGTCGAAGGCACGAAGAGCGCAAATGGATTATTACGGCACGGCGTCTTGTATTCTCCCACTCCTTTAGGGCACATGCCAAAAGTCTATCAGGATGCGAGCTCTCAAGAGGTTCTCCCTCGAAATAGCGCTGGACAAGGCGATGGCCATGGTTTCATCGGACCGAAAGTGGGACACAGAAGGGGCCCGAGCTATAAATTGAGGGCTCAAATTTGGAAGAGAAACCATCGCCTGCTCACCCCCACTCACCGGCTTCTTCCTTACTAGCCACGGTAGGACAATGTGTTATTATCGCAGGTGAGGCTTCAGTTGTCCGCGGACGACGTGGCTTGTGTTGACAGTTATTTCCAGAGTCTCAAACCTCTTCCTCAAGTGAGCCATGATGTCCGTCTATAGGGATTCATCAACTCACCGTTACTTGTTCGTCTAGGTGTAACCATGCCGTCTCTCTCGTGCGTATTCTTATGTTCGCTATCCACTGACTGTGAGCTCATCTTGGCGGTCATACAGCCCGAGGAAGAGGTGCGCGATGCATTGTTAGGTGTGACACACTTGGGTTGACTGTGGCACTAGATCGACTGTGGCGCCCCGAACTGTCGATTCAGCAGCACGCATCTTTCTTCTTGTAGGCCGCCCCGCTGCAACAGCAGCACCTGCTGGCAATAGTGAGTGCTACGACTTCGCCCTCCCAAGTTGACTCATACTTATCGTCCAACGCACCCGTTTCCAGTCATATTCAGCCCCAGTATTATAGTCAGCTCTCCGTACTGACCGCATTGTGTTGGAGAATCTGATTTTGTGTTCTGTCGCTTTCTTTCATTCAGCCCCGCGTATCGACGACTTCTGTGAGAGCTGTAAGGCCGCTGGAAGGTACTAGGGAATTGGCAGATGGATGAAAGGCATGCGGATAGAGACCGGAGGCGTCTCTCGACCGGGAATCGTCGAACTGAATTGAACGTTGGGTCGTGTTGGGACATGTTCCATGCAGTGCCATGAAGAATCTTGTACGATTATGCGTCACTCTGCTCCTGTGTTAGAGGCTGCGTGGCGGGAGGCTGGGAATTTCTTGTCCGTGCCATTAGTTCGTTAAAGACGCATGCTTTCAAACAACGAGTGTGAAACGGACCTTATTCTACGTTCTAAATTGAAGCTCGATAAGCAATCAAGCAAGATAGAGCTAGTCCTCAAGACATCGATTGTGATTCGACTACGGCCCCTTCGCCCCCGCCGCTCGATCCGTCCACACAAGCCATAGGCGGCTACTGCCCCTTTGAAGTGACCGCCGCACTTTTATATCATCCGCGACTCGCCATGGGAATTCTGGGCGAACGGCGAACCCTGATGGATACCTCTAAAGTAAGAAGTAAGATTAGGCGAAAGAGATCGAATCGGCTCCCAAGCCTTGAAGGTCACTTCAGCGCTATGATACGAGAACGTTGACGAGCACCGGGGTCAGATGATAACCCTCGGTGGACGGCCGACTGCATCCAGCGAGCCATGAGATTAGCTTCCCGATGACTGCAGGTCAAGCCCAGCGCTGGGAGCGCGGATGTATCGTGCTGGCGGTCCAGGTGCCACGCACCGGAGACTGAAATCAGAAGAAGCAGATGGAGACATTCCGAGCCGTATATTCCCCATTGTTGTTCGGGTGCCGATGGTTATCGGGGCCGTGAAGGTTGACTGGCGGCTACGATGCCGAGAGTGCCTTACGGCGTGCTGTGTTGTCAGCAAATGTGGATGGGTGACGAGAGAGAGCCTCACCACAAGGGCATCTGGCTATCGACATTTGAAGATACACGATGACCCTGGAGAAGAAACAAATCACGAGCCACTTCGGAGAGACATAAGGGAAGAGCTATACACCGTGGCCTGAAACTCTAGACGGAGGGGCTGGAAAATTCTGCTGCAATTTCGGGGTGTGCTGGGGAACGGTGTGCATTCGACTCCCAGGACTGAGGACTCTCAGTCGTGGCCACTCGGCTGACGTGGTATAGTTTATGAATACAATATAGAGCAGCGATATACATACAAGCAGTGACGGATGAAGTCCAAAACAGGAGGGTCTATTGATACGGAAATTATTGGAACAAATTAGTTTTCAAAGAGTCCTCAATATCATGGAGTCTCACCGAAAAGAGATAGAGAGCGGAGCGAGCGAGTAGGAGAGCACGGGACACTAATCCTCATCCTTGATATCGTGCTTTTTCTTCAGCTGTGCCAACTCTTCTTCTCTTCTGGCCAACTCAGCCTTAGCTGCTGCCGCATCTTGTTTTGCAGGCATGTGGTAGAGGACGACGATGTATCGCTCTTGCAAGTGGAAACCATTCAGGTGGTCGAGTGCATTCTTCGCCTGGAGATGGAAGGAGGCAGGTCAGTCACAACTTGATACCAAGTAAGCCTCCTCGGAGTAGGGAAATGACGCGTGCAGTTTGACTCCGCGTCTTACTAGGTGGATAGGAAGCAGAGAGCATGACAAGAAAGACGTACGTCCATGACATCGTCAAACACCACAAAAGCCGTCCCTCTCGTCTTCTGCTCGTTCCCCATTCGTATCTGTCGAATGCTCCCATACCTCCCAAACAAATCGTACAAGTCTTCACCAGTAATTTGATAGTTTAGATTTTTGACAAACAGAATACGGTTTGCGCCCGGTGGAAGCTTGGACTGTCGGGGACACACGGTCAACGTGAGATGGATGAAACTCACAGAAGAATACCCAAAGAGAGTGTACTTACCGCCGGCCGTGCTGTAGCCATTCTTTTCGATGAACGTGGGGGAAAGTGGTGGTAAGGTGGTAAGCGATGCGAGATGAGGTTTCGTGTTGTCTCGCGAGACGCGCTCAGATTAGGGTTAGGGGCAATAGGTTCTGTGTGGCGCGGCCCCGCGGGGGCTCTGGACAGTTTAGCGCTCAAGAGTTCACTCAGAGTTCGGCGCTGGCAGACTTCAAACATTTGTATGGAGGCAACCATTTCTCTGAGTTCAGACTATTTAGGTCGTCGCACTCCGACATAAATTAGCAAAAGGCTTCCTGACAGCCGACTTCTGTTTCAGCCAAGCTCAAGCCCCATGCCAGTGCCAGTGTAACATCAGACTCTCTACTGCAACACCCACACTCCCATCCACACCCCGCCCATGACCAACACGACATTCTTCCAATCCTTCCTCCAGCCAATTGTCTCAATAGCCCCACTCGTCGCGGTGTTTGTTGGGGTACTCGCCGCATTCGTGACACTCGATGCTGCACCACCCGTGACAGAAACTACGCTGCCCGAACCTGACGGATTGCCGAAAGACGTGCTTAGACTGGCCGCCGACCCGGTGGTGGCGGAAGCGGTAGTCGTTGAGTTGTCGGGCCCGGTGAGGAAGAAATTTCCGGCGAGAGGCGGGCCAAGATTAAGCGTTTCGTTGAAGATGGTGAGGTTGAAGTTATTGCGGGGTGTGTCGGGAGTGATGAGCATAGGCGCTTCGGTGTCGAAGTTGAAAGGTTGCTCGAAGAGGAGCACGACGTATCTGTGTTCATTGTTCAGTAAATTTCTTCCTCCAGGATACACCCGATATAAGGCTTACCGGTGGGGATCAGAGCCCGCTGGTGGCGTTGGGTTGACAAAAGGTGTCACTGCGGCACTTGTGTTCGTGAGCGCAGATTCGTTGATCGTGTTGCCCATGTTGGAAAGCATGAAATCTCCCGCTAACATATGTCTAAACTGCGAGATGGAGGTGTTTTGTGGGGTTGGTGCATCCGGATCGACAAGGACAATGACGAATGTTGAGTTGGACAATGAGGTGTCATTCGTGGTGAAGAAGAACTGAGGCTCGTTCAAGGTCTCTAGATAGCCACATAATTGAGATGCGGAGTCGGATGGCTGGATAACAAGAGTCAGGGTGAAATGGCACGTACGCTCCATGGTGAGATTCGTTCCCGGGGTGACGTGCAACGTCTCACCTGTGGCTGGATCGGTGAACACGACGTCCAGGAGACCGATGGGAGCAAAGGATGAGAGAACATCGGGAACGATGGAGAAGTTAGTGAAAGCTGCTGCGACGCTTGAGATTGTGTCGCTTGTCTGGGCCTTAGCAAGCGCGAGGCAGGCAACAACTGGAAGTATCGTGTACCACATTTCTGTCGCGGACTGGGAGCTCGTTGACGAACGGGTCAAGGTAAAGCTGAATCGCTCGTGAGATTGAGTTCATGGAACTTTATACCAGGACTCGCACTCTCAGGCGAAGGGGGCGAACTGAACACGCCATGTGTGAACGGCCACCTGAAGAAATACAGGTCGAACTCGGGCATTATGGCACATATAGACTTGGGTGCCTGTGACGTGGGGTACAGAGTGCTCACAGAGTGCGCGAAGAGATGCCAAGTATCCAATCGGTTCATCGATATCGTAGGAATGCGGAGAGGTGAAGGATTGAACCGTGGTTAAAAGTGACCCATCGGGGTTCCAGGACGCACGGAAGTCAATCACAGGGTCACTCAGTGTGGCCACCTTCCACAACCATGAGCCGAAGACTTACACAGTTAATACACGAGATCCAGATCCACAAGTGTCAATGTAGCACCCCACGTGCGGCGAGGACAGTGAATATAGCGGATCTCGAGCTGAAGCGTCCGAAGAATGATCAATACGCAACATTCAGTGCCACACACGAGTTCAAGGTGAGCGGCCCGCCGTCCATATAATAGAGTAATTTTATGCGTGTGACACAACCTGGTCATCACCGAGTTAAGGTAGTTCACTACCGACAAAGAACACAGGTGCCACTCACATAGTCTCGTCTACTTCGTGAACTTGTTGGCCAACCCCTCCACCACCTTGCAATCAATCCCACCACGCACACATACGACAGTCCCACTCTCATCTTGCTCGGAATCTGTAATAACACACTTGACGTCTTGGACGTTGGGACATGGACAATCTTCAGGCCGTGAGACACATGCGAGCGTGTCTGGGCAAAGATAGCTGGAACATGGGACTGACGTTTGTCCAAAGTCAGTCTTGGTACCAGTCAATAGGAAAAATAACGCACCTGCTTCCGAATGTGCCATCCATTGAGAGTGACCTCCTGCAGGCTGTTGTTGCTGCTGGCGCCCTCCGTGCCCGAACATCTGGTCGAAGAATGGAAATTGCGCCTGGACCATCAAGAGCTGGGAGATCAGCGCAACTAAAAAAGAGAAGTGTATTATAGAGAGCATTGCGTTATGCCACGGTCAAGAACAAGTTGAAGAGTGCTAAGCCACGAGAGGGTGCGATGGTGGTGAAGGTCAGACTCAAGAGGCCACGTCTACAAGTGCCACAACGCGATCCACGTGGATCACATTACGGTTTGTGTAGTGGTTCTGAAGCATGTCTTACGTAAACTGTTATGACACTACGATTATAAAGAAAAACAGAAACTAGGACTCCGAGTCGGACCCACATTTGTTCACGGATTGGCCAACAAGACCACGCTATTCTTTCGTTGGATCCATCTTGCTTTGACTGCCTACAACCTTGCTTTACTTGCGCGACGCCGTTCGCGATACAATCTACGAGTGTCCTCTGCCGGGCGCTCTCTGCCAGCAGTGAAAGGACTCGATTGGGCATACTTAGGCCTTTGTACCCACATTCACCCCACTTGCGCGATCGTTGTCTTACGCCCAAGCAATCATCGATTTCCCACGTAGTCTCTTCCATTGTTGTGACCATATAAAGGCACAATATTCTGAGCAACGTGTTCGTGACACAACTCTGTGGCGATCATATATAAGCGGGGCGTCTTCTTATTCTGGTTTTATCGGCCCATCCCCAAACACTCTCATAACTCAGCCATTGACTCGAACTGCTAGCCGGCTCTATCTCTCCCATCTGTATCCTTTCACACTATTCCGAATACTGATGGCCACTCATCCCCAACCTATAATGTCATCTTCAACTCACTTTCCCCGCGTTCGGATTAAGGAGCTCATAAGGTTTGGGACAGCTGCGGCTACAGCTGAACATACCGCGCGCATGAGCCGAAGCTCTGAATGGGCGATGAGGCAAACGTCTGGAGGAAAGAAGAGTGCCAAGGGGAAGGGAAAGGCCAGGGCACAGGAAACTTCGAGCAATACGGTGGCGCCGAGGATCATCGGTTGTCAAGATACACGATGGGGTGGCGAAAACGTGAGTCCTTTTGTCTCGTTGGTCTGGTGATTTTGGGAAACCTCACCCAAGGCTGAGTGGCACCGTACGTGTGATTCTACCTTCGCCTGGTCTATTGTTCTTGATGTGGTCGCGCTTTGCGGTGCTGGTTCAGAAGCGAGTTGGAAGGTCGTAAACGAACACGGGCATCACCACGTTCAGACGAATGTGACATCGTCTCTCTGCGTTTTCCCCTTGGTTTCTTAATGTCTTGTCTTTCTGAGGCGTCGTCCCTATGTGACCATTATTTTTGGACCTTGATACGCTTGCGCGAAACAACTGATCCATGTGCTATCATCTGTCCCTATTCTCGACCCTCTGCTTAGCTCTCGACCAGAAAAGGTATCAGGGGCTGTCAAGCTATGAAGTGAATTATGTAGGGAAACTAAATGAGGACGAGTCGTTCTACCTGTCTACTCGATTCTCAACTCAGGCAAACCTCACCCGGGTCCTGGTATTTTCGAAGCTTGTTATAGTCAGCGAAAAGTAATGTGTTCATGTCAAACACTTATGTTTATTCGTTTGCCCAGATGATCCTTCTTACATTCGATCCACAATCAATCCCCCTCGGCCCACATTCGATGTTGGCTCACTTTCCTCAAGGTCGGCCTTCACTAACTACCAAAGCCCTGGTATGTCACCGTTCCAGCCAGTAGATCGTCAACCCGCTTAGTTCCTTCTTTACTTCAGATCGGAATGACTCAGGCCGTGCAAAGTACTTTTGAGGTCACTGTTCCTAAAATCTACGGATACTATGACAATATACCCAATCCCGTCAATGCTGAGGTTGTTCTTCTGCAGTTGGTACGTTTCTTTCTCTCACTACCGCTCCTCAATTATAGCAACTAACATCAACCGTTTTTCTGCCGTTGTCTGATTCCGGAAGATTCCCGGCCCCGATTTGGCAACGATTTATCGTCAGCTTTCTCCACTACAGCAATCCCAGATCCACACACACCTGGGTAACCTGTTTGTTTCCCTTTTCTGCTGCCGATCTCGTGTCATGTCTTCAGAAACACAACACATCCCCGATTCACCACCTATGCCCCGCGGAAACCCACCATACGAATCAGTCCTCCTTGGTCGGCCATTCGAGCAGGGTCCATTACTGCACATGCGTTCACAAGAGTCTGTTACTTCGACACATGACTATCTCCTCGCCCTCTCACAGCGTACGGAACGAGTGTTCGGACCTAAAGGAATAAGCCCGCATCCAACCCCAGTATCACGCCTAAACGCCACAACTACCAATGTCTCATCTAAATCCAGCTCACGACCTAAACCCCAGTCAAAACTATCCGCAAATTCTCACAACCACCATTCTTCTACAAATTCGTCCACTTCGTCTCTCCCACCATGGGAAACCACAGAAACGCTCGGTTTCGACGGCAAGCCGCTCTCCGAGATGGACATCGTCTGCATACGCGACACTTGGAATAGGCTAGGCTCACTTATATCTTATCACTCCGGTGGCTTCTACGTTCCCGGAACTCTCAGTCCAGAGGCTCGATACACCGCCCACCAAGTTCTCCAGGGTAACGAATTCGGCGTAAAACACCACGATATGCGTATGGACCGATTCATAGTGAAATTCAAACCCCTTACTCCCGCGTCTCCCGGAACATGGCCTGCTCGTCCTCCTCTAACCGGATCAGGAGCGCAACCTGGATTCAGAGGGTTCGGCGAGTATGCCGGGCGGGAAATCGAGAGCGTCGTGCTCGCGACAGGGTGGGAACATGCGTCTAGAGCCCCTCTTTGGAGTTGTGCAGATATGCCGCCTTGGTTGAAGCCGCATGCGCATCCCCATGAATATTTTACGTGGGAGAAGATGAAGGACATCAGGCAGGCGATATACCAGGCCATCACTTATGCCTCGCATTCTATCGACACAAATTTCTCCTCCGTGAATCCTCCATCTGTTCCACACACTAATGGCGCGGTCGGTACCGATGAGAAGAAGAATAAGCCCGAAAAAGTGGAGAAACGTCCGGGAAGACGGGGTAGGGAATGGGAGTGGATCGTCGCGTATGTGTATGGAAAGACGGAGAGGTGGTTTGAAGGGTTGGTGGGTTCTAATTGGGGATATAGGGATACAGCGGAGGTGTTATTGGTGCGGTTGAAGGCCCACTGGGAGAGAGAAAGGCCGGACGTTCCGTTCCCATTGGAAGTAGGCGGACCGTATACCAGCAACGTCAACCTCTCTCGACATCTGACCGGTGGCGGTGGCGCTCAACCCTCTGTTGGGAGCCAGACCAGCGGCAGCCCGAGACACGTCCCATCGCGGCCGGAAGACGCCAAATACCCCGAAGTGCGGGAGAGAAAGAATAGCGCGATGGTATCGAAGGAGAGAGACTTGGTGAGAATCACATCGCCCGGCACTCGAACCGCAAGTGTCATGGGCGCCGTTGAGGGTATAGGTCTAGGGCTAGATCAAGGGCCGGATGTCGTCGAAGTGCCAACCAGCTTTGCCACAAAGTATCCCAAGGAGTTCCAACAATTTGCCACCTGGGCTTTCTCGAAGGCGATCGCAGATGGGCACATAAACGAGCAGGGCGAATGGATCGGCCATCCGGACGATGAACCTTCAAATATGACACAGCGGGAAGCGGAGCTGTTGGCGGAGGTCACGGATAAGATGCGCTTCATTGGTTTGGGCGAGAAGGACGAGAGAACAGGGGCAACAGCCAGTCCAGAGGGGTTGATTTCGGCAACGAAGAGCTTTGCGGAGGGGGTGAAGGTAGCGATGAATGCCTTCAAGGTGGGCATGGGGACGAGTTCGGGCATAGATTCTGTGTCTTGGCCGGAGGTAAAGAGAGGCTTTGCGAGTGGACATGATGATGTTGACTGAGAAAGAACACGACGGCGATGATAACGATCTTTGAGGAATTATGCGGTGCTGGATCGTCATATTTTGCGCAGTTCATGGCGGACACCAGATCTTCCTGTTGTCTAAATAAATAATATTGATACCCTTTAATGTAAGACTATATCCTTGCTCCGTTGTCGCCTACCATCATCAGAGAAGCATCATTTGTTCACAGGATATTGTGTTTTCCTCTCCGAGGAACGAATTGGGAATGAAAGCGTAAGGATGCCAAAGGTTTGCTTCAAGGTGACGACTCGGACATGACAGAGCCGCTTCAGCAGACTCTGAGAGACACAGGAACAGGCCGCCGTCATCACAGAGAGTCTTATAGCCGACTATAACACAGGATATTGTGAATTCCAAGCGGATGCTTTGGAGATCCTTGAACGGAGGTGGAGACGATCATCGGGCCCTCTGGAATTTAGCCTTTCATATCGGAACGCTAGCGCTCGGGACAAGTAGCTCCGCGCCCTGTCGATCCTCCGAGGTTTCAAGCGGCGGTACATAAGGCCGACTGAGGTGGAATCGCCGCACCACGGACAGAATGAGATGTGCCAGCAGCTTGGAATCTGAATCGTATCGATACGGTCCTTGATGTCCATTCCGGGAAGGGACCGTAAGATTCGGTGAAGATGAACACGGCGACTACAAGGTCGTCACGGTCCACCATGAGCTTGGCGCTGTCTTTGGCACATTGAGGTGCTACGCCCTGAGCGAAAAGGATGCGCGCTTTCGGAACGGGGGTCGGAGATATGGTTCTGTATCCTGAAACTTATATTATACAGGTATTAGAGGTTATTAGTAGAAGTCGGGACATAATAGATGGGGAGTAAGTATGGAGAGTGGGGTACAACAAACTCGAGGATCACAGTACAAATTACAGTCACTGGGGACGCTGACCGAACGGAGCCACTGCCCTCAAGCGTCGAATGCACTCTCGGAGAGCCGTCAACAACGATGGAATAGTCCCTGCGTAAACCGCCGTTTGTGTTGAAGTATCATCAGCATTCGCGCCAAGTAAGCGAGCTTGTTCTTGTTGCAGCACTTCTCTGACGGTCTTCCAACACACCTACATCGAAATCAGAACACCGCACAGGATGTGACAGGGATAACGATCTTACCAAGAATAAGTGGTCCAGGAGGTCATACCTGTCCTTGGGGAGGCCGTCAGAGATACTGATTATTTCTATTGCGGCGTTGACGGCGAGACGGCGAGACTCTTCGTGGTTAAGGGCGTTATAGAGAGCAACGTGAATCTCCGTCAGGGCGGTCAAGCCCATGACTGCGTCGGTTTTAAGAGAGATGGATGCGGATTGGTCCTTATATATAAGTTCGAACTTCGTAGCCGCGAGCTTGCTCTCAGTGATGTGACGCTTGATTCTCTCGATAAGGCTGGTGTACATCTCGTACCAAATGCCCGAGTTGTCGTAGGCTTTTTCTCAATCAGATATGATTCCCATCGCATGGCAAAAGCGTACTTGCCTGACGTCCGGAGCGTTGACGGAATTCCCTGAGAAATAAAGGTACGAGCTTCGTGTAGAAGCCAGCTACTCGTAGTTCGCGCAATTACGGTGTGCGTGTAATCGACAGGCATGCAATTCTAGAGAACGACACATCGATTAGAACTGGGGACTATAACAAGAAGATAATGAGATGCCGCGTACAATCAAATTTCGAAAGTCGTCGTCGAGATGATGAGGTAGTACGAGTGGCCTAGACCATATTAATATGGCAGAGAAGTCTGAGTGCATGGAAAAGCATAAGGCGGATCTCTTTTCGTCATCTTCGTCGATGGCTTGAATATGGCCATATCTACCAGGCGACACGCTATGTCGTGGGAACGAGCCAGTATAGTCCGCTGAAGGTAGTGTGATGTGCATGTCTGCATTGAAAATGATATCGTAGACTTTCGTCCCACAGTCCCATGCAGCGCCGAACTGGTTGACGAGATAACGATATATGCCAAGCAGGATGTAGGCCTGTAGGTTTTCCACCGGAGTGAAAGAGTCCCGCTCCTCGAGACACCGCATTACGAGTTGATAGTAGGTTGCCTCAAGGTCCGGCGGGGCACGCTGATCGTTGTCGTCGCGGTAATAGACACAGCCTAATATGTGTGCAAGGTGAATAAAAATCGGATGGACAATACGACCAGTGAGATCGCCACAGGCTATGGCGTCTAGTTTCTCTGGTATCATACGGACACAGCAGTATCCACCATGCGAAAGAAACTCGGCACGTCTAAAAATCAGACTGGTAAGGTCAATCCATATGTCCAGTAAAAATAGTGAGACGTACAGGCGCATGAGGAGATCCGGATAAAGCAATAGCAATGGATCGGGAGAATGTCGTAGGGGCAGGTTTGTCCCAGATGCTAAGCTGCGTTCGTAAACGCATCCTAAATGGTTTCCTATGGCGACACAGTTTCGACAGAACGGACGCTCGCCGCTACACCTCTTTTTTTTTTTTGTTGGCCGTGTGAGAACATAACACCAGGGCCATAATAATTTACATACCTTCTTTTGTTCACTACAAGAATTCTACGTGAGCTGTCTGTCCAAATCAAGTCAAAGAAACTAGCTGAACAGACCGGCAAAGAATGCATGCGTCGCCTTCATAAAGCGGGCCTAGATTACTCGTATGGTGAAGACTCTCGCTGTAGTCGCATGGTAGACCACCTGGCATATACCTTCGCCTTGTACACGGTCCACACTCTGGCCTGATACTGTCGCAGCACTGCGAGCCAGATAGCGTCAGGTTAGTGTGATGCATTCCGATGCGATACTGTCTAAGATACTCACGATATTCTTGGTTTTGCAGTTCGAGCAAGTCATACGAGAGCCCATGGTGATTCTGAGATGAGAGGTGCATATGCCAGCTTCTATATAAACTACAGTCGGGAGTAGCAGTTAGCTAAGGTGCAAAACGCTTGTGGTTATGCACAAGTGCTGTGAAAGTGTTAGAGCGTCATTCGCCGATCTTGGCAAGATCGAAGGCCCGTCGGTTGCTTCGCGTTGTGTACTTACATGGGCCTTCCGACGGGGAGGACCCCTTGTGGATCAAAATCAAGTCCATGCCCGTAAAAAACACTGAAATCCCAAACTATGACTAAAAATAAATAAATAAATATTCATTCCCAATCAAAATCGTGAGGAAACTGAAAGGCCAAAAATTTCCGCTCCAACCTGCTAGCTGGCCAGCTGTACCCTACATACCAAGCGCTATCTTGTGGAATCTTTGAATTCGTTAGAGCTTTACATCCTGGACAGCAGGTGGGGGCACAAGGAAGTTCGGCACTCAGCTAACACTCTTGGACTGAGCGCTTTTCGAACAGTTCACAATGCCCGTAGATCCTCCTACCTCACAGCATTCCTCAGCGCGGATCACAAATACTGGATGGGTCTACCAACGGCATACACTGATGGTTGGCGTCTTTGTCGGGCTGTGTGGGATAGCCAAGGGAAATGATTCGCGTCAGTCACTGTTGTATCATAGCAAGAAACTTTCGGACAACTCTCACCTTCACTTTCCGTAAGCAGTGTCTACCAGTTCAAGGAAGATATTTGCGCGCGTTATAACGTAACCAAAGACTTCAAACGTCGAAGCGTTTCGACTGCGCATCGCCGAGCTATCATGGTCAAGTATAAGCTGAGCGAAGGGGGAACCATGCTGCTCACCAAGGTGTTTAGATCCATGGAGCCGCCCATTGGCACGCAGTGAAGACGTAGTAGCCAGACATATATAAGATCAATATACAAGAGGAAAGAAAGACGTCGAGGTGAATGCAATGCGATAGGCCGATATCATCACGATAAACGTCGGTACAGTTATTTTGTGCGAAGTTTATATAGGTAGGTGGCGAGGAGACTTGAGCGTGCAGCTCATTCGAGGTGGAAAACAGCTTCACATACCGATAATGGTGCGAAAACTCGTGAGGCGAGTCCATAGGTATGGTCAATCAATGGACTGAAAATCGCATCTGAGGGCAGACTATCCAGTGGTTTCGAGTCGATTCAAACCAACTGCACCGCGTGTGGCCCAATTGCCCACGCATGATGTGGTTGGGCACGAACAAACAGTACAGAAAGAAAAGATACGACGGCATGGTGGGACAAGCTTTGGCCTCTGATCCGCGACTGCTAAAGTGAGTCTGCATGGCCGGCTTCAAGCCGACATCACGGAGGGCGGGCGGTGGCTGTGATAAAAGTGATGAAGAAACACTGCACAGACAGCCATCAAACGCCTATTACGATTTAACGCAAGTGTCACATACCTCACCGCGTTTGATTCTAATATTTTCCTCCTTTTCGAAGGCGAAGTCAAGGTTGTGGCCAAAAGCAAGACGCCGCTGATCACGTGGGAGGACGACATAACCTCGGTTGAGCACGCCAGACTTTCGCAAGCAGTTATATCATCCCCATTCGCCCTCACCGAGAGAAAATGGATTTTTCTTCGTCATCCACCATTTCTACAGGCCATCTTCTCCTCTTTCACCACCATCATCCTCTCTAAGTTAAACCAGGCCCTCCAAGAATCGGCTTTCCTGTCGAATCGGTGAACTTTGCGATTTTTTAGCGGAAACGACGGTACCTTATTTGGAGGCGAACTCAGGGAGCAGAGAAAAGTGTTTATCGATTACAGTCCAGTAAGTACCTTGTCTCTTCATAAGATGTTTCTGCGAAGAGTACGGTGTGTGTGTTCTTGGTGGATATATGTGTAGGGGGGGAGATACTAGCAGCCGTATAGACGAACACGGCGTCAAAGAGTCGTCGCCTCCTTCGACAGTTAAATGTACGTCATGGCTTGATGTTCGTCAAGTCCCTTGTAGGAGTCCAATCTTGTTGGTCGATATACTCTGTTAGGTTCGCCAACATACAGAGCGACCAGTATCGACAGCTACGCATGAATCGAGTACGACGTGGCTAAGCGACGCCGTTGAAGTCTTGAGCTGCCGTTCAGACCTCGTATCCCCTGGGAGTGAACCTGCGATGCAGTCTTCAATGTGGAATATCCTCCTCTCATTGCTTCCTTTGCCGCAAAAGAGAATATGCTCGCATGATTGACATGGGACTCTGTGTTTTATCTTCTCCTCTTCCCTGTACATGACCGGCTGTACTAAATCGTCATCCAGTCACAGATCTCCCGAGTTTAAACCATCATGGCTTCTTCCCTCTCACTGAAACCGACCATGAGCAGTCTTGCTGTTCGCCTATCCCGATCTTCAACTCGAGCTCCACGCCGGCAACTCCATAAGTCAACGAGCACGAGCAGCCCTGCTCCTACACGATCTCGTAGAGCCTCGCTTGAACGGCCTTCCTTTCCTTGCGTCGACCAGCACGCCGCCCGCTCCAACCGCCTCCTTGCATTTGCTTCACATCCGCAGCATCGACCTACTCCGTCTTCCTCCTGTAATCCAACACTCGGATCCTCTTCGACAGCCTCGGATCCATCTTCTAGCGGTCCAGAACCACCTTACGCCCGACCCTCGCCACAGTCCTATCAGACCTTCCATTGCCAGGAGCCTCTTCCTCTGACATACTACCCGAACGAACCCCTACCCGAATTCACTCTCGCTTACGAGACATGGGGCACCCTCTCAGCAAAGAAAGATAATGTCATCCTTCTACACACCGGTCTCTCTGCCTCCTCGCATGCCGCATCGACACCGACGAACCCTGCTCCCGGTTGGTGGGAAAAGTTCATCGGACCCGGCCTTGCACTGGATACGAACCAGTTTTTCATCATCTGCACCAACGTACTTGGCGGGTGCTATGGCACCACGGGGCCGTCGTCACCGAATCCGATGGACAGCGAGGGCAAACCGTACGCGACAAGATTTCCAGTGGTCAGCATTTTTGATATGGTTAGGGCGCAGTGGAGGTTGTTGGACAGTATGGGGGTGGACAAGCTATACGCGAGTGTGGGCTGTTCGATGGGCGCGATGCAGAGTTTGGCAACGGGGTGGTTGGAGCCTGGACGGGTTGGGAAAGTGGTCAGCATCAGTGGAACAGCGAGGAGTACACCGAGTAGTATTGCGATGAGGTATGCCCAGAGGAGTGGTAAGTCTCGGCTTTTCAACGCGACAAACACCAGAGACTGACCGTTGCGTGGACAGTTCTCATGGCGGACCCGAATTGGAACAACGGATTTTATTATGATGGTCTCCCACCACACACAGGTCTCAAGCTCGCCCGCCGTAAGTATATTTCTCCCTTTATTCCTATATCTTCTAAATTAACTCCTTACGACAGAGATAGCCACAATAACGTACCGATCCGGCCCTGAGTGGGACCTCCGTTTTGGCCGCCAAACTCGCAACCCACCCTCCGTTGACGGCGAAATCATACCACCAGCACTCTGCCCCGATTTTCTCATCGAGACGTACCTCGATCACCAAGGAGAACAGTTCTGTCTCAAATATGACCCAAACTCGTTGATCTACGTTTCGAAGGCCATGGATCTGTTCGACATGACGGCTACGTCGCTCGAGGCGCTCAATCTCGAGTCGAACGAGCCCAGTCCTTCATCAGGCCCTTCATTGCTGTCGTCGTCCCCACATTCCCCACAATCACCACATAAACCGGCTTATCATACACATATCCCGACGCATTCCAAAATGCACCCTCCACCAGCGAACCCGCCTCCTTACCTCGCTGATCTCGCAGAAGGTTTGAGACCCCTGAAGAATACGCCGGTGCTCGTGCTGGGTGTGCAGAGCGATATCTTGTTTACGGTGGAGCAGCAGAGGGAGGTAGCGGATGCTTTGAGGATGGGCGGGAATGAGAGCGTGAGCTATTATGAGCTGGGGGGAGTCTGGGGTCATGATACCTTCCTGCTGGATGTGCAGAACGTGGGTGGTGCGATCAGAGGTTTCTTGTCATGAGTTGCGTTGTAGTAGTCGCGATTGTCGTATATACACGACCGGAGTCTTGTCTTTTTTTGGTCTTGGAACAGGTTGGACACGTCCACATAAAGTGTGACCTACATAGTAAACTGTTCGTAACCCTCAAGGTGTAAGATCAGCGATGGTGGAACACGAACAGTTCCAAGTTCTCGATGAATGGGCTTTTCAGTGTGGCAACAAGCTACAATGCTCACGCCACAACGTCAATGTTTGTGTAAACCCCGGGTCAGCCCGGGTCTTCCCGTGCGACCGTTCAAATATCCTTCAAGCTTGCCTGTGAGTTTCACTACCACGACCAGTACAGTACCGAGCACCCGAGAACGCGCCAATATTCTTTTCTCTGATACCTTGTCACCAGCTGAGTCTTAATCGCTGGGGAGCTTTCAAGTCCTGTTCGAACTCCGCAGTCTTGAGCTGTGATCTGGTGAGCACATACTACATACTTGGTGCAGTCCAACGATCATTGCTCGAGGTGCATCACTGCATAGTTCGCCGTATGCGTGAGTAATCTCTGCTAAACTATTTTTACACGTTGACCGAGTTATCTCAAGCGTTCTGCCCCTACGCGCGATCGCCTGGATACGAGACCGGCCCTCAACGTTTTCTTCGCAGATATCATGAGTCCAAACGTAGCGTGCTCCAATTGTAGGGCAAAGAAGCTGGTTGAGTAGCCCGACGGGTCCCATGTTCTCAATGCCGCTGATACGTGGATCATAGCGCTGCGATGGTGTCAAGCCGGATTGTGGCCCATGCAGAAGGCGCAGGTTCTCGGATCATGGCCCATCTTGCGAGTATGATACCTATCGACACTCCGGAGTATCACCCAAAGGCAATACATGTCTTCCCTGCCGGTCAGTTTGGTAGTCTTTCACCTTGTATTCAAAGCTCAACTGTGGTAACTCTGTGATTGCAGTCGAAAGAAAAAGGTATTTAACCTATCATATATATGCTCTAGGTTTCTCTTTTTTACATCTGGCTTGAAGAAGTGTAGCAGTGACCGCCCGTTCTGCCGAATCTGCATTGTCACAGGCATAGAGTCGGAGTGCACCTACGATTCTGACCTGGCGCCCGCGATTCCACCTCGAAAACTGTCTTCCCTTTCAGTTCATAGCGCAGATCTCTCAGCTCACTTGTATGTTCAACGTTACTGTTTGGCTTTTGGTCTACTCATATCATTTATAGGCGTGCTGAGTTCCTCTCGCACGTAGGATACGTCTGCCTTCGCATGGTACCGGAAAAACTGGAAGCCATAACCCGTGGCGATCTCTCTGGTCGGAACGTGAACCCGTTCTTTATTCACATCGCTCACCTTTTCGGTTGTGTCTATTACCGCGACGATTCGGGCGAGCGTGTGTCTGCCGATCTGCAAGAAAGCTACCATCATATCGTCAAGCAAGCTCTCGAAAATCATGAAAACTTCACCCCGGTGGAGTCTTTGCAAGCTTACATCTTGATCGGCTCGTATCACTTCCTTACCAACCAGTGGAGCGCTGCATGCGACTACGGTAGAGAGAAATACGGCGTTATCGTCGACAACAATCTGCATATTACGATTCCCTCTGCGGAGTCGATGGCGTCGTTCGCACGGCAGGGTCCACTGCATAAAAAATATGGCTGCCTCGCAGCCATCGACGAGGAAGATGAGCAGCGATCTATCCTTTGTTTTGTAGTGTCCTGCGACTACCTTGGTATTATGATGTGGTCCACGCCCGTCGTGTTGCCTCATTACCTCGATGAAGAATTCCAGGCCCTCGCGGTAGTACCTTTTTCTCGGTGGAACGTGTATCGTGTTTTCTAACCCGTTTACCGCTTCAGATGCTGGATTCGCCCGTCGATCCGACTCACACAGTGATCATGCGGAGCATCAGTAGCTGGCTGCTACATCAGGCGCGTTCCTTCGTCGCCCAAGAAATTCCTGCACAACTTGAAGACTCGACGGAAGGCAAGTATCCATCATCATCTCATTACTCCACACTGACGAGTTTATAGCGTGCGACGATACCAACGTATGGTATGAAATGTACATGAGCCTCATTGAGCGCATCGAGCATCACATAACGTGCACTAAACTCGGGACAACGAAGTTCGAGTTGGTCCATCACGACTATCCAGGCGCCCTTTCTCTCAAGACCGATACTATCATAGGATTGGCTGCTCTCATGCATACGCACGCTGCCATCGCCACCAAATTTGGCCATCAAACTTCTCGCCAACAAGCCGTCAATGCTGCGGTTGAGATTGCCAGCATTTCGCATACCTTCTCCTCCGGCGATTATCCATTTTTGAACTGCATGTTACTTGTAAGATGACTGACCGTCTTTCGGATTCCCTGAGAAGCTAATGGTCTCACTCCCCAAGATATGCTGGAAGCCTGCCCAGGGGATATTGGAGCAAGAACAGGCTCGCACATCTGAGCCGAATGGGTCAGTGGGAATCCATGCGGGCAGCCTACTGTCCATGATATCGACTCTACAAGCTTGTGTACGACATATGAATATGACACCTCCTTTCTGTCATTACCCGCCGGGATGAATAGATGATCTTGAACGTTAGCCTACGTATCGCGAGAGCATGTAGCACAGTGTATAGTGACTAGATGTCATTGATCGTCCATCAAAGTAAACTGCTGTCCATGCCTATAATGACGACCGCCTGGCTGTACTCTCAGCATGGCCGCACAGCAACGACACAGCAAGTTTGACCAAATAAGCCCAAACAATGACGGGCCAGGTTTGGGCAGGCACTTTCGTATCCCGGATGCATTTACATACAAAGAGGGCCAATTACGACCGAGTGCAAAAGAAGATATATGCTGTCTCTGTAAGTTGTACCATGGCCTGGGCACACACGCCAATTACCCTAGTCAACTGCCACTCTAACAAGCTCTTGGCCCACCTTGCTCTCGGTCGTTATTGACAGACTCGGATTCAGACCTCACCTTCACTCAGGCTGACTTACACCGACACCTCTGTGACCTCCGCTGGATATATTCATCTGGTCATTCAACTCGAAGTCAACGGCAACAGCGTAGCATCTCTGTAGTACTTGACACGACGATGAGCTCTCGAGGGACCTGTGCAAACTGCCGAACTAAAAAGATTGTTGCGTGGTTCCATCTTCTACCTGACACTTGTGATTGGTTTGACACTATGATTCATATTTATAGCGTTGCGACGGGAAAACGCCAGAGTGTGGGCAGTGTGCACGACGAAGGTTTTCTGGTGGTCCTCCTTGTGAATATATTGGGACCCAACGTGTTCTTGTCGGCCTCTTGCCGAAAGGCGATGCGTGTATTCCTTGTCGGTGAGTCTTCTGATCGTCGTTCTAATCAATACTCTTCAAAGTTCTGTACTCACGGTGATGCCGTACCCCTCTAGTCGAAAGAAGAAAGTATGTGGTTGAGCGGATAGTCCCTTTTGAACTATATGAACTCGTACACTGATCATTTCAAGAGATGTAATGGTGGTCGCCCTCACTGCCAGACATGTGTCAAGATCAAGAAGCAGTCGCTATGTGTCTACCAGTACGACGATGGTTCTTCAGACCCAGAGCTCAATGATACAGCGCCAAGGCCTATTTTACCTGCCCCTATCCCCTCGGGGTCGAGTAGTACGCCTGAAGAAGGAAAGTGGAACGGCTCTATCATGTTGAGTCGTATACGCAAGTTTGACTTATAGTCGGCTACAGGGTCCCGAAGACAATCTACGCCTCTCACAGAACAGTCCAGTGGCGTAGGCAGCTCAAGCTGTGACGTATTAATTGTCGAACATCCTCCCTTGTCGTTACCTCCACATCATGTATCTCAACCACATTCTCCCCCAAACTCCGATATGTCGTCTAATCAAGGCGCTGCTACTTCGGGATCGTCATGGCTGGGTCCATCCCTACCGGTTGAGGAATCTATCCTGGGTCCTCTCGAACCAGTGGATGCATCACCTAAATTACCAGATCTAATGCAAGACGACCCCGAAAACATGTTTCCCGGGATTTTACTACAAGCTACTCTACCAGCAGACCTTGCCACGCACTTGTGAGCTCTTACCCCACCCTCTGCCTTCTTATTCTACTTCTCTTACCATTCCACGCGTCAACAGACGTGCGGAGTTTCTCACTCGGGGAACCTGCATGGGACTTCGTATGATATCCGAAAAGCTGGACGCCATCGCTCGTGGAGATCTATCTGGCGCCCTCGTCCATCCCATCTTCATCCACCTTGCACATCTACTAGGGTGCGTCTTCTATATGGACGACCTTAAGCGGCCCGTCACCCCAGAAATCGAGGCCTCCTACTTCCAGCTCGTCGAAGAGATGCTGTCCACCGTCCCTGTCACCCTCACGCCCGTAGAGCACGTCCAGACCTGCTCACTATTCACCATTTACCTCTTCTTCAAACAACGATGGAGCGACGCCCAGAGCATGGGACGAAGAGCGAACGACGTTATCCTGCAATGCGACATGCACATCACGCTTTCCGCGTATGACGTGGAGGCGATCGCTCTACGGCGTGCACAACGACCGTCACACGGTGCGTATGGGCATTTACAGGCGGTGGACGAGGTAGACGAGGAGAAGTCGGCGCTGTGTTATGCCCTGTATCTGGATAAGATCGGGCAGATGATGTTTTCGTTGCCACTTTGTCTGCCACCGCATTTGGATGACGAGTTTAGAGCGTTGGCGGTAGGTCTTCTTTCTTCTTTCTGACACCCTTTACCGTCGTCGAAATAATGGACGATTTGTTACTGATGATGATTGCATGTGATGCAGACCCTTGAACGGTCACCAGATCCAACGAACACTGTTTTGTCTCGCACGATCAGCGCTTGGCTCTTCCAGGAGACAAGGGCATTTATCACTCAGTGGCGCCTCTACGCCGTTCCCGGTACGTGCTTCTGAAAATTGGAGCAACCTATATCTCCTAAAGACTAATACTTCTCCTCTCGTAGAAGACCCTGGCATAGAACCACCCTGGTACGAAACCTACACCACCCTCATCCGCAGAACAGAGCAACATATCGGCAGCACGAGACTCACCACGACGAAGTTCGATCTCGTTCTAAACGATCCTATGGGCAAGCTCTCCTGCAAAACGGATACGATATTGGCGTTGACTGCGCTCGCTAACGTGCATAGCGTTGTGGCGAACGCGCTCGACCATGAGGATTCGCATCATAAAGCTGTGGATGCCGTGGTGGAGATCGTTAGTATCTCGGATGGGTTCCGCGGTGAGGATTATAATTCTTTGGATAGCACTTTGATGGTCTGTGCGCTGTTTCTCGCAGTCAATGGCGGATCCTATGGACTAATCAAAATGGTTTGTTCTTTCGTGCGACATATAGCTATGCTGGAACGTGGCTCAAGAGATTCTGGAGCAAGAGCGCGTTCGAGCTACCGTATTCGGCACGGAGTGTTATGGTCATCGGGTCGGGATACATGCAGCGAATCTCTCGTCCCTAGTGAACAGCCTGCGTCGGTGTATGAGAGCGATGAAGGCGACTCCTCCGTTCGTTTTTGCGGAGCTATAGCGTTCTCATCTGTATTTATTTTGGTATGCTTTCGTAGCTTTCGCACTTTTACCGTACACCAGAATATTTATCGGAGTTTATATGGCCATTGGGTGGAGTAGGACTACGATATGGTACTCACTGATTCGGAGGCGACCACTGGTATGATCCTGACGACTCAGGGAAGTACGTCGAGTGGACTCGGGGCACATGTCAAACCATCATGTACATTCAGATGATGTTGAAAGGACAAAACCAAGGCCTCAACAGAAACACAAATCGAGAAAGAAAGTCCAGAACATACAAGTATACAAGCGTCTCCAATTACATCCATCCCGCAAAATTAGCCTAGCCTGCCCTCGCACAAGATCTACCAAGGGCTGTCATATACAAAACCTTGTCACTTTACGTTGCAGGCCTCAAAGCCCTCAATCTCTCTGCCAAATTCCCGTCTTCCTCCAAGACCTTACCTTCCTCCTCCTTCGACAGATCTGGCACGCCTGCCATATCCTTGCTGGCGAGGTCGTGTGCGAGTTCGATATCTGCCTCCTCTGCTGTCTGACGCATGAGGGCGTCGACCTGATCTTGAGGAGTTGAAGTGGCCGTCGTGGATGACATGGCGTCTTCCATGTATGAAGTCTGCACGTCGAGGTCTGAGAACTGAGACTCAAATTTGTCCATAACAAGGGATATCTATTCTCAAAGTGGTTTATTGATTGACAGCAGATTAGTGGAGCACGCTCAATATGAGAAAACAAAGAACGCACCCGTTCGAGGTTCATAGACTCCATAGCCTTATCCATACCCTTCACGACGCTCGTCATATTCCCAGTAACCTGTCGCATAGTGACCGCTGTTTCGACTCTGCTTGCAACAGCGTCGATGCGAGAGGCGAGACGAAGGAGGTTGAGATATTCAGATTTCTTCCTGATAGCGTTCGAGGCGTATATACGAGCACCGTCGTTGTTCCCCTGCTGAAGCGCCTGTGTAGGTTCCAACGTCCCGGTCAGATACAGTGGATAACCGTAAGAAAAGGGAGCACGCACCTTCTTTAACCTTGATTTCTCAGAGTTCTCATCCTTCTGTGCCTTCTTCGCCTGCCGATTGAGGGTCTTCGCGGTGAACTAATATCATGGCACCTTTCATTCAGTCTCAACTGGTCTGCATGCATATCAACCGGAGTAGCCACCTTCAGTTGAAACAAAGTCTCTGGATGATATCAGCTTCGAGAGGTATACGAAATGATAAATGGGACCCACTCTCTAGGTTGCTCATGATGACTGGAGGAGATGCGCAGGTGGACGTTGATAGAGAGATGTATAGGTGGCCCAAAGCGGAAGGCGAGCAGCCCCGCATCCGCCACGCCACGCCACTTAGGGCTTGACAAAATTACTTAAGTTATGTTACGGGCCGGTATTGTAACAAAACCGAATCATGTGGAAATCGAGTACACGGAGCTCGAAATGTATCATATTGTAAGATCCGCCCGAATTTAGCATAATCATTTGAAACAAATACTACTCGTAACTATTCGTTCCAAATACCATGTCCGTCAAGATAATCCAACTCTTTTCCGACACCCTCCTTCAGCAAATCCTTTGAGACAACGGCCTTGGCAGCTGTTTCCGACGCCATGGAAGAGCGCAATTCCGTCATCGTTTGGCGGCAATGCGAGAACAAACGCTCAACCGCCACACTAACACCAGGGATCGCCAGAATATCCCGTGCGATGAGCGAGAGAACAGGAAAGTCAACGCTGTGCTTCTGATATCGCCGTCAATGCACGCAACATGATTCATAAAACAGAGCTCAGTAGTTACCTTCCACCACTTGAGTACGTCACACCCATCTTCAGCCGGAAATTCTCCACCATAGAATGCA